TGACATCTCCTCCACTCTTTGGGCACCATCGCTTCACTTTCAGCCAGTTCTTTCACTCTCTTGGGATGCCCTTCACCTCCCATTCCCTGGCCGTGTTTCTGTCCAGTTCAAGCTGTGGTCCTTCACCTTCACCATCTCCTGTCCTGGTGGAGGAGAGGACGCAACCAAAATAGGAGCCGAGTTGCTCTGCTCTTTCTTGGCTACCTGCATTTATTAGTAGCTGGTATATGGATTCTTTCCTTTAACAATGAACATACTTAGTGAAGCCCCTTTTAAATAAATATCTGTAAAGGAATAAAATAGAAGCAGTGTTAAACTTTAGTTGGCCAGAGGCTTGAATAAACCTCCTAGGCTACAAGCGTACAAAGAGTCCTGATTTTTTGTGCCTGATAGTAAAAAGCTGCCTGTTCTCTGGGAAATCACGGGGTTGGGGTTTCCCTCCCTCCTTTTCCAGATGTGCATTCCATTGCAGGGCCAAAGGTGGCAGAGTTCACCTCTCAATCGGTGCCAGGAGACCCAAATTGTTCCATTTGGAGACTTCTTCCAGGACATCCTTAGCTTCCTTCTGAACCCTCTTCAGAGGTTGTAGAAAAAATGCTTTTAAATGCCTCTGCCGATCTAAGCTGAGTTGCCTGATCGGCAGAGGCTTTTAAAAGAAAAAAAAATGCTGATCAGGCAACTCAGCTGGGATCGTCAGAGCCTTTTGAAAGCATTTTTTTACAACCTCTTGTAGAAAAAATGGTTTTAAAAGTAAAAAAAAAAAGGCCACGCCCACCCACCAAGCCCCGCCCACAGAATCAGTAGTAACAAATTTTAGATTTCACCACTGCCTTGGAGGTCTTCTAGTCCAACCCCCTTCTCAAGAAGGAGACCCTATCCCATTCCTGACAAATGGTGGTCAATCTATTCTTGAAAACCTCCAGTGGTAGAACATCCATAACTTCTCTTCCACTGATTAATTGCTCTCACTTTTTGGAAATTCCTCCTCAGTTCTAGAGTGGTTCTCTTCTTGATTAGTTTCCACCCATTCTTTCTTGCCTTGCCTTCTGGTGCTTTGGAAAACAAGTTGGCCCCCTCTTCTTTGTGGCAGCCCCTCAAATACTGGAAGACTTCCGTCATGTCATCTCTGGTCCTTCTCTTCATTCTTCTCTGAGTGACCTAATGCCAAGCGTGATAGGGCTGCACTAGCTGATGGGCCTGCTTGCCTTCTGCCTCTGGAAGGGGCCCTGGGCCTCCCAAAGCAAAGTCCAGAGGGTCAAGGGCCTCTCACAGCAGGAGGGAGGATGGGGAGAGGATCAAGAGGGAAGGGAGAAGGAAAGAAATGTGCCAGCATCCTACCACTTAAGGAAGAAACCCACAAAGTACATCCTGAGGCTGAACTCCATTCAGTGAGAAACCAGGAAAGGTTTTCATAGCCACGTTCATGCATCATGTGAAGCCATGGTTTGGATCATGGTCTAATAAGCCACAAATGCGGGGCTTTCCTAATTATAGAACATTATTTATTTATTTATGAAACATATATGCATATGTGTATATGACCACCCAACTTATCCACAGCTGATTCCATAAATATGGGTCTTATAAAGACTCATAAACCCTCCCCACCCACCCCTCCCCTCCCCTCCCCCATGGCAGAAGCAACATGATCCAATCAATCACTTAATTGCCTCTGCCTCCAATTGGGGTCCTCACATCCACTGACAAAACCATGTTTTTAGGGCCTTTTGGAAAAGCAGTAGGGCGAGGGCGAGGGATGTTGTTCCTCAGAGAGGGGCCATTGCTGAGAAGGCCTTTTTCTGTGGTCCCACCAGATGACCATCCCTGATCAATGGGACCTGTTAACGTACCCTGCCTTCCCCCTTCTGGTGGACCGGGTGAATGTAACGGTGGGGGGGGGGTGGCGGCTTTGGAACCAAATCCTTCAGAACTTGCAGCCTGCAAGTCATTGCCAAATGGCCGTGCCATCTTCTCAACATGGCCCAGATGGGGCAGAGCAGGTTGCCTATGGTGCGTCCCTCAATCTGGATGGAGACACTTGAGATGAGGTAGCCTCGTTGGGTGCCTGGTGGAAGCTGGGTAGCAAAGCCCTCCCAAGGGACTCAGCACCTACCTGGGCAATGGGGTGGGCAACGTTTCCAGCAGGCTTGGGGGCTTCCTTGCCCCACAGGCAGCCCAGATGTGGAGACTGGAGATTATTCAGTGGCCCCTTTTGGGGAGGCAAGGTGATGAAGAGGCCCACTGGGCAGAGTTTTCAACTGTCCCTTGGCTGAGTTGCCGCTTAGGGACAAAGCAAGAAGGGTTGGCATTTCAATTGACTTGGTAGCTAAAGGGCACAGAAGGCTGCCAGTCTTTGCTGGCTTGCTGGCATCCGCCCCCGTCTTTACACACAAAGACTCCTCAGTGTAGACCATGGGAGGGGCAGGCAAGGAACTCACCCCCTGCCCCTACAGTGACTGCAGCCCTCCTGGGTATCAAGCCCTGAGGCTGGGCAGTCCATGCCCTTGAATGGCTGCTGCCAGGAGAACTCATGGGCATGTGGCATTGTGCCCAGGGACCTTGGAGGCCTCTAGTCCAGCCCCCTGCTCAACCCCCTTGACCATTTCAGACAGATGGCTGTCCAGTCTCTTCTTAAAAACCTCCAGTGATGGAGCCCCCACAACTTCTGGAGGGAAGTTGTTTTACGGATGAATTGTTCCGTCAGGAAATTTCTCCTTAATTCTAAGTTGGTTTTTCTCCTTGATTAGTTTGGCTCCCTCTTCTTTGGGGCAGCCCCTCAAATACTGGAATACTTATGTCACTCCTCCTCCTCCTCTTCATTAAATTAGAGATTCCCAATTCCTGCAACTGTTCTTCAAATATTTAGTCTCCAGGCCCTTAATCATCGTCGTTGCTCTTCTCAACATGTTTTTTACATCATGGCAACCGAAACTGGTTGTATTATTCCAGGTATGGTCTTCCCAAGGCATTATAAAGTGGCGTTAACACTTCATGTGATCTGTGTTGTGTCCTCTGGTGTGTGTCAGGAAACATTCACACAATGGTAGGGGAAACCTACGAAGAACTTCTGCACAAGAGGCCAAGAGTTTGCACTGGGGACAAACGCCTCAATGCCCATGTTCCCCACATCCCCTCACAGCCGGTATTCATATACACCTCCTAGATTCCATCCGCTCTTCTGATTGGCTGAGTGCAGTTACCTCACCACGCCCTTCAACTTTTGGCGGGCCTTCTGTCTCCGGGCAGATTTTGCATCTCCTTCAAGGGAGCGTCCAGTGACTGCTCTGGGACTTAGAATTTAAACAGACCAGCACTTGCCGCACAACACACCAGATTTAACAATTGTCAATAAGGAAGACAAAGAAGTGTGGATGTGGCAGGACTGGGAGGCAGCAGAAGAGAAGAGAAAGAACTACAGAAGATCACAAAGACCTGCAAACAGAAATGGAACAATTGGGGGGGGGGGAGCAAAAGTAGGCCCAATAGAAATAGGGGCCTTGGGTGCAATCCCAAAACATCTGGAGCACCACTTGAACACCGTTAGCATTGACAAATTCACCCTCAGTCAATTGCAAAAGGCAACTTCACTCAAAATAGCTTACATCCTGTGACTTAACCTCTTAACACCCTAAAACATCCACTTCTGCCTCTCCCAGGTCTTTGGGAAGGCCTGGATCGGCGGATAAAAATGCCAACTCCAGTCTGGACATCTGGCTGACTCTGCAACCAACCATAACTGTCCCTCTGTTGTCTCTCTCTCTCAGCCTGACCCACCTCACAGGGTTGTTGTGGTGTGGAAAATAGAGGAAGAAGTATTATATATATTTGCTGCCTTGAAGTAGTGTTCTTATAAAGTAATAAAGGTGAGATAAATAAAATGTTAATTCATTGGCATCCTTCAGTCTCAAGAGACGATGGTATCGTGCTCTGGAAAGAGGTCCTAACACAGCATCTAGTGTGACTGAAAAGGCCAATTGGAGAGTGGCTATCAATCCCTTCCACCCTGAGGGCAGATAAATTCTGTCCCCTGCCCAGCCCCCCGATTTCGCTGGTTCCGGGACTGCCCCTTTGCCTCAGCCTGCCAAACAAGTGTCTCTTCGAATTGGAGAAGGCCAAGCTGCGTCTTTAGCCTCCAAGATGAACGATCAGAGGTCAAGGTTTCCCAGTTGTTCATGTCCATTCCCAGCGCCTTTAGGTCCCTCTTGCAGATTTCCTTGTATCGCAGCTGTGGTCTCCCTCTCAGGCACTTTTTTTTTTTTTTTTTTAAATTGATTTATATGCCGCCCTTCTCCGGAGACTCAGGGTGGCTTACAATGTGCTCAGCAATAGCCTTCATCCTTTTGTATATTTATACAAAGTCAGCTTATTGCCCCCACAATCTGGGTCCTCATTTCACCTACCTTTGAAAGGATGGAAGGCTGAGTCAACCTTGAGCCTGGTGAGATTTGAACTTGCAGTAATTGCAGGCAGATGTTAATCACAGTGCTTTTAGTCTGCTGAGCCACCAGGCTTTCCCTGCACTAATTCTCCATACAGGAGATCTTTGTTATTTGTTTGTTGTTTGAAAATGTTAATTAAATAATTATTAATACAGAGCAACCTGGCACAAAGAGAGATGCCAGGGCTTGGCACATGACATGAGCTCAGTGTTTGCCATTCTGATTCCTCCTTTTTCAAGCAGGTGGATTCCTCCTCTGCCCCCCCCCCCTCCATGCAGCCTCTGCGCTTGCTCTGAAGTTGTAGAACCAGGAAATATTAATAAAATTTTTTATTAATGTCTATTAATGAAACCAGGCTTGCATCTGGATGAGACCAAGGTATTTTACCGGGAGTTATGACTCAGGACACACGTTTATAACAGCGACTTGCTTCCTTCAACCCAATCTTGTGCTCCTGCCCCCCCCCCCCCCCCCCGAGTCTCCTCCGCTTCCCGGCGGCAGCTGTGCTCAGCCTTGCCAGGGCAGCTCCAGCCTGGCTGAGAAGAGGGAGAAGCGAAGCGAAGGGGGCCTGTCGTTAGCCGTCTGGTGCTGCCTCCCTCCGGCCTGGCAATGCCACCTTCGCCCTTCGTTCCCGGGCCTGTGCATCTGGCAACGTGGGATGGGCCATGCCCAGCCGCAATTTCCTTGGGGAGAAGGTGGGAAGACGCCCTTCGGCTGGCTCTTCTTCGAAAGGGCCCCACTAGCCTCTGGAGGAGGGGGGGGGTCTCCCCCACGCCCCCCGTGCAGCGCCGCCTGGGCAGAAGCAGCCGCTCTCTAGGAGGGGGGCAGGCGGGGCTGGGCGGGGCGCTCTCGGGGGTCCCGCGGGGCGAAGCTTTCTGGCCGCCGAAAGGGGGAAGCGAAGCAGGCAGCCCGCTCGCCTCGGGCAGCGTGGAGCCCTTGGCCGGAGCCCCGGGACCCTCCGCGGCCCAAGGCGGGCGCAGCCACTCGGGCCAGCTGCAGCGAGAGACCCCCAGCCCGGAGTAGAGGGGGGCTCTTCCACCCAGCCCTTGGCCCGCCCGGCGCCCCTCCCGCAGCCCAGCCTCGGGGACTCCCGGCGGGGGAAGGGCTGGAAGACCCTCCTCTACTCCAGCGGCGGAGCAGGCGGGCCCGGGGCCTCTCGCTGCAGCTGGCCCGAGGGGCTGCCCGGCGGCTCCGCGCGTGGCCAGGAGGGGCGACGAAGGCGCAGCGCCAGAAGCCCCTCCCCTCCGCCCGGAGAAGCCCCTCCCCCGGCGGAGGCCGGACCCCCGCACTTGAAGGCCGGCCTCCGCTGCCCCGCGTGACTCGAGCCGGGGCCGCCAGACACAGCTGGAGGAGGCGGCGGAGGAGCGGAGCTTCCGCGGGGCGGCCGAGGTAAAGGCGAGGTTGGGGTCTCGGGGGCTGCGGGGCGAGGCGGCTGCTCGGAAGCCCTTCCCCAGGCGCTCCGGGGCTTCCCTCGGGGCTCCCTCCCTGCCCTGAGCCTGGCCGGGGAGACGAAGCAGCCGCTCCTCTTCCTTAGCCACCGGGGCTTCGGCTCCCTCGGAGCCAGCCCGCAGGAGCTCTCCGTCTGCCGCAGCTGGGAAAGCGCTTTCTGGTGGGATCCGGGAGGTTTTGTGGCCTTTGGGGGGCCCTCCCAGACATCTGGAGGCGCTCCGTGAAAGTGGCGGGGGAGGGGGGAGACTCCCTCCCAGCAAGAGAGACGCAGTCAGGATTCAGATCAAGCTGTGCAGTAGTCCTCGACTTACAGCGTTTACATTTAGAGACTGTTCAAAGTTACAGTGGCACTGGAAAACAAGTGACTTATGGCTGCTTTTCACACTTGTGACCGTTGCAGCATCCCCATGGTCACGGGACCAAAATTCCGATGCTTGGCCATTGGTTCATATTTATGACGGTCGCAGCGTCCCGGGTTCCCATTTTGTGACCTTCTGACAAGCAAAGTCAACGGGGAAGCCAGATTCATTTAACAACCGTGCTACTAACTAACTTCACAACTGCAACGATTCACTTAATGACTGTGGGAAGAAAGGCTGTAAAATGGGGCAAAACTCACTGAACAACTGTCTTGCTTAGCCATGGAAAATTTGGGCACAATTGTGGTCGCAAGTCGAAGACTCCCCTGTAGTGCTGAGACATCATTGGTCACACTTATGCATGACCTTTGGAGGGCCCCGGGTGAGGGGCTCTTGCTTTCTACAAAATAATAGAACAAGAGAGACGGAAGGGACCTTGGAGGTCTTCTAGTCCCTGCTCAAGCAGGAAGCCCTGCACGACTTCAGACAAATGGTTGTCCAGCCTCTTCTTAAAAACTCCCACAACTTCTGGAGGCAATTTCTCTTCCACTGGCCAATTGCTCTCACCCTCTCCCATTGGTCTGGGATAACAGAATAACAGATGGCCTAAGAAGGCCAGTCGGGGCCTGGGGTTGGACTAGAAGACCTCCAAGTCCCTTCCAACCCTGGGACTCTGACTTGCATGTGTTATTTGAGATTAGCAATTCGTTGGCTCATCTCGGATCAGCGGCTTCCATTTTTCAAGGGGGGCTAAACCCACCACTTCCAGGGTGGACTACAACTCCCATCGTGGCTATGCTGGGCGAGCTATGCTGCGTGACGTGGTCTGACCCATCAGGTAGGGATCCCTGTTCTAGAACGTTCCGTCTTAGCCCCCATTGTTCTAACCTGTTTTCCTCGGTCGAGTTCATTGTGCTTGTTGGTGAACTTACTCTGTTCTTTAAAAAAAAAACCACAACCATTTCTAGACCCCTCCCAGCAGCTTTTCCAGTGCCAGGGCTGCTTCCTGCTCTTGAAATACTGATTATTTTCTTTATTGCTCTGTTTTCTCCTAGGGTGTTTCTCCTATTTTTCCTGAGTCTTCTCTCCTTTTGCAGCCTTGGACCGAGCGCAGCGTCTCCGGAGACCTCGGGCTGAAGATCCTCCCGGTGACGGTTGAATCCGGACTTCTCTGATTGGAGAGCAGTGGGGCATGCTGTGGGCTGGACCTCTGGCGCCCCACTCAAGTTGGTGACCTCGTGCCTTGGACAGGCTTCCTGCTTCCTTCTGAGCAACATGTCAGCCTTGCCTCCGTCCTGGCTCCTCGCCCTGTGCTCCCTGGGGCTGCTGGCCTCCCTCGGGTCAGCCTACCAACCCCCCAACATCGTCCTGATTTTTGCGGATGACCTGGGCTTTGGAGACCTGGGCAGCTATGGACATCCCACCTCTGCCACCCCCAACCTGGACAAGATGGCTGCCGAGGGCCTGCGCTTCACGGACTTCTACAGCAGCAGCTCCGTCTGCAGCCCTTCCAGGTAGAGTGGTCTCCTTCTCTTCTTCCGAGAGTCACCCCAGAAGAGTCTGAGGCCCCTCTTTTGTCAAGAGGGTTCAAGGCTGTCCATGAAGCAGACTCTTGACCTCAAAGCCCAAGGGAAAGGGAAACAGGCATCAAGAGAGGTGCTGAACCTCTTGAGATGCCCTCTGTGTCCAAGGTGGAGACCTTTCAGCTCTTGGCTTCCCTGGGCTCTGGCTCTGAGGATGATTGGACCTAACCATCTACAGGTAGTCTTTGATTTACGACCACAATTGAGTTGAAAATTTCTGTTGCTAAGTGAGACAGTGGTCAAGTGAGTTTTTCCCCCACTTTAAAATTTTCGATGCCACCGTTTTTAAGTGGCTAAGTTAGTTATATGTTTATCAAGTGAATCTGGCTTCTCCATGGACTTCGCTTGTTAGAAGGTCGCAAAAGGGGATCACGTGACCCTGGGACACTGCGACATAATATGAGTCACTTGCCAAGCATCCAAAGTTTGATCACGTGACCTTGGGGATGCTGCAAGGGTCGTCAGTGTGAACAACAGTGTTGTGGTCTGTTGACCGCCAGCCCCTCCAACAGCCAAATCAGGAGGAGGAGGGGGTGTGTGAGTCCAGGTCAGCATCAAGGCATAAGCTCCGAGGGGGAAGAGGGAATGGAGCTGTCAGAGAGAGAGACAGAGGCGGAGCCTGGGCCATCTGTCAACCCTCAGATTGAAAGTCAACAGCCCCCAGGACTGGAGGTGGCTGATGAGGAAGAGGAGGAACAGCTGGGTCCAGTGCCTGACGTGCAGATGCGCAGAAGGCAGAGGAGAGGAGAGCATTGGAAATCTATGGGCCGGTCCTTGGGATGGAAGAGCCACCGCTGCTAGCGAAGTCCCACCCTAGCTCTTGAGGATAAAAGGCAGGGGGTGGAGATGAATAGGTGTGGCAAGCAGCTATTCATCTCCCTGCTGGACAGATTTAATAAAAAATGTTTTTTTAATATCATCCATTCCATTTCTATGTTGAGCAGTGCGTTCTCTAGGTGTCCATGTTTTCTTTGCATGCTGTTGACATTGTAAGATTTTATGATTTCTATTCCACAATTTCTGCCACCTGTCCAAATCTATTGTGTAACCAAAATTCTTAGCCCAAATTATCATTGCTTCCTTTACTTGTTCCTCCTCCAACTTGTAAGTCAATAAATAACTGTATATCCGCTTGATTAATTTTTTATTTGTTTCCATTAAGATCTGGTCCAGTTCATTTGGTTCATTATAAAACCCGTATTCCTGCCTGTCTTTTTCATGTCTGATTTTATCTGCAACTGTGGCCACCATAATAGATCAATTCCTAATCCTTTTAGTTCTTGTTTTGTTTTTAGTTCTCCCCTTTTGTTTAATATGTCCTTATATCTTATAATTTTGTCCAAATTTATGACATTGGGCTATATCCACACCTCCATTATAGATAAAGATTCTGGCATTTTCCAATAGTGTTCTTTGATTTTGGTCCATGCTAGCAGTAATGCATTTCTAATGTCATGCTTCTGGAAGTAGCGGTGCATCTTGCCCTTCTCACGCCATAAAAAGGCAGGCAGATCATGCCCTTCCAACGCTAATAGCCTTTTAATCCTCAAATTAGCCCACTCTTTCACCCACGAAAGTGCCGATGCTTGGTAATATAGTTCCCAATCTGGAAGACCAAAACCACCTCTACTTTTAAGAGCTTGTAGCATTTTTAATTTTATTCTCGCCTTTTTGCCTTGCCGTACAAATTTTTTGATATCAACTAATTTAGGTCTTCAAAATATTTCCTGCCGGACGGACTTGTTAGCTTGCGGCGAGAGAGAGAGTTTTTGCCGGGGCTGCTGATGCCTCCTAATAAAGGAAACTTTGAGTTCCCTTCTTCAGAGGGTTTGGGGGGTTTGGGGTGCTGGCTCAGAAGAAACGGTCATATGCCACTTTTTTCAGTGCCGCTGTAGCTTTGAATGGTCCCTCAATGAATGGTGGTAAGTCCAGGACTTTGCGTTTCTCTCTGTGCAGGGCAGCCCTCCTGACTGGACGCTATCAGACCCGGTCCGGCATCTTTCCGGGCGTCTTTTATCCCGGGTCGCAGGGAGGCCTCCCGCTGGCCGAGGTGACGGTGGCCGAATTGCTGAAGGAGCAGGGCTATGCCACCGCCATGGTTGGCAAGTGGCATCTGGGCCTGGGTCCCAACGGCATGTTCCTGCCCACCAACCAAGGCTTTGACCACTTCTTGGGGGTGCCCTACTCACACGACCAGGTGAGAAGCTGCGGGGGGGAGGGGGGGGGGGGGGGATTCCGGGCTCCCTGGGACTGTCATCTCCTTGGGTGGAAGGGTCTGAATCCCCAATAGAAGGGTTGGACTTTCATGACCCAGCTAGGGAACATCATCAGTGCTAGAAGGGAGGGGGAAGGGCTTGCTTTCTGTTTAAATACCCCTCCCCTTCTAGCACTGATTATGATACCTAGTTGGGTCATGAAACGTCTGCAAGAAAACAACCAAACTCAGAGAGCACCAAGGACCCCAGAGAGAAGATTGAAACACACCGCCACACTTTGCAAAGAGACAGGAGGGAGGGGAGGAGGAGGAGGAGGTGGAAGAAGGAGAAGGAGGAAGAGAAGGAGGAGGGAGGGTGGGAGTGATGGTTGTCAGGCTTATGCCTCTTGTGGCTGTGCAAAGACTCAAGGCTACTTGCCCCCTTGCCCCCTCCTTCTAGCCTGACTAAGTTTCCCAACGGAGGGAGGGGGGGCTTGCTTAGAGGAGGGGAAGGGGCCGTGTGGCTTGCAGGGAGGGCTCCACTGCGTGCCTCCTCCCTTGCCCTCCCCTTCCTCACCCCTCCCGCCTCTTTCGCAGGGCCCCTGCCAGAACCTAACCTGCTTCCCTCCCAGCACTCAGTGCTTTGGGGTCTGTGACCAGGGGGTGGTCCTCGTCCCCCTCTTCCTGAACCGGAGCATTGTGCAGCAACCGATTTACTTCCCGCACCTGGAGGGCCACTACAACGCATTTGCACGAGATTTCATCATGGCTTCTGCCCAGCGCAAGCAGCCCTTCTTCCTCTACTACGCCTCCCACGTGAGTCTCCTGGGGCGGGGGGTGGGGGGGGGGGGGGGCATGAGCAGGAAGGGTGGGGTGGGGTAACCTCAGCCCATTGTATACAGGTAGTCCTCAACATACGACCACAATTGAGCCCAACATTTCTGTGGCTCAGTGAATTTTGCACCATTCTACGACCTCGCTTGCCACCGTTGTTAAGTGCAGTTGTTAAGTTGGCGACACGGTCGTTAAATGAATCTGGTTTCCCCCTTGACTTTGCTCATCAGAAGGTCACCAAAGGCATCACGTGACCCCCGGATGCTGCGAACGTCATAAATAGGAGTCAGTTGGCAAGCGTCTGAATTTTTTTTTTTAAAAAGAAAAGTTTTTTACTTTTATTTCTCATAAACACATTTACAAGCGTCTGAATTTTGACTTCCACGTGACCCTGGAGATGCTGCCACGGCCTTAAATGTGAAAGGCGGTCGTGAGTCACCTTTTCCAGTGCCCTTGAACGGTCATTAAATGAAGTGTTGTAAGTCCAGGACTACCCGTAGTGATAATAATGATGGTGCATTGGAAGGTCTGCAAAAAATGCCCTTTGCCTGCAAGCAAGAACTGGTGGGACCATAAAAGAGGGAGAGTCACAGAAAACGAAGACGCTAAACTCTCGTAAATCGAGGACAACCTGCGGCCTCCATTCATCTGGAGAGTCCGATGGGAAGCTTGGTGGCCTTTGGCCCTGGGTGTCCTGCACAGGAAGCCTCTCTGTTGGGGGGGGGGTGTTGCTGCTTCTCTGTCTCCGCTGCTCCCCTCACTCCCCCCCCCTCTCTCTCACACACACAGACACACACCCTGCGGAAGCCACACCCAGAGCAAAGTCCTTCTCCAACTTTATGGCTCGGCTCCTTTGATCCAGCCGGTCCTCTTTGGCCCTCGATCCTGAGCAGAAAATGCCCTGCGGATCAAACAGGGGCTGGAAGTTTCCATATTCCCACACTTGGCAATCTCACAAACGTCCCAACTTTTATCTCTGAAGTCTGATTGCAGGTCGAGGTGGCCCTTGACTTAGCAACCATTCGCTTAGTGACCATCCGAAGTTACAAGGGGAGCTGAAAAAGGGACCCAGGACCATTTTTCACACTTACGACCATTGCAGCATCCCCGTGGTCACGTGATCAAAATTCAGACGCTTGGCAGCCGACTCGTACTTAGGCTGTGGCAAGAAAGGTCGTAAAAAGGGTCACTTAACAACTGTCTCGCTTAACAACAGAAATTTTGGGCTCAACTGTGCTCCTAACTTGAGGACTACCTGTAGTGGAGGCCGATGTTTGCAGTCTTTCTGTCTAGAGAGCTTTTTTAGGGATTTAGTTGATGCGTTGCAGCTTCTGTGCAACACGGGGACCTATCCTAGAATTGGTGGGAATCTGCCCTGTGATTTGGGGATCCGTTTTGGGGATCCATTGCGCTCGTTCTGCTGAGTGGGGTGGCTGGGCCTGCCGGGGGCTGCTCTGGAGCTCCTTTTAGGTTGCTGGGTTTGGAAAGCAGAAGTCTCCATATAGTCATTCAGTTTTTCACACCAACATAGAATCATAGCGTAAGAGAGCTGGAAGGGACCTTGGAGGTCTTCTAGTCCAGCCCCCTGCTCAAACAGGAGACCCTATGCCGTTCCAGACAAATGGTTGTCCAGTGTCTTTTTGGAGGCCTCCAGTGATGGAAGTCTGTAGAGATTCTCAGTCCTTCAGGTCAGGGTTGTCCCAGAGGTGCTTTTTCAGGAGGCAACTGGACTTTCTGGTGTTTTCTTTTGAAGAGGTTTCGTTTCTCATCCAAGAAGCTTCTTCAGCTCTGATTGGATGGAGGGAAATGGAAGGAATATAAATCCCTCCATTCCCCACTATCCTGTCAGAGCTGAAGAAGCTTCTTGGATGAGAAGCGAAACATCTCCAAAAGAAAAAACCAGAAAGTCCAGTTGCCTCCTGAAAAAGCACCTTTGAGACTCCAGTGATGGAGCATCCACAGCTTCTGGAGGCAAGCAGTTCCACTGGTTAATTGTCCTCCCTGTTAGGAAATTTCTCCTTAGTTCCAGGTTGCTTCTCTCCATGATTAGTTTCCATCCGTTGCTTCTTCTCCTGCCCTCAGGTGCTTTGGAGAATAGCTTGACTCCCTCTTCTTTGGGGCAGCCCCTGAGATATTGGAAGACTGCTATCCTGTCACCCCCTCGTCCTTCTCTTCATTAAACTAGAGATACCCAGTTCCTGCAACCGTTCTTCATATGTTTCAGCCTCATCCTTTTTGAGACTCTTCTATTCATCCATCCAATTTCTACAGCTGCCCATCTCAGTCAGTGACTCTGGGAGGCTTTCAGTATTGATGGTTGTGTCTTTTCCCCCCTCTTTCCAGCATACCCATTATCCCCAGTTTGGGAGCCAAAACTACACCGGCCGATCCCCTAGAGGACCTTATGGTGACTCCCTCCTGGAGTTTGATGGAACCGTCGGCTTCCTCTTGCGAGCTTTGCAGGATGCCGGGGTCCACAAAAATTCGCTGGTGTTTTTCACGTCCGACAATGGGTAAGTGCGCAGCCGGGGCCAGCCTTTGGCTCAGGAACGGAGAGAGGGCTGCAGGAAGGTGGTCAGTTTAGCCTCAAGGGTTGGCACAGGCCAGGCAGTCCTTTCTGACCATCGGTGATGAATCCTGCTGCCACGAAAGTATCTCTGCATAGCTTGGGCGGGTTCTTATAACACCAGAAAATCCAGTTTAACAGAACCTCATGGCAGGGCCCCAGACGTGCTTTTCCAAAAGGCAACCAGACTTTCTTGGGTTTTTTCCTTGAAAACATTTCCCTTCTCACCCAAGAAGCTTCTTCCGTTCTGGAGAAGTTCTTCAATTTTTCAGAACAGAAGAAGCTTCTTGGATGAGAAGAGAAACGTTTTCAAGGGGAACCCCCCCCCCAAAGAAGTCTAGTTTGGCAAACTTAAAAAACAAAACCTTTTTAAAGAAATTGTGCACTTAAAAAAAGAGACAAACACACACACACATGCATATCGTCCCCCCAGGAGTGAAATCCAGCAGGTTCTGACAGGTTCTGGAGAACCGGTAGCGGAAATTTTGAGTAGTTCGGAGAGCCGGCAAATTTGCCACCTCTGGCTGGCCCCAGAGTGGGGTGGGAATGGGGATTTTGCAGTATCCTTTCCCTGCCACGCCCACCAAGCCACGCCCACAGAACCGGTAGTAAAAAATTTGAATTTCACCACTGCGTGCCCCCCCCAGTTGAATACCAATAGATATATTACAACAATAATAGTTTCCACCCCCCCACCTTGCAAAACAGGCCCAGAGTTTATAAATTGCTTACTATTGAGGACTTGCTGGACTGCTGCTGAGGTTCAAAGTCGTTTGCTAAAATATCATTTCCCATTTCTCGACAGCCCAGAGACGATGCGCGGGGGCCGAGGAGGAAGTTCTGGCTTGCTCAAATGTGGGAAGGGGACGACCTACGAAGGGGGCATGAGGGAACCAGCTGTGGCCTATTGGCCAGGTCGCATTGCGCCAGGTGAGCCGGTGGGACGGGAGGACCTCAGCTTGCCATGGGGCAGGGGCAGAGGGGGTGCTCCTTCAATCAGCCCCTCCCTGACTGCTTTCTCTTGGAGCCAGGTGTGACCCATGAACTGGCCAGTACCTTGGACATCCTGCCCACGGTGGCTGCTCTGGCTGGGGTGCGTCTCCCCAACGTCACGCTGGATGGATATGACCTGAGCCCCGTCCTCTTCGGGAAAGGAGAGGTAGGCTTCGGGGGGCAGCTGTGAGGCCGCGAGGGCCTCGCTTTCCATGCCCTTGGATGTCCATGGAGATCCTCCATCATCCAGGTCACGGTTGTCCCAGAGGTGCTTTTCCAAGAGGCAACGGGAAGTTCTCCGTTTTTCCTTGAAAACGTTTCGCTTCTCATCCAAGAAGCTTCTTCAGTTCTTCTTGGATGTTTTCATGCAGACTTTTCATGTCCCAACTAGGTAACGTCATAAGTGCTAGAAGGGAGGAGGGGAGGAGAAGGGGAAAGAGGAGGAGGAGGAGGAGGAGGACTGAGGTCCTTGGTGCTCTCTGAACTTGGCTGCTTTCATGCAGACGTTTCATGACCCAACTAGGTAACATTATCAATGCTAGAAGGGAATAGGATTTGTGGGGTGGGGGAGGAGGATGACCACAACGACAATGACTCCTCTGGGGTCCTCGGTGCTCTCAGAGCTTGGCTGCTTTCATGCAAACGTTTCACGACCCAACTAGGTAGCGTCATCAGTGCTAGAAGGGAGTGGGGGTTTTGGAGAGGAGGAAGAGGACTGTGGGGTCCTGATGCTTTCTGAGCTTGGTTGTTTACTTGCAGACCTTTCCTTACCAAATTAGGTAACGTCATCAGGGCTAGGGTGATGTTGTCTTGTCTGATTCTTCTGACAGAGCCCCCGTCAGACCATGTTCTTCTACCCGTCAGCTCCTGATGAGCTGTGTGGGGTTTTTGCTGTCCGCTATGGCAAGTACAAAGCCCACTTCTTCACCAAAGGTGAGCCCTTTATTGATTGATTAGATTTACATGCCGGCCATCTCACTGTCAAGAGACTCTGGGCGGCTTATCGTATCCGAAAAGCAGACGTAGAAAACATTAGCCATCAAAATGAACAAAGATTGATTAAGTTTAAAGCCAGAATATTCGGGATGGGGTTGAGATGTCCTTCCTAGCCTACTGACTACCTCCAGGATGGGATGCCCCCATCGGAACCCCAACCCAGTTGGCAGAGCCGGGTTTTAAGGCCCTTCTGGAAGGCCAGGAGGCTGGGGGAGATCTCACTTCCAGGGGCCTGGTGTTCCCGAGGGTGGGAGCCACAGCAGGAAAGGCCCTTCTCCTGGCACCCATCAGCCGGAATTCCTCGACCGGCGGGGTCTGCAGGAGGTCTCTTCTGCCAGAACCACTGGGGCAAGATGGTTCCTTGGGTACCTGGGCCCCAGGCCACAGAGGGCTTCAAATGTCACAACCAACTCCTTGAATTGGGAGCGAACTGGCAACCGGTTCTTTGCTGCCTGCCTAAAGTGGTCAGGAGTGAAACTTCCAGTCCTGAGATAGAGATGGAGATGGAGAGAGGGGCAGGCAGGGAGGCAGAAACAGAGACAGATGGAAAGATGGGTAGATAGATAGATTCTCTCTCTCATTTCTCTCCCCTCTCTCTCCCCTGTTTCATCCCTCTTTCTTCCCTCTCTCATCCCTTTCTCTCCCCCCTCCCCGTCTCATCCCTCTCTCTCCCCTCCCTCCCCTCTCTCATCCTTCTCTCTCTCCCATCTTTCTCTCCCTCCTCCCCTCTCCTCCTCTTATCCCTCTCTCTCCCTTTCTCTCTCCCACTCTCTCATCCCTCTCTCATCCCCCCTCTCTCCCCTCTCATTCTTCTCTCCCCCCTCTCTCCCCCTCGCTCTCGCCCATCTTTCTCTCCCCTTTCTCATCCTTCTCTCTCCCCTCCCTCTCCCCCCTCGCTCTCTCCTCTCTCTTCCCTCTCATTCCTTTCTCTCCCTCCTCCCCTCTCCCCCTCTCATCCCTCTCTCTCCCTTTCTCTCTCCCCTCTCATTCTTCTCTCCCCCCTTGCTCTCGCCCATCTTTCTCTCTCCTCTCTCATCCTTCTTTCTCCCCCTCCCTCCCCCATTCCTCTCTCATCCTTCTCTCTTTCACCCCCCTCTCTCTCTTTATTTGCCACCCATCCTACCTCTGGGTGGTTTACAATATTAAAAAGATAACCACACCACAAAGCCCATGCGCCATAAAACGCTCCATACCCAACCAGCCTCCCGTCTCTCTTTCGATCTCCAGGAGCCTTCGCAAGCGCTGCCACCCCTGACCGGGCCTGCGGCGGCTTCACTGCTCTCACCCCCCAGGAGCCCCCCTTGCTCTTCGACCTCGAGATGGACCCTGCGGAGAACTACAACCTCCTGCCAGCCGGGGCCCAGAAGCCCGGGATCCTGAAGGTCCTTAAGGAGGCCCGCCTGCTGAAAGCTGCCTTCGACCAGGACATGACCTTTGGGGAAAGCCAGCTGGCCTTGGGGAGCGACCCCTCGCTTCAACCGTGCTGCAGCCCCCAGTGCAGCCCCAAGCCCTCCTGCTGCCGCTGTGGCTCTTAGCCCCCCCACTCTTTCCTCGCACCCCCCGTCCGTGACCCACGTCTTGCTCTTCTTCCCCTGGCAGAAGAGCCGGGTTCGGTTTAGTACACTCCTGTTCTGTCCCCAACCCCACGCACACACACCAACAGACGTTCAGGAGTTAAAGACCAAACCAGCCGGCAAAATCCTTTTCCTTATGATAACGGAACTTGGCAACAACCTAGTGGCTGCCTGCCAAGAGTTTATTACTTACGAAGAGGAGAGAGAACTTCTCCCCGCTTCTGATACATCAAAGGAAAGCAGCTCAATAATTACGGAATTAATCAAGTCCAGAGATACTCTAGCAAAGTCTTAAAGCAAAAGTCCGGCAATGCAGAATGGCGTGGAAGCTTTCAGCTTTGTTCGTCACAAAGTTTGACCGGCCACCACGCTCCCTTTTATACCCTGTGGAGTGTGGTCCAGTGACTCAGCTAATCTCTGGCACGCCTTCCCCTCTGTTGCACATGCTTCTCCCTGCGCCACTGTTGAGGATCCAGCCAGCACTTATCTCCTTCGTCGCTGTCCACCTGTGGCTGTGGGGACGTGCTTGGCTCTGGGTCTATCTCTTGGCCTTCGGTGTCCTCTGGAGGCATTGCCAGAGAGGAGGGTCCTGGAGAGGGAGGCCTTGCCAACTCCTCTTCTTCACTCTCGGAGTCCTCTCCTGCCGATGACACAGGCTCAGGTAACGGAGCCACAACAACTCCCAAGGAGTTTTTGCAATTTTTTTTTTAAAATCGGCAAACAAAATTTAATCCCATCTTGCTTTCTGACACAGGCAAGTTCCGTGATCCTGAGCAACCTCTTCTGCTGGATGAGAAGTCCAGGTGCCCCCCCTTCCCCTCTTAGCAGCGAGGGGAGAATGTCTCTCCTGCAGCTGCATTTCTTCCCTTCTTTAAAACTCCAAACTCACCAGGAATGGAGATCATGTCCCATTCTTCCCCGTCAAAGACTATCGGGGTTGGAGGCTGAAGGGGTCTTTTTCTGTATCGTGGATGCCGTATTCCAAGGGTGGCCTTACCAGAGTGGCATAAAGCAGGGCCAACCGTTCTTGGAATCATCCCTGTGTTGATGCAACCCAGGAGTGCATTGGCCTTTTTGGCAGCTGCAGCACACGGCTGGCTCATGCTTAAGCAGCCCTCCAGTTTCCAGGCTGAGGTAGACAAGAGCTAGCGAGGATTGCTCTATGGCAGTGTTTCTCAACCTTGGAAGCTTGAAGATGGGTGGACTTCAACTCCCAGAATCCCCCAGCCAGCAGCGCTGGCTGGGAGATTCTGGGAGTTGAAGTCCACCCATCTTCAAGCTTCCAAGGTTGAGAAACAGTGCTCTATGGAATGTGAGGATGAGTCCAGAGCCAGGGGTGAGGGGAGGGGGCAACTCACACAGAGGGAAAAGACATGAAATCACGAATCTCTGCATTTGGAAGCCGCCTCAGCCCTCCCCATCTCTGCAACCTGCAGCAAATGCATTTGCAGCTTCCTTGCGAGGTGGTTGTGCAGCCCCATCAAGCTGGAGAGAGAGTAACAACAAAATAACTGAGTTGGAAGGGGCCTCGGAGGTCTTCTAGTCCAACCCCCTGCTCAAGCAGGAGATCCTGTACCACTCTGGACAAATGGCCGTCCAATCACCTCTTAAAAACCTCCAGGGATGGGGCACCCACAGGCGTGTTAGGATGGAGAGATGGTTGAAGCTGGCCATGTTGCTCGCCTGGACTCTGAGGTTGTAAAATAACTTTTCCCCTGCCATGGGGCTGAATATCTGTAGCTCGGGTGGAGGATGAGGGTTGGGGGGTTCATTCTCTTGAGGTTGTGGGTTGGTTTCCAAATGTTTCATTACCAGGCTAGGTAACTGTCAGGGTTCCAAGCAAGGCACCCATAGAAAGCAGAACTCCAAGGCAGGCAATTTCCCCAAAGAACAGTTTTTTTGGATACATCATATTGGCACAACTGGTGAAAGCCGACTCTGAAAGTTCCTGGGGCTTTCACCAAATTAAAAAGTAAAAGTTTCCCCTTTCTCCCAAGTCACTGCTGTCCAATCCCAGGTGCTGGCCGGTTGCTTGGTTACTTGGCTCCTCCCCTGGCCAGCCACCTGTGAGAATGTCCTTGGTTCCCACAGGAAAGCTTTACTGTTTCGGCTACAAAACCCCATCTAGCTATTCCCCCCCCCCTTCCCTCTTATGTGGCAACCCTGATGCCTCCAAGACGGCTTCAGCCAGGTTCACTTCAGGGTTGACAGTAACATCTTCAGTGGGGTTTAGGGGAGGTCAGTGCTGGTGTTTTTCTGCTTGTAAAGGGCCTCGTGTGGTCAGTAGATCTTGTGATGGGAAGGTCGTGTCAGGGGAGGGTCCCGTCGTAGAAAGAGCTTCTTCCTTGAGTGAACATGTCCTGTTTCTCAATTGAGTCACGTCTGTGATGGCCCCCCTTGAGTCCTTGGCCCAGTGGGACCTCAGCAAGATCCCACCTATATTGGCCATTCTTGCTTTGTTATTTATTGATTAGATTTGATATTGGGGTTGCCTGGGTCTAGAGATCGATCCCTTGACCCATCACAAGACCCTCACGTAACGTGACCCTCACCTGACGTGACCTCCCATCACTAGACCTACTGGCCACACGAGGCCCTTAGAAGCAGAGAATATCAACACTGACACCCCCTATACTCCACTGAAGGTGTCACCTCGCCTGGTAATAAAATGTTTGGAAGTGTTTTATTACGCTTTATTACAAGCTCAGAGAAGGTTCCCAACTAACTTTCCCCTCTTTTCTTAATTCGCTGCTACCCCCCCTTCCCCCCGGAAGGCTCTTCCAAAATTCCTAGGATTATGTCTAACAAAAGCACTTTTAAAAAGCCCTAAGGGGCAGCCCAGGCATTGACATCTATGATGTTGGGTTTCTTTCTACTGCTTTCTTCAAAGATCCGAAAATGCTAATTGTTTAATTTGAAGTTTAATTTTAATATTTTTTTTAAAAAAAGTTTAAACTGTGGACATTATGACAAAGAGAAGTCCCGTGTGATTTTTCTGTATTTGGAAAATAAATTCTTGATTTCTTAAATATGCAATATGATGTGTTTTTTTCCAGACACAGGTATTCCTGTATATGCCGCCCTGAGTCTTCGGAGAGGGGCGGCATATAAATTGAATTAAATTGAAATTGAAATTGAAATTGAATTCCTTGAGTTATGACCGCTCTCTTAGCGACCGTTCAAAGTTATGACGGACCTTCCCCAAAAAGTACTGACAACCCAGATTCAAAGTTCCAACGGCTGCCCCCCACCTGCGCTCGCAGGATCCCATTTTGGGGGCTCCCAACTGGCCGGCCTCTATGGCTTTTTGCATAACATGACCTATTTCTGGTTTCTGGGGAAAAAACATCCCTTTGCAGACAGTCTGTTTGCTTAACAACCATCGGAAAAAAAAAGTCACAAAATCAGATCATTCATGGGATGACCTGAGTGGCCTAGAGATGGAGGTCTCGCTTTGCAATCAGGAAGCTGTGAGTTCAATTCTAGGTAGAGGCAGATATTTCTCTCTCTGGGCACAATGAGAATATAACTCCTCATGGGTGACAGGAAGGGCATCTGGCCAGTAAACACTGCTAGCTCCATTCAGGTGCCCAGACTCCACCCCACCAGGGATTAGGGGGTCGTTAAAAGATGATGATGATTCATGCAATGACCTGCTTTAACAACCAGCACAGCATAGGACCATAATTACTGACTCAATCACAATTGTGAATCAAGAAATATATTATTTTATTATTATAACTGTATTAACTGTAATACACTTACAGGTACCAGTCCTTGACTTAAACCACAGTGAAGTTTGTAGTTCTTTTTTTTTTTATTATTGAAAAGTTTTACAAAAAACAAAAATTTTCTTCCCCCCATATTCCCCCCACCCTTTCCCTCCCCTCATCCCCCCCTCCCCCCCAGACTTCCCAGAGCAAAATACAAGGTGTTTCATTTAACAATCATAAACTAGATTAACCTACTTATCCTCAGACTACTAACTCCCCCCCTGAAACCTTAACTCCACTATAGATAACATAATACTTCTAATACTTAACATTCATTCATAAGCTATTTGATATTTTCTTGTCTGATACTTATTTTGAATATAATCAATCCATCTTCTCCATTCCGATACATATCTTTCTTGTGTGTGGTCCTTCAGGTACGCTGAGATTTTCGCCATTTCTGCTAAATTCATTACTTTCAGTATCCACTCTTCAATAGTGGGCAAAGAGTCCTTCTTCCAATATTGCGCTACCAACAGCCTAGCTGCTGATATTAGATTCAAAATCAATTTAGTCTCTGATACTGTACAGTCCATAGTTATACCCAATAGGAACAATTGAGGAGTAAATTTCAACCTTCTTTTCAGAATATTCTGCATCACCCACCAAATTTTTATCCAAAATGCCTTGATTTTCTTACAGGTCCACCATATATGATAATAGGTTGCATCATTACATTCACATCTCCAACATTTAGCTTGCAAATTCGAGTACATACATGATGATTTTTTAGGATCTAAGTGCCATCTATAAAACATTTTATAAAAATTCTCTCTCAAATTTTGTGCTTGCGTAAATTTAACATTTCTGACCCAAATCTTCTCCCATATTTCCATCATCACTGGTTCCTGGAAGTTTTGTGCCCATTTTATCATACAATCCTTAACCAATTCCGTTTCTATTTCCAATAATGCATTATACAACCTTTTAATATGCATCTGGCTTTGATCTCTAATCTGTTTCACCAGATTTTCCTCATTTTGCATAACACCAAATTTTTGATCTTCCCTCCATCTAGCTTGAAGCTGACCATACTGAAACCAAGTATAAATTATCCCTTCTTCTTTTAATTCATCTAAAGATTTCAATTGCAATTTACCCCTTTCCAAGAAAAGAAGCTCTTTATAAGTAATCACCTCTGTTTTTTGCTCTATACTTATATTTTCTATTGCATGTCTGGGATTTGCCCATATGGGTATCTTATAGTTTAGCTTATATTGGTACTTTTTCCAAACCCTCAACAACGCATTTCTGAGTATATGACCCTTAAACACTTTATCCACTTTTTTTTCATATAACAAATAAGCATGCCATCCATACAACAAATCATAACCTTCCATGTTTAACGTTCTTTCTTCAGTTAACTGAAGTTTGTAGTTCTTGACTGACAACCACAGTCCTCAATTTACAATCTCAACTGAGCCTCACTTTTCTGTAAATAAACAGTTGTTAAGTGAGCCTTGCCCCTTTTTACGATCTTTCTCGTCACACTTAAGTGAATCATTGCAGTTGTTAAGTTAGCAACAGGGCTGTTAAGTTGTGAAGTGGCTGTTTATAAGTCGAGTTCCATCTGTACCTTTATGGACATAAACCGCAATGGCCGTTTCTTTCCGTTTTGCAATCCCAAGACTACAAACAAACCTGCTGGATGGTATCCAGTGCTGTGCCATTACAGGACCTTAGGATACAGAATAACAGCGTTGGAAGGGACCTTGGAGGTCTTCTAGTCCAGCCCCTTTCTCAAGCAGGAGAACCTAGAACAATGGCTGTCCTGTCTCTTCTGAAAAGCCACAACTTCCAGAAGCAAATTTTCCCACTGATTAATCGTTCATACACCTTCAGCCAGGATCTCCCTTTTTCCCATAGAGGATCTCTTGGGTTTGCTGAGATCCAGATCATTTTGTCCGTGGAAGTGCCTATACCACAATCAGTTCCCACCAGTTTCTGAGATGGCGAAGGGTTGGGTACTGCGGTCGTGGCTACAATAAAACTCTCGAAACAGTTTTCAAAAGCAGGCCGTTTTAGCTTCAGGTGGTCCTCGAGTTATGACCATAATGGAGCCAACATTTATGTTGCTAAGCGAAATGTTAAGCGAGTTTGCCCCATTTTATGACCTTTCTTGCCACAGTTGTTAAGTGAGTCATTGTACTTATTAAGTTAATAACTTGGTTGTTAAATGATTCTGGTTTCTCCGCTGACTTTGCTTGTCTGTAGGTCGCAACCCCCCTCAGAGAGGGCTCGCAACTTGGGCGTCCTCCTGGACTCACGGCTGTCTTTGGATGATCATATGACGGCCGTGGCCAGGGGGGCTTTTTATCAGGTTCGCCTGATTTCCCAGTTGTGCCCCTTTCTGGATCGGGACGCCTTGCGCACAGTCACTCACGCCCTCGTCACTTCCCGTCTGGACTACTGCAACGCTCTCTACATGGGGCTCCCCTTGAGGAGCACCCGGAGGCTCCAACTGGTCCAGAATGTGGCCGCGCGAGTAATAATGGGGGCGACCCATCGCTCCCATGTAACACCCCTCTTGCGCGAGCTGCACTGGCTCCCAGTGGTCTTCCGGGTGCACTTCAAGGTGTTGGTTACCATCTTTAAAGCGCTCCATGGCTTAGGACCTGGCTATCTACAAGACCGCATTCTGCCACTGATTGCCTTCCACCGACCGGTACGCTCCCACAGAGAGGGCCTCCTCAGGGTGCCATCAGCCAAACAATGTAGACTGGCGACCTCCAGGGGGAGAGCCTTCTCTGTGGGGGCCCCTGCCCTCTGGAATGAATTACCCCCGGACATACGAAGGATCCCTGACCTCTGCTCCTTCCGTCGTGCAGTGAAGACCCTGTTATTCCAGCAAGCCGCTCTGATGGGATAAATGGTTTTAATTTGGTTTTAATGGGGTTTTAAAATTGGTTTTAAAAGAGAGTTTTAAATTCGGCCTATGATTTAATTATTTTAATCTGCTTTTAAATTCTATTTTGTACACTGTTTTATTATGGCTGTTCACCGCCCTGAGTCCTTCGGGAGAAGGGCGGTATATAAATAAAATAAAATAAATAAATAAATAAATAAAAGGGGATCACACGACCCCGGGACACTGCAACGGTCATAAATATGAATCAGTTGCCAAGTGTCCAAATTTTGTTCGTGTGACCATGGGGATACTGCAACTGTCATAACTGTGAACAGTCATAAGTCACTTTTTTCCATGCCATTATAACTTTGCACCATCACTAAATGAGCTGTTGTAAGTCAAAGACTACCTACACGTGTGAAGTAGCATTTCCTCCAATTTTAAGTCCTTGATTGGTGGACTCTGTAGAAGAAGATCTTTTAGCAAGAGATCTATAAAGAACCCCTCGCAGAAGATCTTCAAGCTTCTAGAAGCTCTATTGCAATAGGTTTCAAACATGGCGACTTTAAGAGTTGTGGACTTCAATTCCCAGAATTCCCCAGTCAGCCTCGCTCTATTGTGTGTAGACATTCCACCAGCTTTGCCATGACCACCAGCCATCTTCCAAGTAGTTCTTTGGGGCCGCCATTAGGGCAGGTGCTGTGTGAATCCAAGACAGGGTTGACTTCACCCAAGGAGCTCTTCCCACGCTGAAGGCCACGAGTCTGGGCCAGGAGTGGTTGAGTGGTCCGTTCCTTCCGGCCTGCCCTCATGAACCAGGGCCAGACCCGTCTCCTAGCAACACAGAAGGAGAACCCACTGATGTCGACATCTCCCTGCTGTGGCACGACTTGAACAATGGGGAACAGATGCCAAGGACCATAGCTGGGAATGGAGACCCAGCCAGGGCTGCTCCTGCCAATCGTGGTCTTGTTGCAGTTGTGGGGGACACAGGGCTACAATCCAGAGAGTGAGTAGGGTCTGGAGGAGGAGGAGGAGGAGGAGGAGGAGGAGGAGGAGGAGGAGGACATTGAGGCCCACACAATGTTGACTGCCTGGTAGGGTCCTGTTTAAGTCCACCTGGGACTTCTCAATATCCTTGGGACGCAGATGTGGGAACTGGGGAGAACCAAAGAGGACCCATCGAAGGTTCTTACCTGATCTAACCATCCTCTAAAATCAGAAAAAGACCAAACACAACAATTTTGTGCCCAGATTGTCTCAGTGCCAAGAGCAGTCGTGTTGCTGCTTGAGGTACCCTTAAATGCAGCTCAGGTTAATTATCTTATTAAGTTCAGTTGTTACTTAAGACTTTTAATTCCAGATCCAGAGTTCAGGTTTGCTATCTCTAGCAACCACATGTGCTGTGGGCTGTGAATCACCCACCCAGAGGGCTTCACAGTTGCTTAAAAAAACACAACACGCCTCATTTGCCTCACCTGAGTGGTGCCAATGGGTATGGGGCCTTCTTGGCTGCAGGATGTTTTCTGCCCTCTGTCCCTTCACTGTTGGCACAGGCAGCCTGTGTTGTCTGCATCTCAAACTGAAGTTTGAGATGTTAGTTGGAGATGTTTCCAATACTATTGGATATGTGAATTTAACAGATTAACAGAGTTGGAAGCAGAGGTGGGTTTCAGCAGGTTCCGACCAGTTCTGGAGAAATGGTAGCAGAAATTTTGAGTAGTTTGGAGAACTGGTAGTAAAAATTCTGACTGGCCCCACCCCCATCGATTCTCTGCCTCCCGAGTCCCAGCTGATCAGGAGGAAATGGAGATTTTACAGTATCCTCCCCCTGCCATGCCCACCAAGCCACGCCCACCAAGCCACACCCACAAAACCGGTACTAAAAAAATTTGAAACCCACCACTGGTTGGAAGGGGCCTTGTAGGTCTTCTAGTTCAACTCCTCACACAAGCAGGAGACCCTACGCCGTTTCTGAGAGATGCCAGCCCAGTCTCTTCTTGAAAGCTTCCAGTGATGAAGCTTCCACAACTTCTGAAGGCAACTTCTGTTCCATGGGTTGATTGCTCTCACTGTCAGAAAATTCCTCCTTATTTCTAGGTTGAATCTCTCCATGTTCAGTTTCCATCCATCATTCCTTGCCTGGCCTTCTGGTGTTTTGGAAAATAGCTTGACCCCCCCTCCCTTCTGTGGCAGCCGCTCATGGAACCCTGCTATCCTGTCTCCCCTGGTCCTTCTCTTCACTAGACTAGCCATGCCATGCAATCCCATGATGGTTTGGTGGCTTCTACCAAGTTTTGCTCTGACAGTTCCACACAGCTAGGATGGGATTGTCTTAGCCTCAATCTGACTCATTTCTCCGTTTCCCTTTCAGCCTGCGGGAAGCGGCCCTTGGCGCCCAAGCATGGCAGAAATGTGCGGATTGTGGGTGGCGTCGACGCCATGCCAGGAATGTGGCCTTGGCTTGTCAGCATCCAGATCCCCTCTTCCAAGGGACCTCGGCACTCGTGTGGGGGATCCCTCCTGGCCGAGCATTGGGTCCTCACCGCGGCTCATTGCTTCAAGACAAAGAAGAGGTGTGTATAAAGTTGGCATCTGGCCGGGTCTCTGTAACGAAGAGGCTGGTGAGGCTGTCCCCGGGTAAACCCCCAGAGTCACTCATTGGGGAGATATAAATTTAACAAATAATATTGACCTATTGAGGCATCAGTCCTGGGTGAGGAATATATGATCTTTCTGGGCATGTACATAACCTAATCAGCCTTCAGCGTGGTGTCTTCAGAGGCTGGGCTAGAGGAATATGGAGTTGACTTTGGGATAGGAAGAAGTGAGCCATTCAGGATGGACTTTCAAATAAAAATTGCACAGTCCAGAGTTTGAAGGAAGCGTGAGAAAGAAACGGAAGGTAACCCCAGATTTTCTAGATTCTGTTACTTCACCCTAAATTAAGGGTAGCAATTCCTGAAATCCCTGAAACCTTGACTTGACTTTTCCCAAAGGGCTCCCATCAACCTCAAAGACCATCCCATTTTCTCTCTGTTCCTTGGATACCTAACAAAATCCAGGTGGGGTTATCTACACAGGATTTCTCTTCAGGGTCTCTGGCTGCCTCCATCGTCCCATAAAATGGACTGGGAACCAAGAACAACATCTTTTCTCCTGGGAACACAGCACAGTGGTGCTGTTTCTTATTTGTGGCCCAATAAGTCTTATCTTCTTCTTCTTTTGGCCTCAATCCAGGGAACGGTGCTCTCCTTCCTTTGCAGTGTCAGACCCAAATGCAAAGACGGCCCAACGAAACCCAGTTGAGCGTGTTGGAGAGCCACCATCCTGGTTGGGAGGAGGGCTTAAGTGAAGAATCAGCCCAGACTCACTACATAAACACAAGAGGGAGAAGTCTGACTTTCACCCCCTTGAATGCCTGAGACCCTTATCTGGTTGTTCCCATGTGAAAAATGCCAGTTTGGGAAGATTCCTGTATTATAGTCAGTGAACAATGAAGTTGCTAGTTTGAAGTTGACACCTGTGAGACTGATTGGATGTAGTGGATATAGAAGAAGAAGAGGCAGAGGCAGAGGCAGGGGATGGAGTTAAGTGTATCATTAGCTTAGAGTTGTTAACATTGCCGCAAATGATCCAAGTTGAATCCTTTTTAAATTCTGTTGACTGTTATCTACATCAATTTACTATTGAACTCTAGATTCTTAAATTATATAGGCTTGAACAATAAATCCTTTCAGAACTGCAACTTCGTATATGATCCTGATCCTTTGCATCCTTTATTTGCTTAAACCTAATGGACATAATCTCGCCAGAGTAAAGTTATAACCTTCTAACTTGCTATATATACCCTGACAGATTTCAGGGTGTGGGTACCCTAACCTCTTCTCCCCTTCCCCATCCAGCTCAGCATCTTGTCTTGGGCCCCACCCTGGAATGTGCTGGATCTACCCTGGGAAACTGGGGTGCTCCTAAGATTCCCCCCACTCCTTCACCAGGTGCATCACCTGCAGATATGTAGGGGTGTCAAACTGAAGGCCCGTGGGCCGGATGCGGCCCACTGGGTGCTTAGATCTGGCCCACGGGCCCACCCTAGAAACAGCGAAGGACTGGCCTGCTGCCTCTGCCAGCGAAAACAGAGCCACATGTGGCCTCTCTGAGCTCCGTTTTCTCTGGAAAAGGACTGCAGAAGGCCATCGTGGCCGAAAACAGAGCCCGAATGGGCCGTGTGCAGCCTCCCCAAGCTCTGTTTTCAGTGGCAGAGGGCTGCAGGAGGCTGTTGTGGCTGAAAACGGAGCCTCAATGAGTGATATCGAGCTGGCCATGCCCACCCTGGCCATGCCGTCCCCCCTGGTCCCCCGAGGTCAAACACAATCCTGATGCAGCCCTCAATGAAATGGACTTTGATAGCTCTGTTCCAGTGGGTCTCCTACTAATGGTGCTCCATTTTTTTGCAGCTCGTTGCATCTTTGGCGGATTGTGGTGGGAGCCACCGATCTCTCCAAGCTGCCAGATGACGTGCAGACACACACCGTGAGCAAAGTGGTCCTCCATCAAGATTATAATCCCCTCACGGAGGAAAACGACATCGCGCTGATCAAGCTGGACAGCCCAGTGACGTTCAATGACTACGTGCAACCGGCCTGCTTGCCTCGGGTCACCATGGGCTCCGAAACCAACTTCACCAGCTGCTTTGCTACAGGCTGGGGAATCACGGCTGAAAACAGTAAGGAGACGGACTCCCGGAGGGCCAAAGGAGCCCTTGGCAAACCCTGCAGGGCACAGATTGCTGAGTTCCTAACGAGCTTTCCTTTTCTGCTGAAGCAGCCAATATTTACTTACTCCGCTCCCTTCAGGTTTTACAGAACAAGAGTTAACCAAAGGTTATCCTTCATTGCATGCAGGCTATGCTGCTTGCGTACGCGTGTGTGTGTGTGTGAGTGAGTGGGGGGGGGGGGAGGGAGTCTCTTCTAGTTAGATCCTGCAATTTTGAGAAGATGTAGAGATGTTATGAAGTTTTAGCTCATACTGTGATCTGCCTCCTTCTACTCCCCTCCAATGATAAGTTATCACCAGAATAGAGCTGGAAGGGACATTGGGAGGTCTCCAACCTCCTGATCAAGCAGAAGACCCCACCCTTCAGACAAGTAGCTGTCCAGTTTCTTCTTAAAAGCCGCCAATGATGGAGCACCCACAACTTCTGAAGGGAAACTGTCCCACTGGTTAATTATTCTCATTGTTTCTCCTTAATTCCAGGTGGCTTCTCTCCTTGATGGGTTTCCATCCATGGCTTCTTCTCTTGCCTTCAAGTGCCTTGGAGAATCAGCCAATCCCCTCTTCTTTGTGGCAGCCCCAGAAATACAGGAACACTGATATCATGTCCCCCCTTGTCCTTTTCTCTAGACTAGCCAAACCCAAAATCCTGCAACCGTTCCTCATATGTTTTAGTCTACTGGCCTTTAGATAAAATAACCTTTAAGATAATATTTATTGTCATTTTTTTCCTTAGGCACACTGGCACACATTAATAATGAAATGCTGTTGCCTGGTCTCAAAAGTGCATACATACATAACAGACATATAGATGTGCTATATACATACATACATATGTATATAAAGGTAAAGGTTCCCCTTGCACATCTGTGCTAGTCGTTCCCGACTCTAGGGGGCGGTGCTCATCTCCGTTTCAAAGCCAAAGAGGCAGCGTTGTCTGAAGACGTTTCCATGGTCACGTGGCCAGCATGACTCAACACCAAAGGCACACAGAACGCTGTTATTTTCCCACCAAAGGTGGTCCCTATTTTTCTACTTGCATTTTTTACGTGCTTTCGAACTGCTAGGTTGGCAGAAGCTGGGATAAGTCACGGGAGCTCACCCCGTTAAGCAGCACTAGGGATTTGAACTGCTGAACTGCCGACCTTTCAATCGACAAGCTCAGTGTCTTAACCACTGAGCCACTGCATCCCTTACATATGTATGTACCTACATCCTAACATATAAATACATGTAAACATTAATCACTGTCCACCTTTAATCCTCTTAGTTGCTCTTCTCTGCACTTTTTCCAAAGACTCAGCATCTTTTTCATTATTTTGCTGACCAAAACTGGACGCTGTATTCCAGCTGTGGCCTTACGGAGGCTTCGTAAAGAGTTATTGTCCCTTGGACACCTGTGGGGGTCTTGTTCTTGGTTCTTAAGGAATGTGGGGCAGGGGGTGTTGGGAAGGGAGGAAGTGTGAGCCTCCACCAGGTGGCAGAAGCCAAATTAATCCACTTCCTTTATCTACTCGGAGGTGTGAGGACCTCCGATGTCTTGCAGGAAGCCAAACTGAACATCTTGGACACCCAGAAATGCAACAGCAGCGATTGGTACAATGGGGCGATGAGCCCCCACACCTTGTGTGCTGGCTATGAGGAAGGAGGGATCGATACTTGCCAGGTAAGGATCCCCCTACTCTTACTCTGCTAGCCTCGGTCTTCTGCTCCGTCTTGTCCCAAAGATGCTTTTTCAGGAGACAATTGGACTTTCTGGTTTTTTTCTTTTGAAGATGTTTTGCTTCTCATCCAAGAAGCTTCTTCGGCTCTGGATGGATGGAGCGGAATGGGAGGATTTATATTCCTTGCAGATAGCTGGTCATTTGCATCCTTTGAGAGGGTCGTTGAGGCCACTTGGAGGTTTCTCTGTGTCCTCAGGGTCACCTTTGCTCCTGGTTCCTGTAGTCTGCAATTTTTCCTCTTTCAACGACCCACCAAAACGATGCAAATGACCAGCTGTCTGCAGGGAATATAAATCCTTCCATTCCCCACTATCCTGCCAGAACTGAAGAAGCTTCTTGGATGAGAAGTGAAATGTCTTCAAAAGAAAAAACCAGAAAGTCCAGTTGCCTCCTGAAAAAGCACCTTTGGGACAACCCTGACCTGGATGACGGAGATTCTCTACAGACTTGTGGTCAATCCTGGTTTGCTTTCCTCCCTACTTTATGGTGAAGTGGCCCTTTCCCCACAGCCCTTGAAATGCAAGCTTCCATCTTGTTATCTGTGCCTGCTTCGTTAATCAAGGTGTCCCCATTACAATCAGTTTAAAGGGCAGCCTGAATGCCAGCCTCTGTTTGAGGGCAGTGCAATTTTCCGCTGACACAGGAAAACGGGATTCAAACAGAAAAATCAATGTCTTAAATGAGGAAATCTATTTTTAAAGGATTGTAACTTTTTAATTGACTGCACGTGGCTCCATTTTCCTTTATCTCTCTCCAAACGTGTCCAGATTCATAAAAAGGTGACTCAGCTGAGTCATAGGTTGAGACCATCTTAGGACAAAGGGGAGGATTGTTTTGGAAGGGTCAAAGCAAACTGTGGGAACCAGAAAGATGGGAAGAACTGCCTGGTGGTCAAAACTGGACACAGTGTTCCAGGTGTTTGGTTTTACAGTGATTGGTCTCATTGGAGACAACGATGAATCCACATAGAGACGGGAGGTTGAACAACTAGCCTCGTGGTGCGACTGGAGCCATCTGGAACTGAACACGCTCAAAACCGTAGAAATGGTGGTAGACTTCAGGAGAAACCCTCCCATACTTCCACCTCTCACAATACCAGACAACACAGTATCAACAGTAGAGGCCTTCAAATTTGTAGGTTCTACCATATCTCACGACCTAAAATGGACACCCAACATCAAAAACATCATCAAAAAAGCACAACAAGGAATGTTCTTTCTGCACCAACTCAGGAAGCTTAAACTGCCCAAGGAGCTGCTGATCCAGTTCTACAGAGGAATGATTGAGTCTGTCATCTGCATCTCCATAACTGTCTGGTTTGGCTCTGCAACCCAACAAGACAGACACGGACTTCAGAGGATCGTTAGAACTGCAGAAAAAACAATGGCTACCAACCTGCCTTCCATGGAGGACCTGTATACTGCACAAGTTAAAAAGAGGGCTGGGAAAATATTGACAGACCCCCTCACATCCTGGACATCACCTCTTTCAACTCCTACCCTCAAAATGACCTATAGAGCATTGCATACCAGAACAACTAGACACAAGGACAGTTTTTTCCCGAACGCCATCACTCTGCTAAACAACTAATTCCCTCAACACTGTCAAACTATTCACTAAGTCTGCATTACTATTAATCTTCTCATCGTTCCTATCACCCTCTCCTCCCACTTATGACTGTATGACTGTAACCTTGTTGCTGGTATCCTTAAGATTTATATTGACTGTTTCCCTATGAATATCATTAAGTATTGTACCTTATGATTCTTGACGAATGTATCTTTTCTTTTATGTACTCCGAGAGCGTATGCACCAAAGACAAATTCCTTGTGTGTCCAATCATACTTGACCAATAAAGAATTCTATTCTATTCTATTCTATTTATAAAGTGGTACTTTTATAAAGAGTCTTCTTTGCACGTAGTCTGATGTGACAATTCTTTAGAATAGAATAGAGCTGGAGATTTTCCAAGCAAAATCTCTACCATTTCAGATAAATGGCTGTCCAGTCTCTTCTTAAAAGCCTCCAGTGATGGAGCCCCCACAACTCCTGGAGGCAAAAGCTGCTCCACTGGTTTATTGTCCTCAGTGTTAGGAAGTTTCTCCTTAATTCCAGGTTGCTTCTCTCCTTGATGAGTTTCAATCCGTCATTTCTTGACTTGCCTTCTGTTTTTTAGAAAATAGGTCAACTCCCTCTTCTTTTTGGCAGCCCCTCAAATACTGGAATTCTGCTATCATGTCATCTCTCCCCTCCCCCCCAGTCCTTCTTTCCTTTAGACTGGTCAAACCCAAGTTGTAAATGCTCCAACACTGGAAGTTTTTAAGAAGAGATTGGACAACCATTTGTCTGAAGTAGTGTTGGGTTTCCTGCCTGAGCAGGGGGTTGGACTAGAAGACCTCCAAGATCCCTTTCAACTCTGTTATTCTAAATTCTAAAATTCTAAAGTCCTACGCACTTCAGACTTGCTCCTTCAGCTTCCTCTATGCTTCTCCACCCAGGATCTTCAGGTACTTCCAGGTAAAAGTGTGTGTGTGTGTGTATCCATCAGAAAAAATAGCTTGGTCGCCTTCAACAGGCAGAGACAGGTCCTGAGTCCTGCACTTGTCTAGATCACATGACTCTGCCATGTTATGCCTGGTTGTTATGAAAAACAATAGCAATCCGCTGTAATATGAAGCCAAATGGTAGAGATTTGAAGGAACAGAGGTTTAAAAAAACAAAAAACAAAAACAATGTTATGAAAATGCCCTAATATGAGATTTCTGGGCTGCCACTCTAAGTGACTGAGAGTCCTGAGAAAAGTCGGACAAAGGATTGTATCAGGATAGAGAAGGGGCATGAAAAATAATGGATAATTAATTCCCAGTTTGGTGTAGGTGAAGGTACTGGGCTAGAAACTGGCTGGGGGACTTTGGGCCAGCCCCTCCCTCTCAGCCCAGTCTACTTGTGATGGAAGGACCCCTTGGGGAAGGAGAAGGGGGGGTCTTGACAGGAGTGCCGAGGTTTCCCAGAGAGGAGAGGGTCCCAAGTATCGAGGTTTCCCCGTTCCAGAGAGGGTCCCAAGACAAGAGACTGCACAGTCCTAGGCTGGATGGGAGGGAGGTTTGGGGGGCCGCACTCCAGGGTCTCCCATATCTGGTATTTTAGAAGGTGATAGCTTTAGTCTGGCAAGATTCTGTCCATTAGGCGCAAGCAAATAAAGGATTGGATTTCACGGGGTGGTCTTTGGGCTTGGCCCGAGACCACCTCACAGGTTTGCTGTGATGGGGAGCATAAGAGTCAGGGAGATTAGGCATGCTTTCCACCTGGAGTTGTACATAAAAAAAAAACATGGCATAAAATAACAGCAACAAGAACCTCACCTATGCAGGAAATGCCCCCTTAACAATATCAGCAATATGGTGGTCAGCCGGAAGTAGTCTCGGTCTTGTGGTCAATCCTGGTTTGCTTTCCTTCCTATTCTATGACAAACTGACCCTTTCCCCACAGCCCTCGAAATGCAAGCCTGCATTTTATTATCTGCTTCTGCTTCGTTCATCAAGGTTTCCGCCTAACAATCAGTTTAAAGGGCAGCCACAATCTCAAGTGCAGTGCAATTTTCCGCTGACACGGGATCCGAGATTCGAAGAAAAAAAATCAATGTTTTAATCAAGAAAATCCACTTTTTAAATAATTATTAATTTTTAAACTTGACACAAAAAATGCTGTTGTTAAAGCTGAAATGTGGTGCATTCTGTTAGGTGTTTAAACGGATCTGAAAGGGCCACTTTCTATCAAACGGTTGGTTATCAGTGGTGAAATTCAAATTTTTTTACTACCGGTTCTGGTGGACGTGGCTTGGTGGGCGTGGCAGGAGAAGGATACTGCTAAATCTCCATTCCCTCCCCACTGCTTGGGCCAGAATTTGCCGGTTCTCCGAACTACTCAAAATTTCTGCTACTGGTTCTCCAGAACCTGTCAGAACCTGCTGGATTTCACCCCTGTTGGTGATACATGCCTGAGCCCAGATGAATGAATGGAAAAGTTCTAAAACTCAAAAAGAAAATGGTGTACATGAATAAATAAAGAGCAACTAAGATGATGAAAGGCCTGGAGACAAAAGCATATGAAGAATGGTTGCAGGAATTGGGTTTGGCCAGTCTAGAGAAAAGGAGGACTGGGGTGAGATGAGAGCAGGATTCCAGTATTTGAGGGGCTGCCCCAAAGAAGAGTGGGCGTCAACCTATTCTCCAAAGCACCTGAGGGCAGGACAAGAAACAATGGATGGAAACCAACCAAGGAGAGAAGCAACCTAGAACTAAGGAGAAACTTCCTGACAGCGAGGACAATTAACCAGTGGAACAGCTTTTGCCTCCAGAAATTGTGGGCGCTCTAATCACTGGAGGTTTTGAAGAAGAGACTAGACAGTCACTTGTCTCAAACTGGTTAGGGTCTCTGCTTGAGCAGAGGGTTGGACTAGAAGACCTCCAAGGTCCCTTCAGCTCTATTCTGATTGATTGAGATTCAGATCCAATCTATGGATATTCAGGCAGCATTCATGTTACCAAACAGGACGGTGATGTTATCCATCCAGTCGTCTCTGACTCCTGGCAATTCTTTGGGCCAGTTTCCAATCTCCCTGGTTTCCAATCTCACACTATTTCTCTGAGCCTTTCTATGCTTCAGAAGGCTGATATCAGCTTTGATGGGGTCCAGCCACTGTGTTCTTTGGGGCCTGGTTTCCTTTTATCGCCAACTCTTCCAAATATATTTGTTTCCTCCAGTGAATTCCCCTGCATGACGTGGCCAAAATAAGTGAGATGCAGTTTCGTGATTTTGCCTTCCAGAGACATGTCTGGTCTTATGCGCTCGCTTGTTAGTCACTTTTGATGATAGGTGAAGTGTTAGAAGAACTTGCCTTCCATGGCCAGGGGCAAGAGATGCTAAAACCAGCATCTTTATGGGGCACAGAAATACTAGTGAGCGTGTTCTGAGCCAGCTCCCCAAACAAGACAAACTCTCTGAAGTGAACTCAGAGATTCCTTTATTAGGAGCGCCAGCAGCCCCGGCAAACTCTCTCTCTCAATGCAGGCTAACAAGTCCATCCAGCGGAAGATGAATAGCTGCCTGCCGCATCTCTTCCTCTCCGCCCCCTGCCTCTTATCCCCAGAGCTCGCTTTTGTCCACCTACTGAGTCCTTCCCAAAGACCTGGGAGAGGCAGAGGTGGATGTTTGATGGTGTTACAACTATCTGCACCGGATGTCAGCTGTTCCAAGCCTTTTGCAATTGACTGATGGGGAATTTGTCCATCCTGATGGTGTTCAAGGGGTGCTCCAGATGTTCTGGGATTGCGCCCAAGGCTCCTAATACTTTGGTACTTCTTCTTATTTTTTTGTGGCACATTCAGCCCGATGCCCTGACTGAATTTGGCATATTTGTCCTTCCCAAGGAGCAAGGGACAGAGGAAAGTTCTTGTTGAAGGTCCCATTGCAAGATGACAGCTGTTCCAAGTCAAGCCGCTTTTTGCAATTGACTGAGGGTGATTTTGTCAATGCCGATGGTGTTCAAGGGGTGCTCCAGATGTTCTGGGATTGCACCTATCCCAAAGGCGCCTAGGACTATTGGGACAGAGAGTCCTTGACTTACTACGTTTGGTTTACTGACCGTTCAAAGTTACAATGGCACTGAAAAAAGGGACCTAGGACCAGGGGTGGGTTCCACTTACCTTTACTACCGGTTCGCAACAGGGCCGCACTTCGCTCTCTCTCTCTCTCTCTCTCTTCTGTGCAGAAGCATTTTGAGGACGTTGGGGTCGGTGGGCGGAGCCTCCTACCGGTTTTACTACCAGTTCTATAGAACCGGGGAGAATCCACCACTGCCTAGGACCATTCTTCACACTTATGACCGTTGTAGTATCCCCATGGTCACGTGATTTACATTCGGATGCTTGACATCTGACTCACGTTTATGAGGGTTATGCTGCCCCAGGGTCACGTGATCATTTTTTGGTGACAGGTCAAAGGGGAAGCCGGATTCACTTAAGAACCATGTTATTAATTTAACAACTGCAGTGATCCACTTAACAGCTGTGGCAAGAAAAGTTGTAAAATGGGACAAAACTCACCTAACAAATTTCCCCCTTAGCAACCTAACTCCTGGGCTCATTTGTGGTCGTAAGTCGAGGTCTGGTTTCCCCGTTTCCCTTTGCCCAACTGACGTTTCCCCCCTTGCTCTCTCTCTCTGCAGGGGGACAGTGGAGGTCCGTTGATGTGCAAGACGTCCCCCACCTCTCTCTTCTACATTTTGGGGATCACCAGCTGGGGCAAGGGCTGCGGTGAAGCCAACAGCCCGGGAATTTACACTTCTGTCCAGCAATTCCTGGAGTGGATCCTGGGTGAAATGATTGAAATTGATGAAGGAACAGCCCCAAGGGAGGAACATCTAAAGCACAGACCGAAGAGCTCCGTGACCCTCCTTCCTATCAAGATGGGGACTGCACAACCCGTAGAAGATCTGGAAGGAAACTTCATAGACAGCTCTCTGGAACCCTTCCCCAACGAGGACGAGGATCAGCAAGAGGAGGCCACTTCGAAGACTCTGTTGAGAGAAACGGAGCCTACCATTGCTCTTCAAGATCCCTTCATTCCTTCGGGGTTCTTACCTCCATCTCTAGAACCTCCCTATATCCCTCTGGAGCGACTGGTCACCTTGGAACCACCCTTCTATCCTAAAGAACTCTCTCCGACATCATTGCCTCTTCCGTATATCCCTAGAGAAATCCCCCCGACATCTCTGAAGCCCCCCTTCGTTCCTCCTGAAGTCAAGATCAGTCTGGAACCTCCATACATTCCTGAACAGCAGCCTTATATCACTCCGGAGCCCCCCGTCCTCCCCACGCAGCCCAGATATGTCTCCACCCTATCAGCTGACAAGACAGAGTCCCATCTCTTTCTATTTCCACGGGCCTCTCCTAGAAGTGCTCTAGAACCTCCCCATATTCACTCACAAACCCCCCACTCAATTGAGGAACCCTACATCCCTCTAGATCCCCCTTACACTCCTCCAAGTCCCCCACGCACTCCTCCAGATCACCCAGACACTTCTCTAGAGCCCCCCCACACTCCTCCGGATCTTCCCTACACTCCTCCAGGCCTTCGGTTTATCCCCCCAGCATCAACAGTCCCTCTGGAGCGCCCCTACATTCCTCCTGAGACACATCACCACATCGAGCGCCCTTATACACCTCCAGAAGACCTATACGTTCCTCCAGAGCCCCCCTTTGTTCCTCCAGAGAGCCATATGTCATTGGAGCATCCCTACACCCCCAAGCAGCCTCCATACACTCCTCTACAGCCCCCCTTCATTCCTGAAGAGGAAACCGCTCTCCTGGAGCAACCGTATCTTCCTCCAGCAAGACCTCAAGGCCCTCCAAAACCCCTCCTGACTCCCACATGGTTTCCACACAACTCTGTGAAGAGAGAAGCACCTCTGGAGCCCATGGATGTTCCTCCAGAGAAGGTTGGCTTTCTAGAGCCCTTCTACTCCCACCGAAGGAAAACTCACTCCCTGGAGCCACCAAAGATGCCCCCGAGGGATGTCCCTCAGCAGCTCTTAGCTGGTCCTCCAGCTGACCCACAAAAGGAGGAAGTGCCCTTGGACCTGAAGGCCCCATATCTCACCCCAGAGATATTTGAGCTCCAACAGCAGCAAGAAACTCCTCCAGACAAACTCTGAAATCCTCGCATCTTCTCAAGATGTGATGAATGAGCACTAGGTGGAGCACACGGCCTCTCTACTGGAAACCTTGGAGATCCACTGGGAGCCGAAGGACCTATGACGGCACTCAAACAATCAATGGGTTGATTGAGAAAGGAGCCGCCAACTTTGGTGCAGCCTGTTGGGGCCCCTTCAAATAACCCCATCACGGTGCCAGCAAGCGAAAAAGCCAGCTACAACCATCGCTGCTTCCGTTTGGGCAAGCCGCCTCTGTTTCTCCTAATGGACTTTGTTATTATTATTATTATTTTTTAAAAGGATGCTATTTAAGCTGCCCTGGGAAACCTTTGAAAGGGGAAGTATATAAAGCAACAAATCTAACCTTGAAGTAGTTTCTTGCTATTCTTGAGTCTGGCAGTTGTGAATTGCAAACACTCAGTTTATATCCCGGATGGTCAAATATCTTCCAGGTCTCCTGGTGATTTTGGAGCCATGGTGGCTCAGTAGTTAGAGTGCAGGACTGCCGGCTGCTTCTGCTGACTGCCGGCTGATGCAATTCAGCAGTTCGAATCTTGCCAAGCTCAAGGTTGACTCAGCCTTCCGTCCTTCCGAGGTGGGTAAAGTGAGGACCCAGAGCGCAAGAGGCTGGCTCTGTAAACTGCTTGGGGAGGGCTGTGAAGCCCTGTGAAGCGCTATATAAGTCTAAATGCTATTGCTAAATGCTATTTGCATTTCTAGAGAAGGTTGGTCTTTGGGATCAACTGGATCCTTGCTATAGAGTCTATAGACTCTATAATGGTATAGAATCTCCTGCTTGAGCAGGGGGTGGGACTAGATGACCTCTAAAGTCCCTTCCAGCCCTAGGATTTTATGATTCTATGCAGTGACTTAAGATATTCTCTTTCATGTTAAACAATGCTAAGTAGAGAAAGGGTGAGTAGCAGGAAAGCAAAGAAATGATGTTGGTTAACAAAGACGGGGACAATTAGCTAAAGGGATGCGAGGAAAACCAGCGTAACCCAGTATCCCTGGTTTATCTACCTTGCAAACCATCCTCGCATCCACCACAACCGTGCAGAGTGTTGTGTGCAGCGTTGTGTTCTTGAAGGTCTTCAGCTCTCCCTTCTAGACTTCATCCTGCCACGGCTTCCTCCCTTTTCCCTTCCATTGGCCCCTTCACAGGTCGCTTTGCAGGCTGGTTTGATTCCCACTCCTCCTCTCTGGGTGGCTCAAACGCTTCCAAATAATTCCTTTGGGCCATGACCCCTTTCTGTGTCCCAGGGCAGTGGGGCTCTTTTCCAACCGGGGGTGCACTCTGCTTTGCCAAGGGCAACAAATGACACGGAGAAACAAAGGCTAGGAGGGGTTTGCAAACTAGCACTGATGTTGTTACCTTGTTGGCAGGAGTGGGTTTCACTTACCTTCGCTACCGGTTCGGAACTGTGAGTGTGCGCCCACCCACTTTGCACGCAGCGCTTCTGCACACGCGCAAAACCTTCTGCATATGCCCAGAGCATCCGTGATGACATCTGGGTAGGTGGGCGGAGCCTCCCACTACCGCCGCTACCGGTTCGCCAGAACCAGAGTGAACCAGTAGAAATCCATCACTGCTTGTTGGGTGATGAAATGTCTGCAAGAAAAGCTCAAAGAGCACCAAGCTCCCCATAGTTATTCTCCTCCTCCTCCTCCTCCTCCTCCTCCTTTTTCTCCTCTTTCGCCTCCTCCCCTTTCTCCTCCTCCTCTTTCTTCTCCTCCTCCTCCTCTCCTTCAACTCCCTCCTCTTCCTCTTTCTCTTCCACCTCCTTCTCTTTTTTCTCCTCTTTTTTCTCCTCTTTTGCCCCCTCCCCTTTCTCTTCTTCCTCTTTCTCCTCCTCCTCCTTCTCTCCTTCAACCTCCTCCTCCTCCTCCTCTCTGCAAAGCCCTCTCCCTTCTAGCACTGAGGATGTTGGGTGATGAGATGTCTGCAAAGAGACCACCAAGCTCAGAGAGAGTCAAGTAAGAAAACTCACAGAGAAAAGACTTAAGAATATAGTTTCATATAATTGAGCCCACTTCTTCCCTGGGACTCTTCCAGAGTTGATAGCTGAGCCTGTGATTCTACACTGGCGTACCGACCAGGCCAGCTGTGAACAAGAGAGGGTGGCCCCTTGGGTTGTGACTTCGCCAGTCCCCACTTGGGAGAAAGTCAGGACCTCCTGGGCCTCCCCATCGACTGCCCCAGCCCAGCCCCGTCTCCTGGCAACCCTGGAGGAGAACCCACTGATGTCAGCCTCTGGATACTGGGGATGACTTGAACAATGTGGAACAGATGCCCGGAGCCGTCACTCAGGATGGCTGTGCCAGGGAAGTGTCTTTGGCTGGCCGGGGCCTTGTTGCAGCTGGTGGCAACACGCAGTGACAGTCCAAAGAGTAAGCCAGGGACGGTGGGGAGGAAAGGGGTCACCTGTGTGTTCTGATTAGCAGGTATGGCCGGGGATACCTCAGCAGCTCTGCTCAGGACTGGGTCTATCACAATTCACCACGGCCAACTCACCGCAGGACAAGAGTTACACTAATATTGAAGAAATGGTGGAATCATGAAAGACAGGATGCAAAAGGAGGGACAGAATGAAATGCGAATGGCAAAAACTAAAATAATTTTTATTTATTGTAAATCGTTAAGTAGAATTGTTAAATTGTCCCGCGGCAAGTTGGCCATGATGAGTTGTCCCATTCCCTCGGGACCTTCTCCCGTCTGCTTGCAGGCTGCCTTCGCCCGTTCCTCAGGACTTCTTATCAGGGAGACGTGGGTGAGGGTTATGGGTCAGCATCGTCTTCCGATTAGCAATAGCACTAGCACTTAGACTTATATACTGCTTTCCAGCTCTCTCTAAGCGGTTTGCAGAGTCAGCCCATTGACCCCAACAATCTGGGTCCCCATTTTACCCACCTCGGAAAGATGGAAGGCCGAGTCTACCTTGAGCCTGGTGAGATTCGAACTGCCAAATTGCAGGCAGCCGGCAGTCAGCAGAAGGAGCCTGCAGTCCTGCCCTCTAACCATTGCGCCACCACGGCTCTTATTTGTTGGGGAAGGAGGTTTTGGGGAACCCAGTTATCCAAAGCTGGAACCGTTAGCGCTTCTGAAGCAGGAGGGGCCAAAACAGCCTTTGGGGGAACTGGCTCACGCTGAATACTGGGGTAAACAAGAGGCTATTAAGTCCCATCAATTATTTAGCCCTTCCTTCAAGGATTTGCTTCAGTTACAAGAAATCCTTGACTTATAGCCATCCACTTAGCGACCACTCGAAGTTACAACAGCACCGAAAAAAGTGACACAACCGTTTTTCACGCTTACAACCGTTGTAGTATCCCTGTGGTCACGTGATCAAAATTCGGATGCTTGGCAACTGACTCGTACGTATGTCGGTCGCCGTGTTCCCCTTTTGCGACCTCCTGATGAGCACAGACAATGGAGATGCCAGATTTACTTAACGACCATGTGACTCACTTAGCAACTGCACTGATTCACTCAACAACTGTGGCAAGAAAGAAAGGTTATAAAATGGGGCGAAACTCACTTGGCAATTGTCTCACTTAGCAACAGAAATGTTGGGCTCAATTGCGGTTGTAAGTCGAGGACATTTTTCCACCCAAACCAGACCTGATGCCTGAACTCCTTGTTTCCTCTCAGCCTGCGGGGAGCGGCCTTTGGCCCCCAACCAGGGCAAGAGCGTGCAGATTGTGGGTAGCGTCAACGCCTTGCCTGGAACGTGGCCATGGCTGGTCAGCATTCAGGTGCCGTCTTCCAAGGGACCTCAGCACCTCTGTGCAGGATCCATCCTGACCCCCCACTGGGTGCTCACAGCCGCTCACTGCTTCAAATCAGGGACGAGGTAAGAAGCCAACATCCGTCTGCCCCAAAGGCCTCGGCAAGACCAGGAGTGGGTGAGGTTGGCTTGGATTTTGTCCCTGTGGGGAAACGTTTAAGAAATTCAATTTCAATCCAATCAGAATGGAGCTGGAAGGAACCTTAGAGGTCATCTAGTCCAACCCCCTGCTCAAGCAGAAGACTCTGCAACATTCCAGCCTCTTCTTTAAAATCTCCAAAATTTCTGAAGGCAACTTCTGTTCCACTGGTTAATTGTTCTCACTGTCAGGAAGTTTCTCCTCAATCCCAGGTTGCTTCTCCCTGTGATTAGTTTGCATCCACTAGTTTCCGTTTTCCTAGATGCAGAATTCAGGATTTGGAAGCCCCCTCCCAGTTATCCCAAATGTACATTCCATCATTCATCTAGGATAACACAGTGCGTGATACAAAAAGAGATGGGGAGACCCTAGGAAGATGGCAGAGAAGAGCAAGAAAGAAGGCAGGGGGCTGGAGGTTAAACCCTAGGAAGAGCGGCTAAGAGTATGCTTAGCCTTACAGAGAGAAGGATTAGGGGGGACGTGGTAGCATCTTTCACTTCTTGAAGGGCAGGACAAGAAGCAACGGATGGAAACTAGTCAAGGAGAGACCCAACCAAAAGCTAAGGAGAAATTTCCTGACAGTGAGAACAATTAATCAATTCAACAGCTTCTCTTCCAGAATTGTAGGTTCTCCATTGCTTCAAGAAGAGATTGGACAACCATTTGTCTGGGATAGTACCCTGTTTCCCCTAAAATAAGACCGGCCCTGATAATAAGCCCAATCAGGCTTTTGTGTGCATGCACTAAAATAAGCCCCTCCCCAAAAATATTTAAATGCATGCGCAGCCGGTCGGTCCACACGTCATTCACATGTGACCTGCTAAGAATTTACATGTGCCATGGCCTTCAGAGCTCAGGAGTTTGGGAGGTGCACCGCAAGAGTTTAGATCAGAGGTCCCCAACCCCCGTTGGCTGCGGCCTGTTTGGAACCGGACGGCGCAGGCGGTGGGACAGTGTGTGTCTGAACCATCACGCGTGGGAGCAGCAACCACTGGTGCTCTCGTGGCAATAGTCACTCGTGCCAGCAGTGGGTGCTTGCATTCGCATGTGAATCTCCACTTGTGCGAGTGACGGGCGCTTGTGCCGTTCACAGAAATGGAGTTGTGTGCGCACGCCCGTGCACCTACTACTCCCATGGAGCAATTGCCTCTCCCCTTCCTCCCAGTGGAAGTTGATGCTAACGTGGAGAGCTCACTTTGAAACATCATCAATTGGCCTCCCACTCACAGGTCGTTGCAGTCCCAGAGGATTGTCATTGGTGCCACAGACATTTCCAACTTGCTGGACACTGTACAATTACGCTCTGTGTACCGCATCGTCCCCTACCAAGACTACAACCCACAGAGTGAGGCCAACGACATTGCCCTGGTAGAACTCAGCAACCCAGTGGCTCTCAACGACTATGTCCAGCCAGCTTGCTTGCCGCACAGCAACATGGATTCCGAAGCCTTGTTCTCCGACTGCTACGTCAGTGGCTGGCGCACCACCACACAGAGGGGTAAGTGAGGAGGTGGGTAAGGGAACCAATCTAGAATTAAGGAGGAATTTCCTGACGATCATCATCATCATTTAACAACCCCAATAATCCCTTGCGAGGTGGAATCTGGGCAACTGAATGGAGCTGGCAGAGTGTTTACTGGCCGGATGCCCTTCCTGTCACTGATGTGGAGTTTTATTCGGCAGATATATTCTCATTGTGCCCAGAGAGAGAGAGAAATATCTGCCTCTACCTAGGATTGAACTCACAGCCTCCTGATTGTGAGGCGAGAGCTCTACCTCTAGGCCACGGCACCACTCCTAGGAATTTCCTGACAATGAGAACAATAAATCAGTGGAACGGCTTCCCTCCTGAAGTTGTGGGTGCTCCCTCACTGGAGGTTTTTAAGATTGGACAACCATTTGTCCGAAATGATATGGGACCTCCTGCTTGAGTGGAGGGTTGGACTAGAAGACCTCCAAGGTCCCTCCCAGCTCTGTTATTCAGTTATTCTGCTAAGATATTGTGACTGATATGGGCAACAGCCAGAAAGTAAAAAAAGAAAACTTGTCAAGATCTTCAACCCTGCATATTGGTTAAATACGACCAGTTTTTATGCCTTTAGAAAATGCTGTTGACGCTACAAGTGACGGTTTGTGTGGTGAACTCTGCTTCTTCAGGCTCCTGCCTTACTATTACACACACCCAGGAAGTGGGTGGCCACCCTTGGGGTTGTGACGCTATTGTGGATTTGCAGTTCGTTTGGCTTCCTGGGCTTGTCCAGTGACGTACCCAGCAGAGAATGGCTTTGGAGCTCCCAGGTGCAGAGGAAAGTGGGGGAGGGAGAGGGTGAAAAGAGGCGAAAGGTCCTTACAGAAGGAAGAGTCAGTCACAAAGAGCAAAAATCTGGGAAAAAATAATATCCAGCTAATCTTTCATTTTTGCTCTAGGCAGGCAGACCTCTGCTATCTTGCAGGAGGCCAGAGTGAAGATCCTGGAGACCAGCAAATGCAACAGCAGCTGGTGGTACAATGGGGCCATGAGTCCTTACACCTTGTGCGCCCGATATGAGGACCGGGGCATTGACACTTGCCACGTAAGGAGCTGTTTCTTCTCACCCTGATGGTTGATAGTTCACTGGGCCTCTGAGTAGCTCTGCTCATCTCCTGCTTTCTCCCTAGGAGTCAGCCTAGGGACGATCTTCTCTAGATGACCATGGACCTTCTGAGTCACCAAGGTCACGTTGTCCCAAAGGTGCTTTTCCTGAAAGGCTCCTGCAAAGGCGAAGGGGGTCAAACTATTTTCCAAAGCAGCAAAAGACAATGGGTGGAAACTAGTCAGGGAGAGATGCAACTTAGAACTAAGGAGAAATTTCCTAATGGGGAGAGCAATCAACCAGTGGAACAACTGGCCTTCAGAAGTTGTGGGGGCTCCATCACTGGAGGTTTTCACAAAAGAGACTAGGGCCTCCTGCTCGAGATGGGGGTTGGGCTAGAAGACCTCCAAGGTCCCTTTCAACTCTGTTATTCTATGTTCTATGTACCCCCTCCTTCCCTTCTCCCTCTTCCTCCTGGTTGGGGAATTCTGGGAGTTGAAGTCCACAGGTTTTAAAGTTGTCAAGGTTGGACACCTCTGATGTAGAGGACCTGGTGCATTGCCAGACGTGCAATACCGCAGGCAGAGGGCCAGGGTGGCTTTGGAACGGATTCCTAGAGGCACTGAGTTCATATCAGGCCAAGTTCCATTGGGCTGGACATAGATTGGATAGCCTTGCAGTCCCAGGTCTGGTTCTGGACACTGCAACTTAAGTGGAAGGTGGAGAAGCCAGGGCAGAAACGTGGGGCCTCCCGGGAGGATCCTGGCTTGGAAGCAAATCTGATCAAGGAAGGTTCAAGGAGTTGAGCCCTTCAGCTTGCAAAAAGAAAGACTCAGAAATATTGTGTGGGTGTTTTGTTTCCCAAGGATTGGACACTCCACAGCAAGTGAAGATACTGCATTCAATGCTTCATAGCAGAGGTCTCCAAACTTGGCAGCTTTAAGACTTGTGGACTTCAACTGCCAGAATTCTCCAGTCCACAAGTCTTAAAGCTGCCAAGTTTGGAGACCCCTGCTTTATAGTTTTCCTTCACGCAAGGGGACTCTCTCTCTCTCTCTCTCTCTTGCTCTCTTTCTCTCTCTCTAGGGGGACAGTGGAGGACCCTTAATGTGCAAGACCTCCCCCACCTCTCCCTTCTACGTGGTTGGGATTACCAGCTGGGGCAAGGGCTGTGGTGAGGGAACCAACCCAGAAGTCTACACTTCCACGCAGCCCTTCCTCGAGTGGATCCAGGGGGAAATGTCGAAGACGGAGCGGGAGCCTCTCCAGGAGGAAAAGAGACCCTCAAAGGAAGCTTGGGCTAAACATGCGACAGTGTTTCCAGAGTTCAAAATCGCCTTCACACAGCACCCCGAGAAATATTTGAAGGAAGACCTCATCTACTTCCCTGAGACTGAACGTCCAGAGGTGGACGCCATCCCTTTGCCCAAAGAACCCCCTCCAGAAGCCCCTGGCACCATGCAGGAGACAGACAGAGTGCTTCTGCCCACAGAAGTCCCTTCCTCCCCACCTCTGAATCCAGAGATGGTGATAGCAAATCGTCCTAGATACTCCCCCAGCAGAACATGACACTCCCCAAAGCTTTTCAGAAGGCCAAATTATAACGCTGCCCCCCATCTCTAGATGTGCCTTTCCCCAGAGACAAACTGAGCATCCTTCTGCCCTCTGCATCCATCCACCCTAATGTTTCATCCTCATCTCTTGAACTTCTAGACGTCTCCGTAGAGGCAATGCTCACCTTAGAACCTGCATGCAGTTCCCCCCCAAACCAGACCCACAGCTCTAGCCCCTCTCAATATCCCTGCAGATCAAGCCTTGTGATAGACCTCCCACTTCACTTCAGGAGTAAAAGCAAATTTGGATCGTCTCTATCAGAAGCAGCTTGATCAGACACCAACATCCACCATTTGCTGATGCTGTAGATAGAACTTTTATATAGAACAAACATTGGGGGACCTTGGCCCTTCAACTTTCAGAATTCTTCTTCTTCCATGTTGGCTCAGGAATTCTGGGAGTTGAAGTCCACAAGTCATAAAAGGGCCAAGGTTCCCCACCCCCAATATAGAAGATGACGTGGCAACTCCATAGATATGTCAGAGCTGCTATATTGGAGGATCCATAAAGGTCCAAAGAGATACTGTGAAGCACCAGCTCACTCATCCAAATTCTCCCTAAATAGTTGCCTAGTTGCCTCTTTGTGGATTGTGTGTCTACTACTGCAGAGTAACCAAACATTCTCCAAAGTCCTCAGAGGTTCCTTTAGAGGCAGCCGAAATGTGAAAGTTCTTGAGAAACCTGATATTCTTTATCCATCTTCTGAAAGTAACATTGATTTGGGAACCTCCAGAGACTGCAAAACGGATACTTGTGTCTAGGTTCCCAGAGATGCATGTCTAGGCCCTAGAGTTTTCCTCCAAGCTCCACGGTCACTTTCTCTGTCCTTTGGCCAAAGCAGCACCTCCATTCTCAATGGCCCTTCCTCAGGGTCTCCTCAACTGGCCCGTTGCCTCTGAGGACATGTAGGAGCAGATGCCAGCCCTTTGCCCAAGACAATTATTTGGCCCCATCCTTCAGGGCTGGTGCTGTGTGTTCCCAAAGATGCAGTGATGATGGGAAAACACAATTGTGATACAGCCTACGTCAGATGTTTGATCAGGATCAGATCTTTTAATGAGCATCTTTGGACAAAGCGCCCCATTTTAGCCCTGGACATCACTATAACACATGGACATCTGACTGAATGGCCAATACACCAGGCCAGCAAGCTCTCTGCTTTGGCTTCCTTTGTTTCACGGATGACTTTGGGACTGTAAGGGGGTTCGGAGGATTACAAAGGTCAGGAGATGTGCCAAGAATCCCTTTCCTTCCTGGTAAACATGAAGACTGAGGCAGACAGCACAAAACTTCCTTCCACTGCTGTGTCAGCCATATTAGTGGCCAGAAAACATGGTGCTTAGGCATTTGTGGATCTCATATGTAATTAAATATGATTCTCTGTTGTTTGAACATGAAGTCTGCTTCCTTTGCAAAAAAAAACAAAAAACAAAAAACCCAAGATAAGTACAGTGGTACCTTTGATAACTCTTTGTTAATTAGTTCCGGAAGGCACAATGAGAACCAAAAACAATGAGTACAAAACAAGTTTTTCCCATAAGAAATAATGTAGTGAGTCAGAACTGACATGTTCTAGCTTGTGTGTCAAACAAACGAGTACTGGGAAAAATGTTGACGTATGAAATTTGATGAGTTTCAAAGCAGTTGAGTACCGAGGAAGCACAGGAAACAGTTGGGGCGGGGGAGGGGAAACCATCTCTGTGGTTTTTGTTCTCTTTCTCTTGCAGGAAAAGAGCTCCTTGTCCCATCCAGTTGACTAAAGTCATTAACATCTTGCAGCAATGAATTTCTCCAGGTTCTTAGGTGAGGTGCATCTAATTGGGCCAGCTGAGAATGGGAGGGTGTGCCATCTGAAGTTGATCAAAGCACCAGGTTATTAAAAATAGAATGTAATGAGATGATACAAAAGGAAAGAGGAAAGGGAAATGGGAAGAGAAGGAAAGGGGGAGGGAGGGAGGAAGATGAAAGGGAAGAAAAGGAAAGAGGAAAGAAAAGGAAGGGAAGGGAGAAGGGAAGGGAAGACAGGAAGAGAAGGGAAGGAAGGAAAGAGGAAAGGAAGGGAAGGGATGGGAGGGAGGAAGAGGAAAAGGAGGGGAAGGGATAGGAAGATAGGAAAGGGAGGGGATGGGATGGGATGGGAAGTCCACACATCAAGGTCAATGAAATTGCATTGCTAGAGCTCAGCAGCCCAGGCAGCTTGGACAGCCACGTGCAGAGCCTGCCTGCCTGCCTACATCCTGTCATGGTGGGCTCTGAATCTTCTTCTCAAGAGTCTTCATTGCTGGCTGGGGTGGGAGGTGGGGGAGGGGTGCTGCCATCCAGAAGAGTAAGCATGGTGTGGTGAGGGTGACACGGGCAGGATCAGCTGGAAATGCAGCCGTGTAGGTGCACAACTGGAGAAACGTCAGCCTGGCCACTAAACGGAGGCTGTTCCCCTGTAGCTACCGATGGCTGTGAAAGCTGGACCTTAAAAAAGCAAGACTCGGTTGAGCTGCGGTCCTGGAGAAGATGCTCCTGCGTCTTCCTCGGACAGCAAAGGTGACCCACAAGCAAGTCCTGGAGAGCACAACATCAGACACGTCACTGGAAGGCAAAACCACAAAACTGCATCTCACTTATTTTGGCCACGTCATGTGGGGGAATTCACCAGTGGAAGCAATTATGTGGGGAAGAGTTAGCGGTCAAAGGAAACCAGGCCATCAAAGGACACGGGCTGGCTGGACAACCATAAAGCGGGTAGCTGCAGTCCCCAATGTTTGTGGCTTGGCAGCCTGGCGGAGGGCGGGAGAGGGGAACCAGGCCATGCGAGGGTCAGGCTGGTGTGCATGTGCAGCTCAACTTGCATGAGCATTAGGCCGGTGTGCACAACTTCCACAACCTGAGCTACACACGCATGTGCACACACGCCAGCCTGCCACTCGCCCAGGTTGAACTTTATGTGTGCATGTGTGTACCAGCCCACTGTATGCACAGCCCAGTTGCAAACAGACCACGGCCCAGTAGTGGGCCATAGCTGAGAGGTTGGGGACCCCTGTGCTAGAGGATGGTGAGAATAGCCTCCTCCTCCTCCCCCTTTCTGCAACCCCCCCGCTCCTCTTTTGCAAACCCCCTGTCCCTTCTAGCAGTGAGTAGGTTGCCTCGTTGGGCCATGAAACCTCTGCAAGGAAACAACCCAGCTCAGAGAGCACCAAGCAGAGACAGAGCGCTGCTTTCCAGGCCTTTTTCTTCCACCTAGCCTCGGCGTGTGGTGAAGGTCTCCCATGCGGTTGGCTGCCCCTCTGTCCTGCCCAGCCTTGAAGGCCTCCATTCAGCCGGCTGGTCTCCCTCGCTCCCACATTCCACAGAGAATGTTAAGGACCGCAGGTGGCTCCGCCTGATGTCACACAGCACACATTCTATGATGTCAAGCACGAGAGACCTGGAGGATGAGGAGGCTGCTCCTCTGTCTTCTGGCCCTCATCACAATCCGGACGATGCATGCCCAGGAGGAAAACTGCAAGTAGGTGGCAGCAAGCTGAGCAGGTTGGGGTCCCTGTCCAGTCCCCTCTCTCTGCAGAGGAAGAGGGACGTCTGGCAGCTCCACAGGTTACAAGGGAGAACCTCTCCCAACTTGGAGATCCATTGCCAGGCAGTCTCAGGCTCCTCAGTGACCATCAGTCAGTCAAGAAAAAGCCCAATCAGAACCCAAAATTTGTGGTGGGGCAATGTGGGACAGGCCAACTCCCCCCAGCCTGGGCTATGGAATAAGATGGAGAGCATCAGCCCAAGGCTGGGATGAGCCCAGGAGGCTTCCAGCATGGCCGCTGACAGGTGGATCTTCTCCAACCTGTCCAGGTTTTGCATTTTAGACACACCTAGCGGGGTGAAAGTGAATGCCCCCCTTAAAAGTAGAAGCTGCAGAGCAAAAGGGGAGCAGGTGTTCCTCCATCTATATTTCCTTCTACCCCCCGGGTCCACCTTTCTGGAGATTTTCCACCAAGATCCAGATCATCTCCTCCTTTGCATTCACGACTCTGAAGCCACTGGTTTCCATCACTGGAGGCTTTTAAGAAGAGACTGAAAACTCACTTGTCCAGATTGGGATAGGGTATCCTGCTAGGACAGAGGGTTGGACTAGAAGACCTCCAAAGTCCCCTCCAACTCTCTTATTCTGTTATTCCAATGACATTGAGCAAGAGCTGCTAGCTCCTTGATTTGAAGGGAGCAGCAATGTGTCTTGTTACAAGAACACACACAAAAACACACAGACACACAGACATCAACGCAGAGATAGAGAAATTATGAGTAAGATAAATCCACCAACCAACGGGTGCATTGCACTCTTCTGCCACCTAGTGGTGGGTTTCCAGCAGCTCAGTAAGGGAATGGCTTTTGGAAGTGCGCCCTCTGTAGGGCAATCATTGCTCCTTCATCACCACTTTCATCACCCCTTCGCTCCCCAAGCTAGTTGTTCTCAACGATGTAGGTTCTTCAAGCATGAAGCTGTTCGAGAGAATCCATTATATCCAGCAATTGTCTTTTGCTGGGAGCTGGAAGTAAACTCTGGTCATATGACAATAGGATACCACAAATAACTATAAATGCAAATGGTTGCAAAATATCCAAAATGCAATCACCTGTTCATGGTTGTCCCAAAGGTGCTTTTTCAAAAGGCAACTGGACTTTGTTTTTCCTTGAAGATGTTTCACTTCTCATCCAAGAAGCTTCTTCAATTCTGACTGAATGGTGGAGAATGGAAGGCTTTATATTCCTTTCAGTCATCTGGCCATTAGCGCTCTCTCTGGGAGTCATCGAGGCCACTTGGAGGTTTATCTGTGCCTTCAGGATCACCTGAATTAGAGTGCAAATGGGTGTGGAACCTTCTGGAAACTGCTGAAAGGACTGTGTTGTAAACAGGAGATAGGTGGTGTTGTATCCCCTCCCCCCCGTTGAGAGAGGGCTGCCCAATCCTAACATAGATTGCCTCTGTGACCCCTCTTTCAATCCATGGTTGTCCCAAAGGTGTCTTGAAAAGGCCACATGTTCATGGCAAGGGAATGGCCATTGGAACTTATGAAACTGGGTTGTAAGTAGCTCTGGAGAGGCCCATTGTAACTTCAAACAGTCACTAAGCACCCAGTCGTAAGTGGAGGATTGCCTGCAAAGGCTACCAAGGTTCCCTTGCTCTTGCTGTTTCTAGAGGTCTTTGCGGCAGGCGCCCCATGGCACCCAGCCACTCCCTCCCCGTTGTGGGAGGCATGGACACTATGCCAGGCACCTGGCCCTGGATGGTCAGCATCCGGACCCCGTTCAAGTCTGGCTACCAACACACCTGCGGAGGGTCGCTCATTGGCGCCAGGTGGATCCTCACGGCAGCCCACTGCTTCAGAGACATAAGGTGAGTGAGAACAGGTGAGGGAGGGGCCAGGTGTGTAGCTCAGGGGGTGTGCAGGAAGGGTTTCGTAGGAACATCATGTGGGCACATAAGACAAGTAATCTAATTGCTGCCTCTGTAGTTTTTGACCGTAAGGGAGGAAATATCCAATTCAGTTGCTGCATGTGTAGCCTTTTAGCCACGAGTTAAGACAGAACGCTGTCTGGGGTGCACCATTGTGAAGGTAATCTGCATGCCCTATCTATCCCATTGCTACTCTACGGTGCCATATTATGGTGGTTTTATTATAGTTTTATCTTCATTTAATATTTTATCTTGTATATTGTATTGTCCTCTCTCTCTCTGTCTCTATCGTCTGTCTGTCTGTCTGTCTGTCATCTATCTATCTATCTATCTATCTATCTATCTATCTATCTATCTATCTATCTATCATCTATCTATCTATCTATCATCTATCTATCTATCTATCTATCTATCTATCTATCTATCTATCATCTGTCTGTCTATCTAATTTGCTGATGCTTTATTTAAGTGATTGCCTGACCTCTATAGATGCCATAGGCTAAATAAATAAATAAGTGAAGCTTTCATCACACCATCACAGCTGCCATCTTGACCGCACTCCGTAGATACCCCTGAGTATCCAATGAGTATATGTACAAGAACCTCCCCAGACTGCTCTCTTTCTCTTGGGAACAAACAGATAAGGCCCCATGGAATTTAGCAAGTCCTAATCTCTTGTAGCTGCGCAGTGACTCAAGGCTAGTTCCCCACTGGATACCTCCCTCCTCACTCGGCTGGGAATTCCCCAACAGCATCTTTCCTCATACCACATAAAAACAGAATAGCAGAGTTGGATGGGACCTCGGAGGTCTTCTGGTCCAACCCCCTGCTCAAGCAGGAGATCCCATGCCATTCTGATAGCTGTCCAGTCCCTTCTTAAAACCTCCAGTGTTGGAGCACTGACAACTTCTGAGTCAAGCTGTTCCACTGATTATTTGTTCTCTCAGGAAATTTGTCCTTAGTTCTAGGTTGGTCCTCTCCTTGATTTCGCCTTGATCTCCCGCCACAGGCTGGGGGCTCATTATTTTGAGGCTGCTTGAAGATGCCCGCTCTCCTTCCGCCTCGAGGGCTTTCTCGGGACATCTGCCTGCTTTGTGCAGTTGATGGTGATGTAGAGAGAACAGTAACGGTGGGGCAGGAATCCATGAAGCTTCCGTGCTCTTCTCTCTCCCAGGCACCTGACCAATTGGGAGCTGGTGTTCGGCACGAACAAACTGTCCCACCCAGGCCCCGATGCAGAGGTCCGCTTCCCCAAGAGGGTGGTGCAGCACGAGAACTACCAGCCCCGCCAGCAGATCAATGACATTGCCCTGGTAGAGTTGGATGACCCTGTGAAGTGCACCGACTACATTCAGCCCGCCTGCTTTCCGGACAGCTCAGTGGACGTCTCCAGCATGGTCCATTGCTACATTGCCGGGTGGGGCTATACGCGGGAGAAAGGTGAGAGTCTATCAGGCACAAGCAACCGGACCCCCACGTGTAGACTTCAGATTGGCTGCACAATTCCTAAGGGCACAGTCGCTTGAGTGACTGTAGGAGGATTTCACCTCACGGCTTCTCCCATCAGAGACAACTGCCCACTGAACCTCACTACCCCAGGGAGAGGGGAAGGCCTGCTGATTCTTGGCAGTGGAACATGGGAACTGCTTAAATAATAAAGAAAAAGAAGAAGGCAGTTCAATGCAAAGGAAAGTGGGGTCTTTGATGGTCTCTGAGGTTGGTGGCGTTCTTGCTGACATTTCACTGCCCCACTAAGGAACATCATCAGTGCTGGAAGGAAGTGACTTTGCTCTTTGTTTAAATGCTCCCCTCCCCTCTAGCACTGATATTACATACTGATATGACATAGTTGAGCTATGAAACATCTGCAAACCACCAAGCTCAGAGAGCACCAAAGACTCCTCTTACCCCATCCTCCTCCTCCTCCTCCTCCTCCTCCTCCTCCTCCTCCTCCTCCTCCTCCTCCTCCTCCTCCTCCTCCTCCTCCTCCCTTCAAGCACTGAAGGCCCTTAAGTTGGATCCTGAAACATCTGCAAGAAAACCATTAAGCTCACAGAGCACCACGGATCCCAAAGTTCAGCCCTGATCTACAAATATTCTTTTCCATCAGCAAAAAAATGTGTGGGAAAAATTCAGCCACTATTTTTTCCTTTGCAGACAAGGCTCCATCAGATGTCTTGAAGGAGGCCAAGGTGGACCTCATCTCCACCGAGAAGTGCAACAGCAGCAACTGGTATTACGGAAGCATCTCCGCCAGTAACCTGTGTGCCGGATTTGAAGGAGGAGGCATTGACACTTGCCAGGTGTGTGAGCAGGTTATACCCACATCCATTCTGGGCTGTCATTCTGATTGATTGATTCTGATCATGCATCTCAGACGTAGGTAATTTTGATTTAATGTTTATGACAATGTTATAAAAATCACATGCTATATGATTTTCATGTTCTGCCTTGGTATTCATCCAGAGTTATAACTTTTGGGGGTAGCTCTCCTGCTCAAGCAGGGGGTTGGACTAGAAGACCTCCAAGGTCCCTTCCTACTTGGTTATTCAATGTTCCTTATTCTATTGCACCTCCTTTCCAACACACCAGCAAGTTCTTTGTTCCTCACTTCTCTTCCTGGTTGCTCCCTTCATAGCTGATCTCTCTTCCTCCTGCAGGGTGACAGTGGAGGGCCTCTGATGTGTAGGGAAAACCGGTCCGAACGCTACTGGATTGTGGGAGTGACTGCCTGGGGACTGGGCTGTGCCAGGGCCCAGAAACCTGGAGTCTACACTTCTACCCAGAACTTCTACGACTGGATCCTAGGCTACACAAAAGAAAAGACTACCCATGAGAAGGTGGTGCTGCAGGTGCTCCCAGAGACAACAACATCAACCACATCTAGTCCATCGACACCTGAACTGACAACGTCCACAGAAGAAACAAGCCCACCTCCACCTGAACAAACTCCAAGGAAGCAAGAAATATCTATCCAAACCCAGCCAACCTCCGAAACAAAGACAACATCCTTACTGCGAAATCCATGGCCTTACTTACAAACAGAAAATACTACTCGTTCTTTGATGACCACTTCAACAACCACTGCTACTACCACTGAAACCACCACCGAGGCCACCACGGAAGAAATCATTGAAGTCACCATTGAAACCATCACTGAATCCACCACCGAGGCCACCACGGAAGAAATCATTGAAGTCACCATTGAAACCATCACTGAATCCACCACCGAATCCACCACTGAAAGTAGTACAACCAGCACCACTCCCACCACCACCACCAAAGCTCCTCAGCCACAAGTCCCACCTCCCAAGCCCGAACGAAAGACGATTACGGTGGGCTCCTACTATGGCTACAGTGGGAGTTCCAACTGGCCCAAGCATTGGCCTTTCAGACGCCGCCCACGTTCTTGAACCCAATCTCAGACCCAACTGTTGCTGGTCAGCGGCCCACTTTATTTGCTGAAGGGGGTCTTTCCCTCTGCAGATAAAGTATTCTGTGCAACGGAACTTCTCAAGTGATCCAATGAACGTAAGAGATGATTAAAATGCATGTACTTCAAATAAATTTTTGTAAAAATGTACAAGACTGGTTGCAACTACTTTTCCTCTTTCTGGTCCCAAAGAATTGGGCAAAGACCAGTGACAGGAATTTCGATGGTTGTGTCAAAGAACGTACGACGGCAGTGTCAAAGAATAACATTGCCATAGGTGTATATTACAGGCCACCCAACCAAGCAGAAGAAATAGATGAACTTTTCCATCTATATGTAGGAAACACACCACAGTAGTAATGGGGGACTTTAACTACTCTGGCATCAATTGGGAGATTGGAGAGGTTCCTTATGAGCCTAGCTGACAATTTTGTCATCTAAAAGGTAGAGGAGGGAACTAGAAGGCCAGCTCTACTGGACTTAATTCTTATATCAGAGATGAAATGCTAAAAATGTCGCCCCTGGTCCTTTTTTTTCTCTAGACTGGCCGTGCTCAATTCCTGCAACCGTTCTTCGTATGTTTTTGTTTCCAGGCCTTTAATCATCTTAGTTGCTCTTCTCTGCACTTCTTCCAAAGTCTCAACATCTTTTTTGTAATGTGGTGACCAAAACTGGATGCAGGATTCCAGGTCTGGCCTTACTAGGGTTTTATAAAGCGGCACTAATCCTTCACGTGATTTTGATTCTATGCCTCTGTTTATACAACCAAGGATTGTATTAGCTTTTTTGGCTGCCGTTGCACACGGCTGGCTCCTGTTTAAGTGATCGTCCACTAGGACTCCAAGGTCCCTCCTTCACTTCCTGTTTTTGAGCCAGGTTTCACCTAGTCTATACTGGTATCTTTGGTTTCTCCTGATTAAGTGTAAAAACTTGCTTTTCTCCACATCAAATTTCATATTGTTGGATGGGGCCCATTGTTCAAGTCTGTCAAGATCTTTTTGGATCCTGAGCTTGTCTTCTGGGGTGTTGGCTGTTCCTGCCAATTTAGTGTCACCTGCAAATTTATACCCTTCTATACCCTCATCTAAGTCATTAATGAAGAAGTTGAAGAGTCCGGAGCCTAAGACAGCCACTGTCCACTCACTGTTACCTCTTAAGAGGGGTGGTACTAAGAGGGTCCAACCCACCCAATGTTTTCTTGTTGATTCATGATGTGAGTTTGGAATCTTACTAAAAATATCACTCTGACCACCAAATCTGTGGCAGGAAAATCAAATGAGTCTGCCTACTGCCTGTCAACCTTAGTTGCTAAGCAACTATGCTCCAGGCCAGCCCCTTGGAGAACTTTCACTAAGGGTCTCCTCTGGAAAGGAAGCAGAGAACTGGTGTGATGTCATATTGGCTGCATGCTGATTGGAGGAAGGCAAGTGGTCTGTGGTTTGTGACGTCATGAGGAATGTCGTAAGCCCAAGATGGAACTGAGCACTTCTTGAGACATGTAGGATGAAGCAGTTACCTCTTCATATTTTGGTCCTTTTTCTGTTATGGTCTACACATGCATACGATAACAGATGTGGGTGAGTCATGTCAAATCCAGGGGTTGTTCAGGGGAAGTGCTTTTAATGCCCTACAATGCCTGTTCCTCAGCAGACTTGGCTTCTCTGGTCTCCAGATCCATCAACTGCAGCCCTTGGGCCCACAGAGGAAACCCTGCCTGGGAACTTCAGGCCTCCTTTACATCAGATGTCCACATCACGCAAGGAAGGCGGGTTGCTGCAGACCCCCAGGCTTCAGTTCCCTTCCTGTATCTCCACCTTCCTTGGAACCTGCGCAGGTCTAGCTTGGCCATAAGTAGAGGGAGGAGCCATGGCTCTGTCTGAGCAGTTTCCCCATCAGATTGCTCTCAGCTGGATGAATGCCAGGCAGCTTCTCTTGAACCTTTGTGATGGAGAACTCTGCCCTGTTCTTGGTCTTCATGTGTTTATTGGGTTCCTGTGGTGGAAAGATTCATGTCTCCCTGTGGGGTTCCAAGACAGCATCCATGCAAACGGTGATGATGCTCAGCTGATGAGCATGGCCAACATGATTGAATTGACAACAAACCAAGCGGATGCATTTGGACAATATGCTAGTAACATCCTGGCTTAGAGTACAGAATCAGCCTCCTAAGACTTCATCCACGAAGCGGCTTCAATATGTTGCATGGTTGTGGTTTGATTTTGAGTGTGCTACTGTTTTCCAGTTGTAGATTTCTCCTTTCAGGGTTTTAAACTGCTCCATTCCAATGTGGAATGTGTCTATGAGTATGACTCTGTAGGATGGCAGACATTGCTTTAAGCCTCCTTCATCTGTCTCCTTGCCACCCTGAGCCTCCTTTGCATTAGTGGGGTCTACAGTGGCCTTGCTCACATGATATGATGGGATGTTCCAATATCTAAGGGGCTGTCACAGAGAAGAGGGGGTCCACCTATTTTCCAAAGCACCTGAAGGCAACGGATGGAAACTAACCAAGGAGAGAAGCAACCTAGAACTAAGGAGGAATTTCCTGACAGTGAGAACAATTAACCAGTGGAATAGAAGTTATGAGTGCTCCAACATTGGATGTTTAATAACAACATTATTGTCATTTTATGTGTATACACAGTATATCCATAAAATGAAATTCACTTAACACCCAAAGACCAGGTCCAACACACATAACAATCCCCAAACACGGGGGGTTGGGCTAGAAGACCTCCAAGGTCCCTTCCAACTCTGTTCTTCTGTTCTTCTGACTGCGACCACGATCTTGACCTTTTCAGCCTTCTTCTCACAGGCGTTCCTGCCCCACATCTAACCAACGTTTCTCTCTTCCCTAGGGATGTCTGTGGCCGCCGTCCTTTGGCCTCCAGTCACAGTAGCAACCTGCGGATCGTGGGTGGCACCGATGCGCTCCCAGGAACGTGGCCTTGGATTGTCAGCATCCAGATACCCACCCTGACTGGCTACAAGCACACCTGTGGGGGGTCCCTCATCAGCCCTCGCTGGGTCATCACAGCAGCTCACTGCTTCCTCAACAAAAGGTGAGGGGAAGGAAGGGCCTCCTGTCCCGACTGGCTGAGTCAGGGGTGTCTAGTTAGGCTTGCAGATGGAGATGGTCAGGCATAAGGAATCAAGAATGACACGATGAATGGCTCAGAATAGTTTCCGTATTGCTGTTCACCCATAGTCAGGAATCTTGCCAAACTAAAGCAACTATCTGAATAACCATCAGAAAAATCCTATAAAGCTTGAGGGACAACCTATCCTGCACCTCTTTCTGCATACCAAACACTTAAGACTGTCATAAATAGTGTAGGGTTTCCTGCTTGGGTGGGAGGTTGGACTAGATGACCTACAAGATCCCTTCCAACTCTATTAATCTGTTAAAGTCTGAGCCCCTGCAACTGTTCATTGCACAGTTCAGCATCCAGACCCCTAATCATCTTTGTTCTCTTCTCTGCACACTGGACAGCCACTTGTCTGGAATGGTGTAGGGTCTCCTTCTGGGGCAGGGGTAGGGGTGGGGGTTGGACTAGAAGACCTCCAAGGTCCCTTCCAGCTCTATTCTGATTGATTGAGTAGTTAATAGGGTTGTAGGATCAAATCTACTCTAAGTGGACAGGCTGATGGTCTGAGCACCTTTCCAGACGCAGAAGACACAGACAGATTTTGATTCCTAACTCCTTGTAGTAAAGTCCATGAACCATCTCCATCCCCTTGTCAGCTTTTCTTAGCTTTAGTTTAATCCCACTTTCCCCTGGTTTTCCATACGCTTACGGCCTCCCTTTGCCTTCTCTGCTCCAGATACCTAGAACACTGGAAGCTGGTTTTGGGTGCTGCTCAGCTTTCTCGGCCTGGTCCGGATGCCCAGGAACGCACCATCAAGAACCTGGTGGAGCACCAGCAATACGTACGTTCCACCCACTTCAACGACGTGGCCTTGATGGAGCTAAGCCACCCAATCAACTGCAGTGACTACATCCAACCTGCCTGCCTGCCGGACATGGGTGTGGAGGTTTCATCGCTGACCCACTGCTACGTCAGCGGCTGGGGAGTGACCGATGTCTCAAGTGAGTCCTCCAGCATGTCCATCAAGAATGAATCTCCAGCCACAACTCAACTTGAGCAGCTGTTTTCTTCTCTGGTGGGGCTTTCTGGTTCTTCCAGACCTGAGATGTTGGAAAGCCGTTCAAGGCAAACAGCTTTTTCAGATCTTAGCCAGATCTTAGCACTCGTTCTCTCTGAGATCTTCCCTCAACCGAAGAATAATTTGGGGTTCCAACTTGAGTCAGGGTTAGGCAGGAGCAAATCAAAATGAAATCCAGAGACGTTGGGAGGAAAGGAGGCTTATTTATTCGCAAAAGCAAAGAGCCTTGCCTGTGGAGGTAGCTACAGAGAGAATGGAGAACGGAAGGGCTGCTTTAGAGGGGAGCTTGTCCTTGGTGTAGATGTGTGTACGTGCTGATTCTCGGGCAGGGATGTCAGACTTGATTTCATTGAGGGCCGCATCAGGGTTGTGTTTGACCCTGTGGGGGGGCAGGTGGGCGTGGCTGGGGTGGGCATGCTCCCTCGGGCTCCATTTTTGTTGGCAGAGGGCAGCATGAGGCCATCTAGGCTGAAAACAGGGCCCTGGGAGACCGTGTGCAGCCCCCCCCACCCCGAGCTCTGTTTGTGCTGTCAGAAACATTGTGGGCCGGTCCTTCACTGTTCCCAGGGTGGCCTTGCAGGCCAGATCTAACCCCCCACGGGCCAGATGTGTCCGCGGGCCTTGAGTTTGACACCCGTGTTCTAGGGTGACACTTGAGGGAAAGGGCTTGTGTAGGCCAGTATCACCTGTGATGTTTATTCTGGTGAACATGTGTTCCTTAGTCATCGTTTACCTTTTTTTTTTTTTTTTTGCTTCTGTTTACCTGCCTTTCATTTTTCTTCCCTTTTGATATCGTAAGTCGCCTAGAGTAGACTCACAGCGGGTTAGGAGGCAAATAAATTTAATAGACACATTTAACAAATAAATACATCTTTTTTGGTTACAGAGCCAAATGTGACCTCGGATATCCTGCAAGAAGCCAAAGTAAACCTCATCCCCACAACCACATGTAACAGCACTGCCTGGTATGACAAGAAAATCCATCACAACAATATCTGCGCTGGGCATGAGGAAGGAGGCATTGACACTTGCCAGGTAACAGAAGAACAGAAGAACAGGGTTGGCAGGGACCTTGGAGGTCTTCTAGTCCAGCCCCCTGCTCAGGCAGGAGACCCTATAACCCATGATGGTGAACCTATGGCACGTGTGCCAGAAGTGGCATGCACAGCTCTCTCTGTGGCCATCACCAGCTTTTCTTCTGGTTTCCGGCATGTTCATGTGCCACAGTCAGCTGGTCTTCTGGTTTCCAGGCTCCGACACTCACACGCAAATGTTCCAGTTTTGGCACTTGGTGTCTCTGCCCTAAACCCTATATCAGTCCTGTCCCAGCTTGGGCCTTTAGGAAAGAGAGACCCACAACTCCATATGTTGTAGTGAAAGGTATACTTTTACTAAAGCCAAGTGGTTACAGCGTAAGCAAAGCCAGATCTGAGACGTCCTGTGTAAACCCGTTATTTCCCTTTCTCCCAGGCCCTCCCCTCTGCTTATCCTACTTCTGTCCAATGAGGTTCAAATTAGTTATTTTGGTAACAGTCCTAAGGTTTGGCACCTCTGGTTCCTATCAAGCCCCCTCCCTACATCCCGCTATTACCACTCCTCACTTTGTGTGGCAGGCTACTATCAAAGCGAAGTAGGGCTAAAATGATTTGATAGCAGACTTGATGCCATTTTAAACAAACGGTTGTCCAGTCTCTTCTTAAAAACCTCCAGTGTTGGAGCAACTACAACTTCTGGACTCAAGTCGTTCCACTTGTTAATTGTTCTCACTGTCAGGAAATTCCTCCTTAGTTCTAGGTTGCTTCTCTCCTTGGTTAATTTCCATCCGTTGCTTCTTGTCCTGCCTTCAGGGGCTTTGGTGGACCCCCTCTTCTTTGTGGCAGCCCCTCAGGATATTGGAAGACTGACAGCTGCCTTTGCACCCACAAGAAATCTAAGCCTAGTCCTCCTTGAATTCCATTAACTCTTATCCGCTGCCAATTTGCCTTGATCGTTAGTAGATCAGATTCTTGTAGAGAACTAACACGGATTAAACTTGTACACATTTGAACAGTCTGGCTTCCTGATTTCTTGCACCTGACAGTTCCTGTATTTGATGTTCTTCCTCTTCTTGTTCGCGCAGGGTGACAGTGGTGGTCCTCTCATGTGTCGGGAGCAAAGGTCCGAGCGTTTCTGGCTTGTCGGTGTCACCAGCTGGGGCGCTGGCTGTGCCAGGTCCATGAGGCCCGGCATCTATTCCTCCACACAACTTTTCCTGAACTGGATCAAAGACATGACCAAGGAGAACTTTTTCAAGACTCCTCGCCCACCCAAAAAAAGACCCCCGTCAAAGCCGCTGGATCAGCTGTGGCAACAAACCACCCCCTCGAATGGAAACCAGCAGCTTGAGAACTGGGTTCAACCCAGGCCGAAGCCAATAATGTCTCCTCCAAGGCCACCTTCCGCAAATGAAATCCAACAGTTTGAGAACTGGGCTGCAGCTCAGACAAGGCCTAGTACGCAACCCACCCCACCGTTCACCATGCCTTGGCCTCAGGACCTTCTGTCATCGCAGCCACTAGCACCAACACTACCGCTGCAGACATTATTCCCCCCGCCCCCGCCCCCACCCCCACTTCCTGTTCAGACCCTGTCCCCATGGGGTTCACAGGATGTGCAGAACTGGAACCAAGGCTGGGCTCCAGTTTACCGGCCTCCCCCCAGAACCAGGCCCACCGCGGTGCCTTGGCCAGGATATGGTGCACAGCAGCCCCAGACATGGGGCAACGTGGCTGTGACTAGGACAAGAGCTCCCTATTATGGTGGATACTACCCTAACTGGAACATGCCCAGGCCTCCCCTTCAAACCACTTCAGGGTGGCAGGTCCAGAAATGGTCTCGCCCAACGACCCCCTTGAGTTACATCTGGTACTCGAGATGGAGCAGGTCCCCTAAGTAGGCCCAGTGCCCCACTCCACAATCAGCCAGTCATTTTCTGACTTCCCCTTCCCATCTGTCAAGCAAGCTTCAAGAGCATATAGTTTGGGGGGGTCTGTCCCCTCCCTTCCTCCTACTCCAGGTCTCAAGCTGGGTTGCCCAAGAGAAGATAGTCACCCTTTAACAGATCGATGTAAACAGAGAGAGAGAGGAGACACAACAGATGCTGGAGGTGTGCAGTAGTAAAACAGCCGCTGCCGCAGGATTGGCTGTGGATGCTTGGTTCTGAGGCCTTGATGTTTTGGGGGACTCACGGGGAGAGCCTACCTGGATAAGGAGACACCTGGATCGTTCAGCAGCTGGCTTCATTCATGCCTACCAACTATTTCAAAGAAAAGACTGGAGGCTGCCCCTTTCCTGGGGCAGGCTGGTCTTCTGTTGAGCAGCATTTGTAATTCTATATTAGCAATAAAGTGGTGCTTCTTCTAATGGGTTGCACGGCTTATTCCACTACACAATGATCTTCATTTATTAGAGCCTTTAAAATGTTGGCATCCTATCTTTCTGGGCCCAACATCCAGCTAAAATAGAAATTTATTTACTCCAATAAATGGTGGCTTGTTAAAGTTTCAGCCTAGAAAAAGTTGGGTGAAATGAGAAACTATCTAGCTTTTGGCATAAGATGATGACAGGAATGCCACAAGACAACTTTCTCGCTGTGTTTGATCTTCACACCTTGGATGAAAGCCTCCCTCTAAATGTCTGAGTGGATCAAGCCCATTAGTGAGATGAATCGGCTCTTACTTGCAGATGTTCAGCCTAGATAGAATAAAGTTAATATCTGTGCGGTAGCTTCTGCGTTGACAGACAGGGTACAGTTGGCACTCCTGGCAAACCATGGATATAAGAACTTGAAGTATAGCCTAGTCCTGTCGTCTCCTGGCACTTAAACCCATGGAGAATTGCTGCCCTGCAGTCTCCTTGTGAGGATCAGCCGTCCAGAGTACCTGTGGGTAATCACCCATCCTCTCTTCATCAGGAGAAGTTCCAAAGAACAGATTTATTCACAAGTTCCCAGGTCCTCGCCACTTTTGCAGAGCTCTCTTTAGTTCACCACCATATCTCCCCTGGAAGTTTTACGTCTCAAATATTCTTAACCATAAAAGTTCAAGCATTCTTTTGGTCATGAACTTCCTCATGTAGTCATTTAACTACATACGTTCAATGCACTTAGGACTAGTTTCTTCACCAAAGGTTCTTGAGCAGGAAGGTTTCTTGTGGGGTGGAGAAAGGAGGGGGGGAGTCAAAATCTACAAGATGATCCAAGTTATCTGTCAGGGCTTCCCTAATGCACAGGGCAATTTGCAAACACTCTTGGTGCTCTTTGGTTGCTCCTAATCATTGCCACTGTCTTAAGGACTTGGATATTTGTTCTTGGCTTTTAGTGACTCTCAAACGTGTTCTTAGCCACCAAACCCAATCAATAATGAACCCTATTTGAAGATTTTTTTCCCACCATTCCCCAATCAGGTGACTGAGTTACAAATCACAGGCTGAGAAAAGTTCAAGGATCCACTGATCTTCTCCAGAACCCAGTGGGCATCCAGACTGATCTAGATTGTGCTATGGTAGCTTTGACCTGAACGCTGTCTGGAGCCAGAATCAGGAAAAGTCCATCCTGGTCAAAATTGGAGTCCCTCTTAGAGAAGCCCTAAACCAGGGGTCAGCAACCCACGGCTCTGGAGCCACATGTGGTTTTTCCGCCCCTCTGCTGCGGCTCCTTGTCGCCGGTCAGTTACACAATTGATAGGGCTTTTGGTTAGGACAGGTAGAGGAAAAAGGATGCCACACTAGGAGGAGACTCTATGGTGGTGGTGGGGGAACCAGACTTCCACTCAGCATAGGAAAAAAGATGCCGTGCTAGGAGGAAACTCTATGGTGGGGGGAACCGGACTTCCGGTCAGCTCCAGAATTGAACGGGGGGCTTCTGGTTAGGACCTTTATGGCTCTTTGAGTGTTTAAGGTTGCCGACCCCTGCCCTAAACACTAGGTGAAGCCGGTGGTTCTTGCCCCGCTTTCCTGTAATCCTCCAGTTAAAGCAACCACACCTTCCTTTTTAAAGGCAAGGTATGGAAGCATAGTTAAGACAGCTGAAATTTCCTGACAGTTAGAAAAATTAATCAGCAGAACAATTTGCCTCCAGAAGTTGTGAATTCTCCAACACTGGAAGTTTTCAAGAGGTGATTGGACAACCATTTGTCTGAAATGGTACAGGGTTTCGCCAGAACAGGGGGTTGGACTAGAAGACCTCCCAGGTCCCTTCCAACACTGTTATTCTGTAGCTCTCAGGTTGATTGCAGTGCATTGCTTTAAAGCAGTGTCTCCCAACCTTGGCAACTTTAAGATATCTGGACTTCAGTCCCAGAATCCCCCAGCCAGCAATTCTGGGAGTTGAGTCCACATATTTTAAAGTTGCCAAGGTTGGGAGACAATGCTTTAAAGGGTTGTGAGGGTGGAGCAGAGATGGGACACTTTGCAATCCTAACTTTAAAGTACACTAACAAAATGCTTAGAAAATGCTCACTTTGTGCATAAGCAAAACATATCCTAAATGAAATATTTTACAGATACTTTACTCACTTCCTCTGACTACTTTTCTTCCCAAATGCTGTCAGACAACATTCACTGGGAGGCTGATAAAACTCAAATTCACCAATACGGATTCTGATTTGAGAAATGGGTAGACCCAAATTCTTTTTTCCAAACCAGATTTATTTGGGAAACTCAAGGATTAGAAATTTTGGGCTGAAGTATTTGCTTATGCTTTTCAAATGCTGTCTCACTTCCCTTTCTCCAATCTACAGTCTCCAGAGAGCAGATGCCAGTGTGACTCATTGGATTTGATGGGCTGACTGCTTTTTTTAAAACAAACAAACAAACAAAACTTTCCTAAAGAAAAATGGGATGCGGCTGGATGGTGGGAGAAGGACTGGCAGAACAAGGGGAGTGATGAAAAGAGGGATCAGCCTAGAATCACTACGTAGTCACCAATGAACTAAATCCAACTACCCTTGACTGCCATTGAGCTTTATTTAATTCTAACCAGGTGCCCACGTGGTTGAGAAGTTTCTTGCACCAAAATCAATGGGGAGAATTATAATTGCTAGATATTGGAAATTAAATGTTGACTTAAAATTAGAAGAATGGTATAATGGAACATGGAAATTTGCATTAAATGATAAATTGACTTGTGATATTAAAATTAGAAGTGGTATATACAAAGAAAATGTTTTTTGGAACACTTGGCAACCATTTGTGGACTTTGCACTTGGGAGATTGGATGAATCGGCACCAGTACCTTATCAAAGAGATTTCTGGAAGAATTGAAGACTTTAACTTCCTAAAATTTCCTTTCCGTTTGTATAGCACATTGGGGGAAATTTTTTTTCTTTCCTTACTATTGATTTTTGTGTTGTTGTTTTTTTCCTTTCTGTTATTCTTTAACAATAAAAATATAATATTTTTTTTTTAAAAAAAGAAGATTCTTGCACAAGGGCATTTGGCAATAAATCAGTTAAATTGAACCGTCATGGGTGGTTCATCATCTCACTTGCTGAGATGTCTCTGGTTTCTTGTTCTTGTTTTCCCAGGTCTTCCCGGTGGTTCCATCTCATCTTGCTTGTCCAATCACCCACTTGCCTCCTCCCAGGTGGGCACTGATGTCCAGCTGGGTTGCTGAGGGAAGAGAACCAGGAAACCTGGGTTTTATGATGTCATGGGTTCTAGGAAGATGCAGGAGGAGCAGCAGCACCCGAGCCTGTCCGGAGATGGGATGGCAGCTCTTGCCAGTCCTGGTCCTTGCCATGTTGCAGGAGAAGGTGGCCCCTGGGGCCGCTTTGCCAGCCAAAGAGAACACCTGCGAGTAAGTGGCAAAGGAGGGCCCTGTGGGTAACACCCCTGTCCCATGGGAAGCATCCCTGGGCTTCTGCCTTCTGCCAGTTGTGACTGCCCTACCTGCAAGACCTGACAGGTACTGGAGGCAGAGATGGGGCCAAGCAAACATTCCAGATTACTAGCATCAAAGCTCTGGGAAGGAAGAATCTGTGTGTGAAGACCCGGGGCAAGGCACAGAGGCAACAGTCAGCTGACAGTTCAAATTGCCCCTTTATCACTCCAACTTTCCCCCAACGCTCCCACGTTATGGCAAGTCCTAGAGCAAAGGACTAGGAACACACACACACACACACACCCCTTCAGCAACCTCTGGCTGCAAGTAGTCCAGCAAAAAGCTGTGAGCACCATGGCTGCAAAGTAAGAAATCCAGCGGGGCAAGGGAATAAGTCAGTCAGTCCAGGAAGCAAAGGGACAAGGCAATTAATCCAGGAAGCAAGAAATAAAGCAAGAAGTCCAGGAAACGCCAAACATTGGCAATGGCACACAAAACTCCATGAATTCAGCGTTTATTCCTGGCAAACGCCCCTCCCCACAGAGTCTCCTTAAGTCTCTATCCCCAGGTGGAGAGGGGTGGGGCTCTCTCCTCCTGAGTTGTCGGGTTGGTCTGCACTGTTCCTGCCTCCTCTTCACTCTCTGTGATCGAGGATCAGGAGGGGGTGGTTCTTGCTCATCGCCTGAGCTCTGTCTCTCATTCTTCACTGTTTAGCCTCTCTTGGTCCTCCTGCCCCCGTTCCTCCCTGCTAGCAAGCTGTCCCACTCTTGAGGGGCCCTGGCCTGCCTCCTCCCCACATTCCTCCAAAGCCAATGAAGCCACCCACTCGGTCTCCCTCGGCCCCAACTCCTGCTCGTCTTCTTCCGCAGATTCAGGGTTTGACCGGGACATGACATTGTGCTCCAGGGTGGAGTGGGTTGCTTATTCTTAGGATCTACAGCTTTCATCTCCTGACCATTCTCCATTTGTGCTTCTCTTCAGTGGCGTCTGTGGACGGCGTCCGATGGCAGCTAGCCATGGTCTGCTGCGAGTTGTGGGCGGCACAGATGCTCTCCCGGGGACATGGCCTTGGCAGGTTTGCTTCCAGCTACCATCGCCAATGGGCTACGTCAACGCCTGTGGAGGAACCCTGCTCAGCTCTCGCTGGGTCCTGACTGCCGCCCACTGCTTTCAGTTGGAAGAGTGAGCAAAAGAGTTGCTGCCTCTTGGGGGAGTGGGGTGTGTGTGTCGGTGTGATGCTGCAGGATCTTCCAACCAGGTAGCCTGGATCCTTATGGGAGTTAAGTCCATGGTCCATTGATAGGGCCAGTCTGGCGTTGATCCAGATGCAGGTCTCTTCTTCTGCTTTCCTCTAAAGACCTCCAGAGGTTATCAAGGGTTCCATCCTTCCTTCCTCTCCGGCTTCCTTTCTCAGTCTGACCTCTTTAATTTGAGAATTTGATCTCTCCAGAAAGGAGGACAGCAAAGAACAGGTCCCACACTGTACTTAGGCTGAAATAACTTCAGATTACCTTATGATTTCCCAAATAAACTTTCTCTCTCTCCCTCTCTCCCTCTCTCCCTCTCTCCCTCTTTCCCTCTCTCTCTCTTTCCTATCTCCCTCACACCTTCTCTCTTTTTCTTTTTCATGCACAAATGTTTCCTTATAAAAGTTATACTCCTATCTTCAGTGTTTCTCTCATCTTACATTAGTTTCAATGAAGGAACAGAGGAAGGGAGGAAAGAAGGAAGGAGAAGGAGGCAGGAAAGGAAGGAAGGAAAGAAGGGAGGGAGGGGAGGAGGGAAGGAAGGAGAAGGAGGTAGGGAAGGAAGGAAGGAAGGAAAGAATAGAAGGAGATGGAGGCAGGGAAAGAAGGAAGGAAGGAAGGAGACAAAGGCAGGGAAGGAAGGAGAGGGAGGAAGGGAAAGAAAGAAGGAAGGAAGGAAGGAAGGAAGGAAGGAAGGAAGGAGAGGGAAGGAAGGAGAGGGAGGGAAGGAAAGAAGGAAGGAAGGAAGGAAGGAAGGAAGGAAGGAAGGAAGGAAGGAAGGAAGGAAGGAAGGGCTGTCCAGACTTTCTGTTTCTGTTATCCTTACCAGCAGAGCCTCCTGCTTGTAAGGAGGAGGGTCCAGGGCTCTGGGCAGACCCTCAACGTCTGTTGACATGGATCTCTTCTTCATTCCAGTGAGATCAGATGGTATAGGGTGGTGCTTGGGCTCAACCGGATCTCCCAGCCTGGTCCTGATGCCCAGAACCGTTTAATCAAGAGGGTGATCAACCACAAGCTCTACAAGAACGAACTCAACAGCACAGACGGAGGGATCCAACACGACATTTCCTTGGTGGAGTTGACTGAGCCGGTCAGCTGCAATGACTACATCCAGCCGGCTTGTTTGCCTGACGAGAGTGTGACAATCTCAAAGCTGGTCCAATGTTCTGTCAGTGGCTGGGGAACCATGGAAGTCAAATGTGAGAGACTTGGGGAAAAGGGGCTCAGCTCAGGGGTTCGAGTCAACTTATCTCTGGCACCTCCAACAGAAAAGAGAGTGTGAAAGACCTGAAATGGTCTCCACCCTGGGGAAGGCATGGGGAATAATAGAATATCAGAGTTGGAAGAGACCATGGAGGTCTTCTACGCAACCTTCTGCTCCATCAGGAGACCCGGCCTATCTCCTGCTTGAGCAGTGGGTTGCATTAGAAGACCTTCAGCTCTTGTTGTTCTGTTGTTCTGGTTCTCCCTGGGAGAGAGTGTTCCATCCCATGAATCTTTGGGCATGGGAGAAATGCAGGCTGGTGATTTCTTCTGTTCACAGCCCAAAGGCGGCCAGACGTGATGCAAGAGGGGGTTGTTAAACTCATACCTCACAACACATGCAGCAGCTTATTCTGGTGGAACAAGCGTATCCGGCCTGAGAACATATGCGCTGGACACGAGAGTGGAGAAGTTACTACATGTCAGGTAGGTGGATCTAGGCTGGTGAGACTCAGTTGGGCTCCGTGTCTTTCAGTGACTTGAGAAGAGTTTCAAAAGTTGATCTCTGGAATGTTTAGGCCTTTCTTTTGGAGCTGCTTCTAATTTTGAATGTTTTCTTCTTTTAGGGTGACAGCGGAGGGCCTCTCATGTGCAGGGAAGAAAGGTCCGAGCGGTACTTGGTCATTGGAGTCACCAGCTGGGGACCAATGAGCTGTGTTGAAGTTCGGAAGCCAGGTGTCTTCACCTCCACACAAGTCTACGTTGACTGGATCACAGCCATGACCAAAAACAGTATTTACAAGGCTACCCACAAGCCAGTACTGGCTGAGGTCTGGCCTCCTGCAAAGCCAACATCCCCGATCCAATCCAGCACCCAAAAGGTGATGTCGAAGCATCCCAAGCCCCTTCCCCCACCCAGGCCTCCACCTTTCCCTTCGCTCACCCCTGGGCCCATGGTTCCACCTTCCCCTCGGTTCACACCTAGGCCCAGGCCTCCCCCTCTGTTCATACCTGGGTTTAGGCCTCCCCTTCGGTCCACACCTGGGTACAGGCCTCCACCTTCCTCTAGGTTCACGGCTCGCCCCAAGCCTTCAACTCCTCCTTGGTTCAACCCTGCTCTCAGGCCCCCTCCTGTGTGGAAGCCCTCACGATGGTACCTCATTCCTCCCACACGATGGTACTTAGTTCCTCAAAGACCATCAAAGTGGGGAACCATGACTCCTTCTTGGAGAAGACCCCATACTACTCACCGTCCCTGGACGGGGCCTGCCCTATGGGGAATGACCCTACCTTTGAGGACAACTCCCAGAAAGTGGTATCATAGGACAAAGGCTCCTGGGCGGTTTGGGGCAACTTGGGCCTCACGTCAATTACAACTGCAACCAAACCCACAATTATCACCCCCTGGTCATTATATCTCTCACAATTGGAATCCAAGTTTTGCCCAACCTGGCAGTCAGTCTGCTATGCTCTTGCCCCCTAGAGGACCAGAAAGGGGGTAGATCTCTTAAGAGAAGCAAGACAGAAGAGAACAGGAAGGAAGATGATGGCCTGGTCCCCATCCTTGTTTGGCCATAAACCAAAAGTCATTTCTTCTGCTGGGATCCCCAATCCCAACCCCTCATTCTTTCCAACATTCCCGGTTAAAGTTAGACTATCTTGCAACATGGACTTCGCCTTCTTATAACTAACTTTCCTTGGAATTTCTCATGGGACTTTATTTATACTGGGTTCTTCAAAGTGCACGTTGAAATAAAAAAAGAATTAAAATTAATATTGAACATGTGAAGATGTTTATGGTCTGGAATTATACACTGGGAAATTTAGCCTCTTCAGATTTATGTAAAAATGGTGCCATCGTGGATTAGAGAATTGAGAAAGGAGTTCCCATTTTCCTCCTCCCAAGAAAGTTGAAGCCAATGAGAAGCTGGGCAAAAGTTGATGGTGCAGAGAGGATGGAGGTTATGTTGTCCTTCTCAACAGAGCAGATGTCCTCTTGTACAGGAGACCCCTTTAGATGTTTGTATACTGCTATTATATTTCTCCTCCATCATCTCTTCAGCAAACTACTCAACTAGGAAACTCCATTAGTGCTACAAGGATGGAGAAGGACAACAACAACAACATCTGTGGGGTCCTTAGTGCTCTCTAGCCTTGGTTGTCATTCTTGCATGATCCAGCTAAGTAATATCATTAATGATACTGTTGGGGATAGCTTTGATGATGTTACCTGGTCATGAAATGCCTGCAAGAAAACCACTAAACTCAGAGAGCATCAAGGACCCTGAGCTACAAATATTCTCTTCTATCAGCAACATCTGTATTCTTTCACCATTCTCAAGGGACTTGGCTTCCATGCCCTTTCCCATTTTGGCAGCTCTTCTCAGAATCTGCTCCAGTTTCTTTACATTTTTTGTAAATATAACTAGACAAAATCCTCCAAAAACAGTCCAAGAATCCAAAGTAACAATGACCTCCCATGATCTGGGAGCAATTCTTCTTTAATGGCAACTGAAGAACACATAGTAAACATGATCTGATGTCTAATGTTACTTCTCAATTATTAATCCTGAAAGTGGAAAGTATTAGCTGCTACACTCAACTTGGAGTGAGGAACCTCTGGCCCCAAAAGAGCTTGATGTATTCCAAATTCCATCATCCTTCCCTCTTAGCCAAGCTGGCTTGGACTCCTCAGAGATCTAATTTAGCAACAACTGGCAGACCGTAGGGCTCCTGTAGATGGGCTGCAGAAAAGCCAGACAACCAAGAGATAGCAAAGAGTTGACAGTTTTGTTTCAAGTTGCCATCATTTAGTGGTTATCCAAAGATTAGCAGCTTATGGGGTGTGTGGATACTGTGTCACCTGCATCTGGAGAACCTTAGAGGCAGCAAGCTTGGGTTGGGAGGCTTTGCAGGTCTCTCTCTCAGTAGCCTCTGAGTGGCAGAACCTGGGCTCAATTGGCAGAAATGGGAGTCCTGGTATTGTTCTTACTGAAAGTAGGTGAGGAGAAGACATAACTGGCTGCACAACCAATTTTCTTAGAGTTTTGTTGTTGTTAGTCGCTTTAAGGCTTTCCCAGAACAAACCACAGATAAGCAGGCCTTCTTTTCATTTGTCAAAAGAGAAACCAGCAGAACAAGAAGCAATGAGTAGAAATCAAGGAGAGAAGTAACCTAGAACTAAGGAGAAATTTCCTGACCGTGAAAACGATCAACCAGTGGAACAGCTTGCCACCAGAAGTTGTGGGTGCTCCAACACTGCAGGTTTTAAAGAAGAGGTTGGACAGTCACTTGTCTGAAATGGTCTAGGTCTCTTGCTTGAGCAGAGGTTGGACTAGAAGACCTCCAAGTTCCCTTCCCTATGATTCTATGTTCTATTTAGAATTAAGGAGAAATTTCCTGATCCAACTAATCAGTGGAACAACTTGTCTCCAGAAGTTATGGGTGCTCCAACACTGGAGGTTTCAAAGAAGATACTTCTCTAAAATGCATTTAGGATTTTCTGCTGAGTAGGGAGTTGGACTAGAAGACCTCCGAGGTCCTTTCCAACTTGTTATTTTGTTATTCTAATGGGCAGAATGATGCAAACGACTTCCTAGCAAAATATGTTTGCAGATGACTACAAAGCCATGATTGCATGTCTACAAAAGCATCTTCCATGCCACCACTTCCTTCACAGCTTGCTTCTTGCTCAGGTCTCCTGTTGTTGCTGACTCAGCAGGACAGTTAGCGTTCCTGAGGCCTCTCTGCCCCCCCCCCCCCCCCGTGCCATGGGTTCCATTCCTAGGCAAGGTTGAAGAGTTTTGAAGGCCACGCCCAGATGCCCAAACTGGGACCCTGCCATTAACCCTCCTAAAGCCAATGGCAGCAAAGAATTGTGGTTCTTCAGTGTGATGTCATATTGTCTGTTGGCTGATTGGCCGGGGACTGAAAGGACAGTTTGTGACGTCAGGAGCCCTGGGAGCAGGAGGTGGGGCCTGACATTTGTTGAGCGATGTAGGATGAAGAAGCTGTTGCTGCTCCTTTGGGCTGTTGATGTGCTCTGTCTAATCTATGATGATGAAGAGGACACTTGCACGTAAGTGAGGGCCACAGCTGGAGTGGGTGACTCCATAGGCGACATGTGGTTGTCCTGGTGCCATGGGGCCTCCATACTTCAGCCAGAGTGTGCTGGATGGTTGTTGGAGATGGGCAAGGAAAGCAGCAGTAGGAAGTGTGACCTTGAGGTGCTGCTGGGGTTGTCCCAGAAGTTTCCAGACTGCCATGACTGGACCCTGGAGGAGGAGGAAGAAGAGGAAAAAACCTGGGTCTCCCATATTTCTTTCCTACCATTCTTGAGAAGAGCAACAAAGATGATTAGGGGACTGGAGGCAAAAGCATATGAAGAACGGTTGCTGGAATTGGGTAGGTCTAGTTTGATGAAAAGAAGGACCTGGGGGGACATGATAGCAGAGTTCCCATATCTCAAGGGCTGCCACAAAGAAGAGGAGGTCAAACTATTCTCCAAAGCACCCGAAGGCAGGACAAGAAGCAACAGATGGAAACTAACCAAGGAGAGAAACAGCCTAGAACTAGGAGAAATTTTGCGACAGTGAGAACAATTAACCGGTGGAACTCCTTGCCTCCAGAAGTTGTGAATTCTCCAAGACTGGAAGTTTTTAAGAAGAGGCTGGACAAACATTTGTCTGAAATGGGAGAGGGTTTCCTGCCTAAGCAGGGGGTTGGACTAGAAGACCTTCCAACTCTGTTATTCTATTCTAATAGAAAGCGTCCTCCTGAAGTTTCTTCTGAGAAGAACATCTTGGTGAAAGAAGTTTCTGGGTGAGAAGATGAACATTGTCGAAGGAAAACAAAATCCAAGAAAGTCCAGTTGTCCTTTCGGAAAAAGCACTTTTGGGGCAATGAGGACCTGCATGAGGGAGAATCTCCATAGACGCCTTTCAGTCTTAGTTCAGTCACATCCATGGGCTGGGTTCATACAACTCTCTCTCTCTCTCTCTCTCTCTCTGTATTTGCTGATGCACTACAGGTAATCCTTAATTTACGACCACAATTGCACCCAAAATTTCTGTTGCAAAGTGAAACATTTAAGTGAGTTTGCCCCATTTATAACCTTTCTTTCCACCGTTGTTAAGTAAATCACTATAGTTGTTACAGTAGTCAATGTTGTTAAGTGAATCTGGCTTCCCCCCTGGACTTTGCTTGTCAGAAGGTCGTAAAAGGGGATCACGTGACCCTGGGACACGTCGTAAATATGAATCAATTGCCAAGTGCCTAAATTTTGATCACGTGACCACGGGGGATGCTACAACGGTCATAAGTGTGAAAACTGGTCAGAGGTCGCTTTTTTCAGAGCCATTGCAACTTCAAACGGTCACTATATGAAGTGTTGCAAGTCGTGGATTACCTGTGCATAGCGTGATATCATTTGTGTTTGTACGTGTAATGTGTTTTATTAGTTTTGTGCATCAGAGATTGCAGGGCCTCTGTGGAGGCCTTACGCTCAATCACTCACTCATCCCATCTTCCTTTGCAGGAGGGTGTGTGGTAGCCGGCCACTAGCCATGAGCCATGGCATGTTGCGGATTGTGGGCGGGGTCGATTCCCTGCCAGGAACTTGGCCCTGGGCAGTCAGCTTCCAGTTCCCGACCCGGCAGGGATTCCGCCATTTCTGTGCTGGCTCCTTGATCAATTCTCGCTGGGTCATTTCAACGGCTCAATGCTTCCTCATTCAAAAGTGAGTGAAACCCCAAACACCCAACTCAGCAGAGGGCAGGAGGTCCAGGTCTCCCAAGAGCAGAAATGGGGACCAGGGCCTCTAGGTCAACTTTAGCAACTTGAAGATGTGTGGACTCCAACTCCCAGAATTCCCCAGTCAGCTGACTGGGGAATACTGGGAGTGGAGTTCACACTTCTTCAAGTTGCCAAGGTTGAGAACTTCAGAAGATGTCATACTAGCTGGAGAATTCTGGGAGTTGGAGTCCACATGTCTTCTGGTTGCCAAGGTCGAGAAGCTGTCATATGAGGAGGAAGGAGTTGATGACTCTTTTTATCTCTTGGACTTAATTGGCACCTTCTTGGCCTTGACTTCTTCCAGACTGGCCCAGCTGACCTGTAAGAGAAATTGTATTGTGTCAACTATCTTATCAAGGAGATGAGATCCAACTTAGTTCCATTTTCTGCAAGACATGAGCCCTCCATAACGATCTCTGGATGCCACCATTCCAGATGACTTCAGCTCTAGAAGCACCGTTATCGAGGTTGATCTGTGGATGCCACCATTCTAAGCATTCAGCACTAGAAGCATGGTTATCACAGTCCAACCATCGCCAGAAAGTTGCATGCTTCCAACTTTAAACTAGAGTCCACTCAGAACTTCTTAAGGGGTCTCCTCCAAAAGGGAGAAGTGTAGAAACATGCAAATTTCTAGAGAAAAGTAAGCCACAGAAGTCCAGAGATACCTCCAGAAGATCCCTTTTCAGTTAGAACATAGAGCAATATGGTTGGGAGGGACCGTGGAGGTCTTCTACCACATGTCTTTTCATGGTGTCCCTTTTGGCATTTCAACCCGGACTCAACATTATTATTGCTTGATTTGCTGGGGCTTTTTTTTGAGACTCTTTGTCTTCTCTTGAGTCTCAGGTTTTTCTCACTGTTCTGACCCGGTTCCCCCTCTCACAGCAGGCTAACAAGTCTGTCCAGCAGGGAGATGAGTAGTTGTCTGCCACTCCTCTTCATCTCCCCCCACCCACCGTTTATCCCCAGAGCTAGAATGAGGCCTCGCTAGCAGCGGTGGCTCTTCCCTCCCAAGGACCGGCCTATAGATTTCCAGTGCTCTCCTCTCCTCTGACTTCTGTGCATCCACATGTCAGGCACTGGGCCCAGCTGTTCCTCCTCTTCCACATCAGCCTCCTCCAGACCTGGGGGCTCTTGACCCTCCATTTAAGGGTCAAGAGCCCCCAGGCTCCTAAGGGCTGATGGATGGCCCAGGCTCCGCCTCTCTCTCTCTCTGCCAGCTCCATTTCCTCTTCCGCCTCAGAGCTCTCAGGTTGCCTTGAGGCTGACCCTGACTCCCACCCTCCTTCTCCTCCTCTGAGTCGACTGCCAGAGGGACCAGAGGCCGACAGGCCACAACACTTATGCTTGTCCCCCACTCCCCTCAGCATAAGAAATAATCTTAGGAAGAAGCACGAGAAGACTTCCTTCAGGGCTTCTTTCACCCAGCAGGTAATGAATGAGAGGCTACACGATCACCTTGCCAGGTAGATGATTGCTGTTTTTCTCAGAGAAGGAGGAAGAAGGCTCCCTTCTTTCAGCTGAGCCTCCTTCCCCATTGGCATCCCAACTTCCTAAACTGCAAGGGCTCGCGTGGGGATTGTGCGGTGAGGTCAGGATCCCGGCCGTTGCCTTCCCCATTCCAAGACGTCATTGGACCTCTTCAAAGTTGACCTCCTCTTCTCTAACGCGATCTCCCGTCTCCCCTTTCACCCAGGTACCTGAAGGTGGAGTATTTCAGGATACAGATTGGGGCCACCCAGCGCTCCAAACCTGGGCCTGATGCCCAGAACCGGGTCATCAAGAGACTCGTGGACCACAAACGTTACGACCAGGGCAATCACTTGAATAACATCGCCTTGGTAGAGCTGGACAAACCCGTGATTTGCAACGATTATGTCCAGCCCGCCTGCTTGCCGGAGGAAGACCTGGTCATAGACTTGCTCACCCACTGCTACATCTGCGGCTGGGGCATCACGATCATGCGGAGTGAGAGCCTCCAAAAATTAAATCCATCGATAAAGAAACCCCACCCGCCCCTTATCCCCATCCCTAGGAACACCGGGGCTCTAGGCACTCTCTGGGTTCCCAACACCTTGTCAGGTGTTTGGAGGAAAGTCTGAGAGTCACCCGACCATCGGTCAGGAGCTCTTGAAGGCATCACGCCATAGTTTGGGGATGTATTAAAAACTACGTGGTGCTGAGGTTGAGCACAGGAGTATCAGAAGGGAAGCAGGGAGAGGAAAAATGGGTCTCCTGTATCCCTTAAGGAACCCCCCCCTCCCTCTCTGATGGCATCCTTGGTCCTAGTGAGGGCAGGAAGGAGAACATTCTCCTACAGTTGACCCAGAGCTTGGCCAGTCGGGAACCTTCGCATGCATCTCCTTAAAGGTATGGCATTGCTTTGGGGCACCGGCTCTCCCTGCCACGTTCAGTGATTGACAGACGCTGATCCAGAGAACCAAAAATAATATTTTTTAAAAAATGCTTCTCTTGCATAGACAGAGGTGAGTTGAGTTTGATGTTTCAATGCGTTCTTTTGAAGAACAGGACTTAGAAACCAATAACTCTATCCTCTCCCCCCGGCTGCCCCCCCAAGGTGGGCTTTAAAAGGTAGCAGTCCCATTCACACCCTGATCTAAACTTAAACATAGAAATAGAAATAGAATAGAATAGAAATAGAATCCTAGAAGGAAGGGACCTCAGAGGTCTTCCAGTCCAACCCCGCACTCCAGGCAGGAGCCTTCTCCCAGTCAAATGGTTGTGCAGTGGAACTTGGTTAATTTAAACCAGAGAGAGGGTGTTAGTTTGTTGTGTTAATCCAACTTTGTTAGTTTAGGATTTGCTGCACAGTGTGAAGCCAGCAAATGACTTATTTCAATAACAAGGTCAACGGTGTTATGGGAGCTTAATCAAACCACAGGTAGTCCTCGACTTACAACAGTTCCTTTAGTGACCATTAAAAGTTACAATGGCACTGAAAAAAGTGACTTATGACCATTTTTCACACTTATGACCGTTGCAGCATCCCCATGGACACGCAATCAAAATTCAGACACTTGGCAACTGATCCATATTTATGACGGTTGGGGTCATGTGACCCACTTTTGTGACCTTCTGATGAGCAAAGTCAATGGGGAGGTCAGATTCACTTAACAACGGTGTTACTAACTTAACAACTGCAGTGATTCACTTACTAACTATGGCAAGAAAGCGGATAAAATGGGGAAAAATTCACTTAACAAATGTCTCACTTAGCAACAGAATTTTGGGGCTCAATTGTGGTCGTAAGCTGAGGACTACCTGTATAAGCGGGGGGACTTTCCATGATGGTTCTCTGCCTATCAGCCCTTCCGTTTGACCCCACCTGAAGCTGGGGGTCGAGACCTCCGCTGTGGCCAGGGTGATGTGAGCGGGTGGCTGGTCAGCCAAGGGGATCGTGGTGGGGTGATGCAGCCCTCTCTTCTGTCCACAGAGAAGGCCCCATATTCGGATATCATGCAAGAGGCCGAAGTGTCGCTGGTCTCCAGGGATACCTGCAACAGCTCCGAACAGTATGCCACCCTCATCAGGGAGGAGCACCTCTGTGCCATCTCGGAGGATCCCACCAAGGGCAGCTGCCGGGTGAGTTGCCAAGAGCAGAGATCTCCCTCCATCGGGCCTGGTCTTCAGAGGCTCTCTCCTGGCCTTCTCCAAGGTTCGAGAGGTGTTGCAGAGAGAACCACAGGTAGTCCGCGTTTAAGGTCTGCTTGTTCAGCGATCATTAGAAGTTACGGCGGCGCTGAACGAGGACACTTTTCCAAAGATGCTTTTACCAAAAAGGCAACTAGACTTGGGTTTTTTGTTGGAAAACTTTTCACTTCTCATCTAAGAAGCTTCTTCAGTTCTAACTTCAGTTCTTAGTTCTTCACCTAGAACTGAAGAAGCTTCTTGGATGAGAAGCAAAACATTTTCAAATAAAAACCAAAGAAGTTCAGTTGCCTTTTGGGGAAAAAAAAAAGCATCTTTGGGACAACCATGACCTGGGGATGGAGACAACAAGGGGACTTATGACTGGTCCTCATAGCTGCGGCCATCATAGCGTCCCTGGGGTCATGTGATCACAATTCAGGTGCTTGGCAAATGACTCCCAGTTATGACACCTGTGGGATCCCATGGTCATAGGACCCCTATTTGGAAACTTCATTGTCAACAACAAAGTTAAGAGGAAGACAGTAGGAGGCCACAAATGGGTAATCACAACGAAGCAGCCAATGTAGCCCTCCCTGCTAACTCCATCAACTTTGGCAGCCCTTCGTCCATTGTTTATAAGCATTTCTAAAGCGGTATAAAAGTGATTGCTGAGACGCTAGCCTTGTGCTGTTGCGTGCACATGGGTGATGCTACACCACTGGGTGATGTGCCATGTCCCCGTCGGAGCCTGAATTGGCAGAGGAAGATGAGCCGGAACTGAAGCGTACAGAGATTGAGGGGGCGGCTTCATTGGCTTGGGAGGAAAATGGGGAGGAGCAGGGCCAGTCAGGCCAGGGCCTTTCAGGATTGGGACGGCTTGTAGGCAGGGAGTGGTGGGGAAGGATAACCAAGAGAGGCTAAGCAGTGAACATGAGAGACAGAGCTCAAGCGATGAGCAAGGACCGCCCACTCCTGATCCTCAAGCATGGAGAATGGAGAGAAGGCGAGAACAGCGCAGGCTGACCCAGCTACTGAGGAGGAGAGCGCCCCGCCCCTCTTCACAAGGCATACCTGGGGATTGAGCCTTAAGAAGACACTGTGGGGAGGGGCATTTGTGGGGAAGAAACACTGAATTCCTGGAGTGTTGAATGCCAACCTTTAAACTCCCCAAGAGTCCTTGCATTCTTTTTGGATTTCTTGCTTTGCAGTTGCACTGCTCACAGTGTTGGGCTGGACTATATGCAGCCAGAGGCTGCTTGAGGTGTGTGTGTGTGTGATCACTTTGCTCTGGGACTTGCCAGAAACGTGGGAGCATTTGGGGAAATTTGGAACAATTTTGAACTGCCAGCTGCCTGTGTTCTCTCTGTGCCGTGCCCCGGGTCATCACACGATGTGTCTTCTTCCTCTTTCCTGCAGGGCGATGGTGGTGGGCCCCTGATGTGCAGGGAGTCCCATACCGAGCGCTACTGGCTGATCGGTCTCAACAGCTGGGGCACCGGCTGCTCCAGTGGCAGAGTGCCGGGAGTCTTCACCTCCACCCAGTTCTTCCTCACCTGGATCAAAGACATCATGGCGAACCCCCCTGCCTCTGGTCTTTCTCCTCCATTCAGACCAACCACCCCACGCACCCCCACTCCTCCACCCCCAAGCCGGTTCACGGGAGCGTATTACCTCAACCCCATTTACAAAAAGGTCAACGGGAGGCTAGTCGGGTACTTCCCCGCAGCCAACACGTACAGCCTTCCAACACGCCAGTGGGGTGTCAAACTCACCACCAGGCCCAGGTACACAGGACCCCCCAAGAAATTTACACCCTTCACCTTCTTTCCGATGACACCCCAGTGGGCCACTCCCACTACCGCCTTCCTAGGCTGGGGCATGGGACCTAGTATAATTTATAGGATGCCCCGGAAAAGGTTCACAGCTGCTCCTTACACCACGCAATTTCGCTGGCCTAGGCCTCATTACTGGAACAGGCCCAAACTTTAAGGAAACCAGGGACTTCCATCCCATCATGGCCCAGATGAAGCATCCGTGACCAGCATCCTTCTGGTGTAATCCCTACCACCCAGCTCCTGAACTTTTGACAACCTGCGTCCTGTTTTTCATTCGCCCCATATTTTATCATTTATCAGATTTCTGTAGCCACTTTTATAAATGCGCCATTGGAAACAGAGTTGGCACCTAGCTCCTGCCCCAAGCTCCAACGCCAGCCAAATTTCGGAAGGCTTAGGAACATGGTTGCCAACTTTCTTCATGAGCCCAGAGAAGATCTTCAGGCAACCTTAGGGCGCAAATGGCTGGTTTCATGGCGCAGGAGCCAATGTCCTGGCAAACATCTACCCAGCCTGTACTCCCATTTCTGGAAGGAGAAAGAGCTTCACCAGAGCCCCCCTGGCTTCACACCATCACCTTGGTTAGCTGAGACCCAATGAATTCTGGCAGATGTCCTCCTGTAAAAACACACCCAAAATAAAGTGTTTCCTTCCAGAAAATGTCTCTTATTTATTTCATGGCAGGAACGCTAAGATGCTTCACCAGGCAGAGGCAACACCTATCATTGTGCTGGTATTGAAGAGCAGTAGTTGATCCTGGCCAGAGATTGGAGAAATCTACTGAGAAAGGAAATCAGAAGAATATTTGCATACAGTGATTTTTTGGCAGAAGAGCCTATATTTAAAAAATGGTTTTGAAAGAAGGGCCAGTTATGAATACTGTTTAAAGTTTGGAGAAATGCCGGCCAAGGCCCTGCTTTCTTGGTGTGGTAGGTCAGTGTTTCTCAACCATGTCAATTTGAAGATGTGTGGACTTCAACTCCCAGAATTCCCCAGCCAGCCAACACTGAAGCCATATTTATGACTGGAGAATTCTGGGAGTTGAAGTCCACGCACCTTCAAGTTGCCAAGGTTGAGAAGTTGTCAGGTTGACTGTGGAATTCTCCTTCCTTCCTTCCTTCCTTCCTTCCTTCCTTCCTTCCTTCCTTCCTTCCTTCCTTCCTTCCTTCCTTCCTTCCGGAAGAGTGAAGTTCCCTTAGGATGGGTTCTAGCATGAGTCCAAGAGCTCGGAAGAGTAAACTTCTGGTCCCAGTGACAGATCCAGATTGGATCCTGTAATATTATCCTGGGACACCTATATTTGCCTTCATTCATCCCTCCTCCGTTTCTGTCCTGCTGCCCACAGAGGGAGGACCACGAATGATGGGTGCTTCTCAGGAGAACCTCCCAAAATGCAGGCCAGATCGTGGCTAGCTACTCCTCCAATGACGCGGCTTTGTCTCCACCATCATCTGGGCCAGATGTTCCAAGGCTTTTAGAAGGAGACCAATGCTTGCTTGCAGCTGGCACATTCCGTGTGAGGTCATACTGCCTGAGTGCTGATTGGCTGCAATCGGGCTGGGGGCGCTTGTGACGTCACGGCCGGTGGGAGAATGCGGCAATCAGAGGAGCCTCTGGAGCCATCAAGAGGATGAGATGCATTCTCCTCCCACTCCAGATTCTGGCTGCCATCTGGCCCACTCACACCATAGTTGATACTTGCGAGTAAGTAAGAGGGAAGAAGGGGAAAGGAGGGATGGGCCCGATCCAGAAAGGGTTCCAAGAGGCAGCCCTTGGAATGAGGCTTCCAAGCAGACCAGTACTCGGGAGAAGAAAGGAGGACATGCGGGTGAGGGGCCAAGCACCATCTTGGCTAGCACGGTTAGGGTTATAGAGCCGTGGTGGCGCAGTGGTTAGAATGCAGTATTGCAGGCTAATTCTGCTGAGTGTCGGCTGCCTGCAGCCAGTAGTTCGATCCTGATCGGCTCAAGGTTGGTTTAGGCTTCCATCCTTCCTAGGTTGGTAAAACAAGGAGCCAGATTGTTGGCGGCAATTATGCCGACTCTGTAAACCTATAAGAGAGGACTGTAAAGCACTGTGAAGCAGTATATAAGGAAGGAAGGAAGGAAGGAAGGAAGGAAGGAAGGAAGGAAGGAAGGGCCGTGGTGGCGCAGTGGTTAGAATGTAGCATTGCAGGCTAATTCTGCTTACTGCCAGGAGTTCAATCCTGACCAATTTAAGATTGACTCTCAGCCTTCCATCCTTCCAACGCTGGTAAAATGAGGACCCAGATTATTAGGGGCAAGAGGTTGATTCTGTAAACCGCTTAGAGAGGGCTGTGAAGCACTGTGAACAGGAAGCAATGCTTGTTTCTCCATCCAGTGATTGCGGAAGACACCCCTTAGTGCTCAGACATGGGCAAAGTGAGCAGGTGGTGGGCGGAGCCGATGTCCAGCCTGGGGCGTGGCCTTGGGTCGTCAGTTTGCAGCTCCCCACGATAACAGGACACAAGCACAGCTGCGGAGGCTCCCTCGTTTCTGGCCGGTGGATTCTCACTGCGGCCCACTGCTTCTCAAACAAAAGGTGAGTCCTTTGCCATGCGGTGGCACCAAGCGTCAGAAGGGGAAGGGCCTCTCAGAGGGATGGGCTTCATACGGAGTCCAAGGGGAGAGGAAGATTAGGGGACCGAAGGCCAAGACCTAGGAAGAACGGTTGCAGGAACTGGGGGTGTCTAGTTTAATGAAGAGAAGCACTAGGGGTGACGGGATAGCGATCTTCTAATAGTTGAGGGGCTGCCCCAAAGGAGAGGATGTCAACTGACGAAGATGGAAAGGTGGGATCCTACCTTTGTCCATTAACCACCTTCAGAATGACATGTCCCTGTGGGGCCTGGGCCAGGTGCCAGAGTTGGGTCTTCAGACCTTTTCGGAAAATCAAAACGGTGGGGATGTGGATTCTTACGTGAGTGAGTGGCCCAAAGGAAATAGTCTTCAAGGGAAAACAAGAAAGCCCAGTTGCCTTGACAAAAAAACAACCAAAAAGCACCTCTGGGACCCAGCTGTTGAGGTGTCAGAAAGGGCTGACCCTCCGTCTCTCCCCAGGGACCTCCCTCACTGGCGTGCGGTGATTGGCGCATGGAGGCTTTCTTCACTGGGCTCCGAGGTCCACGTGCGCTACATCAAGCGGATAGTCATCCATGAGGAGTACCAGAGGAGCACGGAGACCAGTGACATCGCTCTGATGGAGCTGGACCAGCCGGTGAAATGCAGCGACTACATCCAGCCGGCTTGCTTGCCTGACATGACTGTCACCGTCTCTCTCCTGAACCACTGCTACATCAGCGGCTGGGGCATCCTAGGAAAAGCTGGTGAGAACCCCTCCTCTGTGCCACCCGGGCTCGGCCACCTCCCCGCGCCTTAGAAGCCCAACCCCAGGAAGGGTCGTCCTTCGCTCTCCACCAAAGGGAGACTGAAAACGGCCGCGTCCTTCACCGGGTGCCCTTGGCAGCTTCTCTGTTCCTTCACGTGTGGCATTTTCCTGCTGGGTGTTGAGGGTGTGGCTGGGTGGGATTGAAGCGCCATTCTGTGATACTACTGGGGGTGAAGAAGTTTGTGGAATCTGGAGCTCTTTTAGAAGTTCAGAGTGAGTGTGGTCTGCACTCACAACGTGGCTGCTAGGGGAGACTTCCTGGTTCCCCTAAATAGCTGTGACAGTGAGCATGGACGGAAGGCACACTCAGCCAATCTCTCTCTCCCTCTCTCTCTCTCTCTCTCTCACACACACACACACTTCTTCCCTGATGCTTTGTACCATCCTAGTGTACCTTTTGCTTTTACCTGAAGCAAAAATTATTTGCATTCCTGCAAATAATTTCTTTGCAGTTTGCCAGCTTCTGATGCATCATCATCATCATCATCATCATCATCATCTGCTTGGAACCATTTTGGGTTTTGCCTCTTCTTTCCCTTCTTCTCTCCTTCTCTCATCTTCTTCCCTCCCCTTCTCTCTCTTCTCTCCTCGCCAAAAAAACTTGATGTTTTCTTATCTTTTCATTGTCTTCTTCTCTTGTTTTCCTCTCCTCTTTTCCTCTCCTTTCTTTCTCTTCTCCCCCCTCCCGGCCTCAAGGAGGCTCCCCCTCCTTCAAGGCCACTTAGGATAGCCTGGGGGATGCTGGCCCTTAAATCTCTCGAGGGTCACCAGCGCCAAGACCCTGCTGCTCTCACCCAGGAAGGCCCTTGGCTGAAAGCCCCTCCGGGATGAAGGGGAAAGTGGGGCTGCATCTGCTAAGCATCTGCCTTCCATTTCAGCAGCCAGGGAGGTGTCCGACATCATGCACGAAGTGAAGGTCAACCGCTTCTCTGTGGCTCAGTGCAACAGCAGCGGCTGGTACAATGGGGCCATTGAGGAACACACTCTCTGTGCAGGTTACGAGGAAGGAGGAGCGGATATCTGCCAGGTAAAGACCCCGGGGGGACTCCCTCTTGGGGCCCAAAATGATGCCTGGGAATACATTGCACCCTTTTCCCTTACACGGTACTTCTGGGCTCAAGGTTCAGTCCTGGAAGGCTGTGGGGCCATCACAATTGAAACCCCAATATGGGGCACCAGGTTGAAGAAGGCACAAGGTCTTCCTATAGCAAGAGTCAACCAACTTTACGTATCTACGGAGATTCTCCATCATCCAGTCACAGTTGTCCCAAAGGTGCTTTTCTAAAAGGCAACTGGACATTCTTGGTTTGTTTGTTTTTTCTTTGGAAAGTGTTTTGCTTCTCATCCAAGAAGCTTCTTCCGTTCTGGAGAAGTTCTTCATTCTGGAGAACTGAAGAAGCTTCTTGGCGGAGACGTGAAACCCCTAAGAAAGTCCAAATGCTTTTGGTCCTAGACTGGAAGCTTGTAAAAAGAGATTGGACAGCCACTTGTCTGGAATGGTATAGGGGCGCTTGCTTGAGCAGAGGGTTGGACTAGAAGACCTCCAAGGCCCCTTCCAACTCTGTTATTCTGAACTAATGGACAACACCTGCGAGGACTTAGACAACGGTCAATGGAATTCAAGGGGGAGGTTGCACTTGATTTGCCTGTGGCTATGTATTGGTTCTAGGCTAATCTATCTTTTAACCCCACCGCTGGGTTCTGCCATTCCTTCCCCTACATTGTCCTTCTGCATACACTTGTGTGCATTTCCCAAATTTTTCTATGCACCTTTCCCGCTCTACACGTTGTGTCCTCTTTCTCTTAATTTACACATCTAATGAGGGTTTTTTTTGTTTTGTTTTGTTTTTGCATTGGCCTCCTGGTTTGCATTTTTAGAACTGGGAACTGCAAAAGCAAATTTTAGAGAGATCCGTATGTCAGCATGTAGCAATAGCAGTTTACAGAGTCAGCCTCTTGCCTCCTACAATTTGGGTCCTCATTGTGCCCACCTCGGAAGGATGGAAGGCTGAGTCAACCTTGAGCCCAGTGAGATTTGAACTGCCAAACGTCTGGCAGCCGGCAGTCAGCAGAAGTAGCCTGCAGTACTGCACTCTAACCACTGCGCCACCATGGCTCTTGTAGCCCTACTCCAGCTTGTCCTATTGGTTTCTGGAGTATAAACTGAGGCAGGACCAGGCAGTTCTCGGGGTAGGTAGCATCCTTAGGTCAACGGTGAACGGGATGGCTGTCTCGATTCTGCCAGGTCTGGCATTGGGAGGGGCAGACATCCCCGCTTTGTGGATGCCAATGGTCTTGCAGAGACTTCCTGACTGGGGTGCTTCAGAATCGGCCATCAGTTCTCGTTTGCCTTCCTTCAGCACTAGGAAAGTTTCCGCATACAGGTAGTCCTCGACTTACAACCACAACCGAGCCCCACATTTATGTCGTTCAGCGAGGCATTTCTTAAGTGAGTTTCGCCCTGTTTTGCAACCTTTCCAGCCACAGTTGGTAAGCGAATCGTGGCAGGAGTTAAGTTAGGAACACGGTTGGTTAAGCGAATCCAGCTTCCCCCGTGGATTTTGCTCGTCAGAAGGTCGCAAAAGGGAATCACCTGACTTCCGGGACACACTGACACCGTTGTGAGTATGAACCAGTTGCCAAGCATCTGAATTTTGATCACGTGATTGGGACCTTGTGATTGATCAAAAGGTCGTGACTGTGGAAAATGGTCATAAGTCACATTTTTCAGTGCCGTTGTAATGTTGAGCAGTCACTGAACAAACTATTGTAAGTCAAGGGCTGCCTGTAAGCATAGACTCCTAGGCCTAGAAGGGAACTTGGAGTCATCTACTCTAATCCCTTGCCCAAGGCAGGAGCCCTTCTACCACCCCAGACAGATGGCTCTCCGCTACAATACGGGGATGCTGCAAACGATCCTGTACCATTCAAAGAACCGTTGTAACTCTGAACGGTCACTAAATGAACTGTTGTAAGTCAAGGACTGCCTGTATTATGAGCTCCCTCTTTCATGTCCATCCAAAGGCTGCCTCTTTTACCTCTTTGGGTGCCTAGGGAGATGGTAATCACCTAACTCTCCACCCGCCATACTCTTCCTCCTTTGGGTGCATCCTTGTTTGGTTTCGAGGCCGAGGCCGACCCTCACTCCTCCTCCTCCCTGTGTTTTGTTCCAGGGAGACAGTGGTGGCCCCCTCATGTGTCAGGAAGATGGCTCTCAACCCTTCTGGATCATTGGACTCACAAGCTGGGGGCAGGGCTGTGGGAAAGCACACAAGCCGGGTGTCTATACTGACACACAACACTTCTACCCGTGGATAAAGCAGTTGGCGGGCCCAATGCCTCAGCCCCCTCCCACGCCCATGCCCATGCCCACAATCAAGGTTCCACTCCAGAGCGAATCAACTCCCCACCCAAGCTCTCCCCCCTCAGCTCCCGAAGCCACCAAAACCCCAACGGAACCCTCAACTCCGTTTCAAACCACTTCTCAAAAACAGCCTTTAGTCTTCTTCTGGCCTCCAACCACTGCACAACCTCTGCTTTGGCCTAACACACAACCTTTGTCCCAGTCCACCTCTGAAGTCCCATCGAAGCCCACAACCCAACCTCATGCCAAATCTCCAAACACATTCCAAATTGAAGTCCTCTTTCAAACAACCCAAGCGCCAACTTCACCTCATGCCAAATCTTCATCTTCTTCTCCAACTCACACAACATCTCAGGTCTTGTCACCTTTGTCTTCCACTCATGCCAAAGTCCTATCTGAATCCACAGTTCAATCCGAGGCCACTCCTCTACTTGAAATTGAAATAATATCTGAGCCCATATCCAAGTCTCCACCTCAGCCTCCAACTCCATCGAAGACTAAAGTCACATCTCTACTTGCATCTATAATTCAATCCGCACTCCAAACATCACCTCAACCTTCATCTCCAACTTCACCTAAGACTGAAACCTCAAGTCAGACAACATCTCACGTCCTGTCATCTTCATCTTCCTCTCATGCCAAAGTCCTATATGAATCCACAGTTCAACCTGAGACCACTCCTCTACTTGAAATTGAGATATCTGAGCCCATATCCAAGTCTCCACCTCAGCTTCCAACTCCACTGAAGACTGAAGTCACACCTATGCTTGCATCTATAATTCAATCCGCACTCCAAACATCACCTCAACCTTCATCTCCAACTTCACCTAAGACTGAAACCTCAAGTCAGACAACATCCCACGTCCTGTCATCTTCATCTTCCTCTCATGCCAAAGTCCTATCTGAATCCACAGTTCAACCCGAGGCCACTCCTGTGCTTGAAATTGAAATCATATCTGAGATGGAATCCAAAACTCCACCTCAACCTCCATCTCCATTGAAGACTGAAGGCACATCCGCACCTGTAATTCAATCTACTCTCCACATCACACCTCAACACAAAACCGAACCTCTTCCCGAGCCTGAAATTCCAACAGAGGTTGGCTCCACATCTGAAACTGAATCCCAACCTTCTCCTGGAACAAATCCAGAACCTGAAGCTTCACATCAGTCTATAACCACATCTCAACCTACATCCCAAGCTCCACCTCAACCATCTCCTCAAACAGAGTCTCAACCAGAACTTGAAGCCACAGCTCAGCCTTTGACTATACCTCAAACTACATCGGAAGCCCCGACTCCCTCTGAGACCCAACCTTCCCCTCAAACCACATCAGAACCAGAAACTGACACTCCAGCTCATGTTGTAATTGTAATTCACAGTACATCGGAAGCCCCGACTCACCCCGAGACCCAACCTTCTCCTCAAACCACATCAGAACCAGAACCTGAAACCACGGCTCATGATGTAATTCTACTTCAAAGTACATCAGGAGCCCCAACTCACTCTGAGACCCATCAAACAGAACCCAAACTGGAGCCTGAAACTCCCCTTCTATCCATAACACTCCAATCTGCAACCTCACCGCCCACGTCTCCGTCCTCACCAGAAACGGTGGCTCAACCCGAAACCTCCGGGCAACCTCTCCCCGAAGCTCATCCGAACCCCCAAATCCCCCAGGCCCCATCCCGCCCGATTGCTGAGCGTAAAATCATACCCATCATTGAAATCTCCCATACCGACAACATCGTGCTAAAGTTCTTGAGGGTGATTCAGAAGTTCTTGCACATCATTAGGAAGTTGAAAGACGTCGTGTGGGTCTGGCCCGATTTGTCGAACCTGAAACTCATCAAGGACAGCGATCTGGCTTCTCTCGAGGAGTCGGAAAGCCCACCGGAGGGTGACCTGCCTGGTGAGTCCTGGTGAGCTGGAAGGAGACCCAGCGTGCCTTTGACAGGCAGGTGTGCCACCGAAGTTGAGAACTCTTGGCAATGCCAGCAACATCCTCCGGGGAGCTGTGGCAGCACGCTTATCGAAACCAGAAACGAGAGTTTTGTTCAGGGTTCTGCTAATCTCACGAGTGCTGGGTCTCTGGGGCGATTTTACACAGCTCAGGGTGGTGAGCCGAGCTCCCTCCGTGCCTGGTGCTTCTGAGGCAGCAGTGTGGTGACCACAGGCAGGGCGAGACCTGCAGGCTGCACAAAAATGGATTAAGAGGCCACTGCATCTAATCTTTCCCTGGGACCTCAGCACCGTCTGGAGAAGGCAAGGTTGCGTTGGGTTGCGTAACTATTTTGTTGTGCACACAAGCAACCCTTAATATGAAGATCAGCTTCTACAAAGGCTAAGAATCGGAATCTATATCCCTGTAAGTTTAAATCCTGTCCCCGTCTCCCCCTGATTTTCTTTGTAACAGATGTTTGGCAATGTGTTTTATTGTTTACAAAATGTAAATATCAAAATGTGTTTACAAAATGTACCCGTTCTGGTCCCAGGCTCTTCATTTTCCCCTTTTGCCCCCCTGTATGCCTCTAAACCCATCTTTCCTAACCGAAGAACTTCTGTTTGTCAAGTCGGCTGTAAAAGTTGTTCAATTCTGCACACTTGATCAGTGGCTGTTGGGTCCCTGTTGCACGTGTAAAACTCCGGACACGTTTAGGCCGCCCAACAGCAGTGCAGCGTCATGAAGGTGTCCTCACCTTGACTCTGTAGGGACTTAAAAGTGACGTGTCTGATGGCTCTGCTGTGATGGGATGTCCCACGCATCTTGTACAACTTCCCAGCTCAGCTCTCTGAAGCATGGAAGGATCAGTCGAGGGGGCCACACAGAGTTGGCCCAGTCCGCTGCTGTCCCTTCCACTGTTCCACCTGGCCATGAGCAACCATCTGAAGACCAATGAAGGGCATTGAAGAGTTGGCAGGTGCTTGTGCATCCAGCATCCACAGCCAAATATAGTTGGGCGGTGCAATCTGCCCCGTGGCCAACCCCACAGCTGGCACCTTTCCTTGCACCACAACATGCTTACTGTCAGTCTGTACATCGGTAGCGGTGCCATCTTCAGATCCAGCAGTTTTACCCTTGCCAAGCGTCCATTCTTTCACTTGGGTCGACTCGGCCAAACTTGCCTTTGGGTGAAGATTGGAGGTGGATCTTCTCTACTTCAGATCTTCACCCAAAGGTAGACTTGGTCAGCTTGACCGAAGGGCAAAACTGCTGGATCTGGAGCACAGCTACTGATGATCGGAGTGTCAGGAAGCATCAACCTTCGCCACTTCCGAGGCCAGCTGTTGTTTGGGGTGGGGGTGCCGCCTTTTCAATAAAGACCACCTACCCATGCTAGTTACTGTTGGGGGTCCTTTACTTCACAATGTCCCCCATTCCTGAAAAGGTGAAGGGTCCTTTGCTCAGGTGAGTCCTGCTAGGCTCAGGAATTTCCTAATGATCAGCTATCACAAATCAAAACTGCGTCATGGCGGCCCTTTTAGCTCATTACGGCTGACCATGAAGTCTTTCTCCACCTAACGGTCAGTCTCTGTGAAACCCAGAGAACCGGGGAGGGGCCATTTGAGGAAAAGAAGACCATGTCAGAATTCCTAGAGGAGGCTTGCTTTAAAACAGCAGGGGTCTCCAACCTTGGCAACAAGCAAAGAGTTGAAGTCCACCAATCTTAAAGTTGCCAAGGTTGGAGACCCCTGTTTTACAGGACCTCTCTAGGACTTTGCCTCGGGACCTAACTTTATGGTAAGTACAACTCAACCAACGATTGTGGGAAGCAGCCTTGGAGAGCGATCCCAATGAACCCTCCATGACCGAATCATGTGAGCAAATGGATCCGATGGGACATGTTGTCCCAACGTTGATCAAATACAGGTAGTCCTCGACTTACGACAGTTCATTTAGTGACCGTTCAAAGTTACAATGACCCAGGAAAAAAGTTTTTCACACTTACGACCACTGTGGCATCCCTGTGGTCACGTGATCAAAATTCGGACGCTTGGCAACTGGTTCGTATTTATGACGGTCGCAGTGTCCCTGGGATCTTGTGATCCCCTTTTGCGACCTCCTGACAAAGTCAGTGGGGGAGGCCAGATTCACTTACCAACCATGTTACTAACGTAACAACTGCAGTGATTCACTTAACAACCGTGGCAAGAAAGGTCGTAAAATGGGGCAAAATTCGCTTAACAAATTTTCCGCTTAGCAACATAAATTTTGGGCTCCGTGTTAGTCGTAGGCCGAGGACTACCTGTATTCAAAGAGTTTCGGATACCTATTCCTCACCTGTTGTGGAGATGAGCCTTTCTTGGCATCATCTAGTCTGGAAAAGGTGCCGGAGGGGGGTGGGGGTGGGGTGGGGGCATGAGACAATTTCCATTTTCGGAGGGGATCAGAATCTCCGTAAAGACATCACACTGGACCGTGATGGTTTCACACAACCTTCCTAGACTGAGGGGCCTGCTGTGCTTGTGTTCCTCCAGGAGTTGTGCTGCAGAAGACGCAACCCAGTGCAGGCCGCCTGAGTTCCTTCCCTTTCTCAGGGTGCAACACAACCAGAGGTTGCCCCTTTGCTTTCTCAGAGAAGCTACCAGGCTTGGTTTCCAGACTTCCAAAATTTATTTCTCCAGGTGGAATCTTTGCAACAACAACAACAACAACAGAGACTAAGGGTCCTTCTAGAAGTGCAACGGGGGCCTTGTTGAGCCTCGAGGTCTCTACCAGAGCCGGCAGCCCCTCCTCTCTGGGCTAGGAAGCCTGGTCCGCCCTCCGCCTCCTCCCAGGGCAGCAGAGCTGACCTCCATCTGCTGGCCTTCTCGGAGGTCCCTGGCGGCCTCCGCTGAGCAGGGAGGGCTGCCCACGGTCTCCGTGCAGGTGTGGGCAGCCCACGGTTACTCGTTCCCGGGGCTCAGGTGGACCGGGGAAGTCTCCCCTTGACTGGCCTCCTCTGCGGGGGAGTCCTCCTCCTTCGCCTCTAGCTCAAAATTCTACAAGGAAACGAGAAAGAAGATCCAAACAGATGCTCCACGCCTGGGCTCTTCTAGGGCAGCGGCCTGCAATTACCACCTCTGCAGCCACATGGCAAAGGGTCATGGCAACAGAAGGCTTCCAGATGGACAGAAGGGAGGGAGGGAGGGAGGAAGGAAGGAAAGAAGAAAAGAAAGGAGGGAAGGAAAGAAAGAGGAAGAGAAGCAGGAAAATGAGCCAAGGTGGTGCAGTGGTTAGGGTGCAGTACTGCAGCTACTTCAGCTGACTGCTAGTTCAGATCAGCGGATCAAATCTCACTGGCTCAAGGTTGACTCAGCCTTCCATCCTTCCGAGGTGGGTAAAATGAGGACCCAGATTCTTGGGGGCAATATGCTATTTAGTATACCGTCTTTGGTGTAAGCCGCCCAGAGTCCTCGGAGAGTGGGCGGCATAGAAGTATGATTAATAAAATAAATAAATAAATAAGAAAATGCTGGATAGGGGATTAAGCAAAAAAGATTTGTAACCAATCAATACACTTTCAGTAATTGTAATGGATGATAGTTGTTTTATATTTTAAGTTTTGTTTAAAAAATTTTTTTTTTCAAAAATAAATTTAAAAAAAAGGAGGGAAAGGAGGAGACAGGAAGAGAGGGATGGGGAAGGAGAGGAGAAAAGCAGGCAGGCAGGCAGGAAAGAGGTATGGAGGAAGGAAAGAAAGAGGGAGGGAGATGGGAGGGAAGGGAGGGGTTTCCCCACCTGAGAAAACTTAAGTCGGGGAGAATAAGCCTCATGGCTGCCAGGCACACAAACTACCCACTAACTGCAGCTATGTGCCATCGTGGTTAGCACCAGAAGCCACACCGTGTGCACCCAGAGGCTCCCTGAACAACCATCTCCCTCCAACCTGCCAAAGAGCCAATTCCCGGGGGGGGGGAGGGAGGCGGGGGGGCAGGAATGTGCCTCCAGCCCCACACAGCCGCCCAAGGCGCTCTCTTACCTCCAGCTCCTTCAGGACTTCATCCATAAAATCCCCCGAGTTCTGCTTGTAGGCCACGGCCAGCTTGATGGCATCGCTGAAGAGCTGCGGAAGAGAACCAGAGGTCAACCAGGGAGACCCCCGCTGGGCACCCCTTCCCTGCCCCCCCCCCCCCCCCCCCCCCTCGGCCAGGAATCCGAGTCTTCCTCCCCCACCTTCACAACGTTGGTGCCATCTGCTGCAGACACGAAGTAGAGAGGCAGGTTGAGCTTCTTGGGAAAGTTGAAACTTTTCTGCGTGGCCTTCAGGTCGGCTAGAAAAAAGCGAGAGAGAATATTGGGTGACCTCAGAGCCTTTCCAGGAGGGGCCGAAGCCCATTTCACCCAGGAGGGTCCCAGGTGACGCAGCCCAAGACAAGGAAGGATCTACGGGCTTAATTCAGTGACTGAAATAACCCAACTGCCGAGTTTTCAACAAGAAGCACCGAGGAATGAATTGCCCAAACATGGCAGGTTCTTACAGGGTAACAGAGTTGGAAGGGACCTTTGGAGGTCTTCTAGTCCAACCCTCTACTCAGGCAGGAAAACCGCTACCATTTCAACAACTTTGCGACAACTTTGAGTTGGGGAACTGCAGCCCTGTGGGCTGACACCTCCCTTAAGCTCCTCACCAGGGGCATCGCCCCCAGGAGTTCACATTTACAACTTTAAGAAGAGTTGGTATAGAGTTTCCTGCTTGAGCAGGGGGGTTGGACTAGAAGACCTCCAAGGTCCCTTCCAACTTTCTGCTATATTGCATTTTCCAATGGAAAACATCGTTTTCGTTCTAGACCGGTTGGTGCAGCTTTAAGAGGAAGCAGTCTTGGGGCAATGGGTGTTGTGTGGCCTTAAAAGCCTGAAGGCCAGAAGATTTCCCCCTTGCCCAAGAATCAGATCTCCTCCCCCAGTGGACTTCCCAGAGGTGAAAAGGGGAGGAGGCCCACCATCTATTTTGTTGGCCACGACGATACAAGGGATTTGAGGCCGGAATTCACGCAGCTCCTTATACCAGTTGGTCAGGTTCTTGTAGGTGACCTTCCTCTGGACATCAAAGACCTGGAAAGGGCAGGGGGGAGAAGAAGAGGACAGCTGATCGTGAGCTAATCCAAATACAACCAAAATCTCAGATCCTGATGAGACAAAGCTCAGGGTGCAAATAATCCCAGGAAGAAACATCTACTAGACCAGGGGTCTCCAATCTTGGCAACTGTAAGACTTGTGGACTTCAGCTCCCAGAATTCCTCAGCTGGCTGGTTGGAGAAAGGTTAGAGAGCCCTGCACTAGACGTTGTAGGCTTGTTCAACATTTCAACATGCTAGAGTGAGAGACCAGCCAAGATTGGAGAAGGAGTCAGGTGGGGAATTAGTCTGGAATCCTTACGTAGGCAAAAAAGGGCAAGTATCAGATCTGCCACCTCGCTCCCACTTGCCTTAGAGCCAGCCTTCACAGACTCCCGGGGGAGGGAAACTGTTTGGGAGAGGGGAAGGGGGGGAAACTCCAAAGTACTTTATGCCAGCTGGAGACAAGGCTTCAGGGACGCTGGGCCAGAGAGAAAAATACAGCTGCAATTCCGAGGACGACCGTTCCAAAAACATCTGGTTTGAATAGGATTGCGCACAAGAGGAGCAGCAGGAGGGCAGAGGTAGGAAACGGGGGATTTCTCTAGGGAATTGGTGCGGGAACCTCAGAGTTGGCTCTGTTTCACTGTACTTCCACTTGACTGTAGTAAAACTATACCCGACTCTAAAAATGGAGTCATGGATCGTCCTTGCCTTGGGTTCAAGTCGAGGCAGGACTGGCAGCGAGATCCAATCTCCCTTGAATGCCACTGAACCTTTTCTAGTTTGGTCCAGGAGCAGATTACCGGTCTGGGAAGATTCCTGTGAAACAGGCACGAGCAAATGAAGTAGCTAACCGAACCCTTTACACGTGGATTTGGTTACTCGCTCCGAACATCAGCCAAGCAATCTTCTCACTCTCATTGATCAGGACCGAGTGTGGTGGCTCCATGGCTGCAGTGGAGTGGGTGGGAAGAGGGATCGTGGAATGAGCCGGAGAAGATGCTCTTCTGGCTCTGTGGAAGACTCTGTCCCACCAGCACCAGAAAAAAGACAACGGAGCCCTGGAGTCAGAAGGAGGATCTCTATCATTCTGAAGAGACCCCTCCCTCAAGCATTTTGCCTGCTCGGAAAACCCCACTGGCTCTCACTGGACAACTCCCACCCCAAACCCCACGTGCCCGTTTCCTTACCATGATGCAAGCATGGGCCTTGTGATAGTAGGACGGGTGCAGGCTCTGGAAACGCTCCTGGCCGGCCGTGTCCCAGAAGTCTGGAAAGCAGGAATTCCACAGCTCACAAAGGACCCGCTTAACTAACAGAATCCCTCTGGGTCAATATGTCTCAACCTCGGTGGCTTGAAGATGGGTGGACTTCAACTCTCAGAATTCCTCAGCCAGCAGGGAGTTGGAAGTCCACCCATCTTCAAATGGGCCGCTTCTCTAAGTCAGAAGATCCATTAAGTCAGCCTCCTCGAACCTGGGATCTTCTGAAAATGTGTGGACTCTCTGAGCCCTTGTAGGTGCCGGGGAGAGAGAGATGAAGGATCTGCTGCTGAGACCCAATGACCAGGGGCATCTCCCATCCAGCAAGCTTCTCAGCCCCTCAATGGGCAACTTCAAGCCATGGACAGATGTGTAATCAGAATGGGGTCCCACCCAATGAGATCAGGGAGTGGACTCTACACGATGGTCTCCCCAACTGCGTCCAGCAAGCGCTTACCCACAAGAACCGTCTTGCCGTCCACGGTGGCTGTGTACTTGTAGAGGGTCAGGGCGAAGGTCGAGAGCTGCTGTGGTTTGCTGTGGGTCAGGGTCAAGGAAAGGAGGCGGAAAACCACGGTGGTCTTCAGAAAAGAAAGGCGCGAAGTAGAGGTTCCTCAGAAGAGGCAAGCCCATCAATGCAGCATCAGCCCACCCAACCCTAGAGCGAGTTTAGGACAGTTTTAGAACAGGACTAGAATCATACGGCTAGAAGGGACTTCAGAGGTCTTCTAGTCTAACCCCCTGCTCCAGGCTGGAGACCTTGTATCATTCCTGGTCAATCTTCTGACAACGCAAAGTCAAGGAGGAAGCCAGATTCATTTCACAATCATGTTACTCACTTACAATCTGGGGCAAGAAAGGTCATGAAATGGGGCAAAACTCGTTTAACCACTGACCTGCTTAGCAGTGGAAGTTTTGGGCTCATTTGTGGTCACAAGTCAAGGGCTACCTGTATCTTAATTACAACTTTAATTATTTCATTAAATTATTTCCTGGGTAGGTAGAAGGGAAGTAGGTAGGTAGGTAGATATATAGATACATGAGAGATTATAGGGATGGATGGATGGATGGATAGATCGAAGATAGTAATTAGATATAATACAGTGATCAGAGGTAGAGATAGATATAAAGATAGATAGAACATATGATGGCTAGACAGACAAACAGATAGATAGTACATAACGGATGGATGGATGGATAGAAGAAAGAGAGGGATGGATGGATGATAGATTGATAGATAGATAGATAGATACCATGTTTCTCCAAAAATAAGGCCCTGTCTTATATTTTTTTGAACCCTGAAATAAGCACTTGGCTTTATTGCCATGCGCTCAAAAGCCCGATTGGACTTATTATCAGGGGAAGTTCTTATTTTGGGGGAAACAGGGTAGATAGATAGATAGATAGAACATAATAGATGGATGGATGGATGGATGGATGGATGGATAGATAGATAGAAGAAAGAGGGATGGATGGAGAGATTGGAAGAAAGGCCCTGGCTAATTTCCAATTCTCTCCTTTGGGCCATCCGAATCTTCCGGGCTCGTCCATTCGGGAAGGCCAGGTTCCTTCTGGATGCTGGAAGAAACTCCAGCTGGTTTTAGTCCCCCAAGAGCCGAGGAGACGCCTCCGCACGCTTTTCCTGGGGTGGGATTTCCCCCCATTGGCCAAGTGTCAAAGGATACAATCCCTCCATGAGGAAGCGTTCCATCAATCTGGAAAAGAGGGAAAACGCCCCATTGAGGAAAACGGGTCCAGCTTCTGTAGGAGACGGCCAGGCAGAGCCCGGGGTGGGGGTGGGGATGGGGGTGGTCAAAGGCATCATCGGTCTGGAGTCCTTACACCCCCAAAAGAGACCTAAGACCAGCCTCCCCCTCCCCATGAAGTCCATTGACTCTCAATTGCCTTGACCATTACTAGATCAGATTATTATGTGTACAGGTAGTCCTGGACTTACAATAGTTTTGTTTAGTGACCATTCAAAGTTACGACGGCACTGAAAAAAGCGACTTATGACCATTTGTCACATGTTTCAGCGTTCCCATGGTTACGTGATTAAAATTTGAACGCTTGGCAACTGAATCATATTTATGACAGTTGCAGTGTCCGGAGCAGGAGGGGGGGGTCACGAAACCCTCTTTTGCGACCTTCTGACCAGCAAGGTCTCTGGAGGAAACCAGATTCACTTAACAACTGAGTTACTGATTTAACAACTCACTTAACAAACGTGGCAAGGAAAGTCATAAAATGGGGCAAAACTCACTTCACAAATGTCTGAGCAATGCAAATTCTGGGCTCGATTCTGGTCGTAAGTCGAGGACTGCCTGTGGGTACCATGGAATAAATTCTCATTGTTCTCAAACTCAGTCCTGGCTTCTGGTTTCCTGAGCCCCACAGATTTCGGATCAACCACTGACCAAGTGGCTGCTTCGGGTTCCCTTCCATCCTACCTTCCTTGGCACCACCACACCCCTAATGCCCAACTGAAGTCCACCTGGAGGAAGGCAGCTGACCCCGATCGGAAGCCCCCTTAGCAAATTTACACGCAAGGACCGAAGGCTCCACCCAAGCCATTGCAAGCCTGGGTGGATTCACCCCATGGCCTGCTTCCCACTGCATCTTCAAACTTGCCTTGCAGAACCACAACCACCCGATCCCACTGGACCCCCCGGGGTGTGTTGCTGGGATCCACAAAACGTGCTAAGCCATCATCAGAAAAAAAAAATGAAAAGCAGAAGCAATAAAGGAGAATATTTGTAGGGTTGAACTCTGGTGCTCTCTGAGCCTGGTGGTTTTCTTGCAGACCTTTCATGACCCAACCAGATAACATCATCAGGGCTAGCACTACCACCGATTATTGTTACCTAGTTTGGGTGATGAAATGTCTCCAAGGAAACCACCAGGCTCAGAGAACTCCAAGGACCCCACAGTCCTCGCCCATCCTCCGCCCTCTCCCTTTCTCCTCCATCACTCCTCCTCCTTCCTCCACTCCTCCTGCCCCTTCTCCTCTTCCATCCCTTCTCCTCCCCTTCCTCCATAAACTCCACTCCCTTCCAGCACTGATGACGTTCCCTAGTTGGGTCATGAAATGTCTCCAAGAAAACCACCAGGCTCAGAGAGGACCAAGGAGGGAGCCGGAAAGCGTCTCAGCTGATGGGGTGAAGGCAGCTGCCTCCTTGTCCCAAGGACCCGGTGCTGAGCTTGTGCGACCTGTCTGGTGGGACTCGCATCCATAACCCATCGGAGCCAGCGGTGGGGCGGAGGGGCTTCAATCCCCAGGATTCCCCAGCCAGAGGTCGCCTTAGAGATCGTCTAAACGTGCCTATCGGAGCACCTGGAGCATCTAGCGGAGCTGCTGCGTCCTCAGGTGGCCACCCTGGGAGGGGAGGGCAAGAGCCCCCCTCCCCTCCCGGGACCACCCGTGGGGCAGTTGAGCCCCTTCTGCTCCGAAGCCCCCATCGGCCGTTGTGGCTCTCTGGGGAGGGGGGGGGAGGCGATGTCGGGTCCAAAGGGCCTCAGGGGCCCCATCCTGGGCTGCAGAGTTAGGGGGGTCGCGACCCTCTCCCGTGGCTCGGGCTCCGGAGGGGGGGGCGCAGAGCAGCGGAGCCCTGCCCAACGGTTGCGCGGGGCGGGGGGGGTGGGGGGGGGGCGAGAAGAAGCCCCCCCCCCGGGGGGGGGGGAGGGGAGGGGGCCGCCCCCCCACTCACTTGGACTTGCCGACGGCGCTGTCGCCCAGGCAGATGATCTTCACGTTCTCCGCCGCGTCGTACTTGTCCTGGTCCAGCCCGGCGTTGGGGGGCTCCCCCTGGGGACCCCCCGCCTTGGCCATGCAACGGCGCGAGAGACGGCGGCCGCCCCGGGAAGGGAAGTCAAAGCAGCCGCGCTCCCCCGGCTCTGCAAGGCTGCGCCCGCGGGCGCCTCTCCCGCCGCCGCCCCCCCAGCCCCGCTCCCCGCCCAGGAGACGCCGGCTCGGCTGCCAGGCGACCGGCCGGATGCTGCGCGCGGCCCCGCGGGACTCGCCCGCCCCTCCCTTCCCGCTTCCCTTGGCAAGCCCTGGAGGGGGGGGAGGGGGCCGCCGGGCGTGCAAAAGCGTGCAAAGCCGTCCCGGCCGCCCCTGCGGACCAGGAAGTGTGCAAAAGCGCCGCCCTTGCTTCTCTCCGCCTGCTCCCCTTGCAAAGCGTGCAAAAGTGTGGCCCGGCCTCCCGCCTCCCCTTGCAAGCCGGAGCGTGCAAAAGCGTCCCGGGGGCTTCTCTCGGCCTGCTCCCCTTGGCAAACCGGGCTGGGTTTCGGGGAGGTGGAAGCGTGGAAAAGGCGTGCCAGAGTGTGCAAAGGGGCCCTGCAAGCGAGGGGGAGGTGCCAAAATGGGCAAGAGTGTCACAGCTGCTGCCCCCTGGACACCTATGTGCGCGTGCGTGTGCGGGGGGGGGGCAGTGAGTGGGGGGTCCACGCGTGCAAAAGTGTGCAAGGCGTCCCGGCCACCCCTCACTTCCGGCTCCTCCTGGCAGCTCGGGGGAGGGGCGTGCAAGAGCGTGCAAAGGCGTGCCAGCCCCGGAAGGGACCGTGCTGGTGCGCCTCCCTTTGCAACGGAGCGGCTGGCCGAGCGAGACCCCCGGGGGCCACGATGAGCGCCTCCTGGCCGGGGCTGCGGCGGGCCCTGCAGCTGACCCTGGCCGTCGTCAAGCCCGACGCGGTGGCCCACCCTCTGGTGCTGGAGGTAAGGCAAAGGGGCAGCCGCCCCACTGGTGGCCGGGGGGGGGCAGTGCAATTCCCCCCACCCCGCCCCCCAATTGGGCCTTCTAGAGCAGGGGTCTCCAACCTTGGCCACTTTAAGCCCGCAGGACTTCAACTCCCAGAATTCCCCAGCCAGCAAAGCTCGGAGACCCCTGTTCTAGAGCAAGGTTTCTCCACCTGGGTCTCTTTAAGCCTGGAGGACTTCAACTCCCAGAGTTCCAAAGCTGGCTGAGGAATTCTGGGGGTTGAAGTCCACCTTCCTTAAAGAGACCCAGGTGGAGAAACCGTTAAGAGCTGTGGTTGAAGTCAGGCTTGTTCTTGAGGGTGTTCAACACGCCTACATGAAGTAACACGCGTGCAGGACCCCCAAGGAAAGAGGGACCCAGCCAATCGCACCCATAACTCTTTCAGTGCCACACTCCACTCCAGTTTTCAGCCATTATGGAGTCTTCACATCCGGCCAGTTAAGCAGCCGAAGGACCAGATAACTCCATGCTTGGCCTCCTCTTAGGACATCTGTTGACCTTGATCCAGCCCTGGTGGTCCACCCTCGAGGGTGGGTGCAAGCCATGGATGGAAAGCTGCCCCCCTGCCTCATCTGAAGTTTTGTAGAGTTAAGAGCTGTGATGGGTGAACAAGGGTCACCTCCAGAGGTCCACTGGTCAAGGAGGATCTTGTCCTCTCGGGATTGCAGTTGACATGGCTGTCCCCACATTTTGAGGGCATGAAGATTTATTTGGGTTGCACCGAGAGCGGTTTGCTATGCGGTTTTCCAGGGTCCCCTCAAAGAGCTTTATTGGTGGCACCCCAGTCTTTGGAGAGACCCTCACCCGCACCACGTTCTCCAGCACATTCATGAACCCACAATAAGGTGTCTCCCCACCTTCCCTTCTCTCCCCTCCCCTTCCCTTCCTTTTATAGAAGGAGTTGGAGGTCCAGGTCAGGTTCTGACTTTCCAGTGACGCATCGGGTAGACCATGGGTCACCATCAAGCTGGGTAGATGGGGAAGCTTAGACCTTCTGTTGCCGTGAGACCTCCTGGTGCAATTGGCTGGCCCTGATTTGAGATCTCCACTGCTTGGATGATTTTGTGTATTTTGTGCCTGGATTATTTCTTTCTAAAAATTGGGATTAGGGTCATTGTGTGAGGGGAAATTGGTTGTTGGAGAGCTAAGGTCTTCTCCATTTTGGGACCAGTCTTAGGCAAATAAGTGATGACCCACTTCAAAAATGTTTTGGAGTCTTCAAACTGAATTCTGTTGTGGGGTTAAAAATGCCATCGGAAGCTGCAGCAAGACAAATCATCTATGGAGATTCTCCATCATCCAGGACATGATTTGTCCCAAAGGTGGATTTTTCCCCCCAGAAGGCGAATGGACTTTCTTGTTTTTTCTTTGAAAATGTTTCACTTCTCACCCAAGAAGCTTCTTTAGTTCTTCAGAACTGCTTCTTGGATGAGAAGCGAAATGTTTTCAAAGAAAAAAAAAATCCAGTTGGCCTTTGGAAAAAACAGCTTTGGGGCAGCAGGAGAGGTGAGTTTTCTCAGAAGCTAAAGTCTCTCACCTTCACCAAAAACCAGATGACATGGGGTGGCCTTTTGGACTTCCGTGGCCTTCCCCTTAGATTGTCCCAAAGGTGCTTTTTCACGAGGCAGCTGGACTTTCCGGTTCTTCTTTGAAGACGTTTCACTTCTCATCCAAGAAGAAGCTTCATCCAAGAGTTGAAGAAGCTTCTTGGATGAGAAGTGAAACGTCTTCAAAGAAGAACCGGAAAGTCCAGCTGCCTCGTGAAAAAGAAGCATCTTTGGGACAACCAGGACCAGGATGACTTGAGAGCCTCCACAGACATTCCCCTTATATTCTTTCCTGCCTTCTCTTAGGCTGTGCATGAAACCATCCTGAGCCACAAATTCTTGATCGTCCGGACAAAGGACCTTCTCTGGAGTAAGGAGGACAGTCAGAGGTTCTACCAGGAGCACTCAGGTTGGTGTGAAGGCTTCCAGGTGCATCGGGGGCTGAAATCCTGGTTACTGGGAAAGACTGGGGAAGGGTCTCTTGTCCTCCAGTCCAGTCTTGAGATCCTCCCCAGTGCAGCCCAGTTGGCCTGTGGATGTCACAGAAGCTGGAGTAGATGACCCTCGGGTTTGATCCAGTTCAGAGTTCCTCTGATGGTCTGAGGCTTCCTACCCCCCAAATATCTTCATATCCAGGTAAAGGAAGTCCATAGGGGTTCCGTAGAGGGAGCCTGAAAACCCCAAGTCCCCATTTTGGGGCCTTGAAGAAATAATCTCCAGCTTTCTAGAGATTAAAATTTGGGCCTCCTAATGTTGACCATGTCGGTGTCTTTCATGGGGCATGGAGATGAGAGTCGTCCTGGGTGAACCTGATCCAGGTATGGGCAGACAATCATGTAGTTGGGCTGAAGAAAAGGCTGGGTCAGATCCTTCCTCCAGGTCCTTTCTGTGGGTTGGATGACATCCTGGGGTCAGGGATCAAAGCTGAAGTCCACAATGTTCTTGTAAGCCTTGGCCATCTTGGCTGCTGCATCCCTACCTGAAAGTTGGGGCGAGCTGATGTGCTGGGCCCTCCGTGCTGGATCCAAGCCGCTTTGGAGCACACCAGCCCTACACCTCAGTCGTGCGGTGGGGCCTTGCTTGCATTGAGGTCCAGCAGGGTGGAGAGCGAGCAGAGCAGAAACCTCCTTGTTCTTCATCATCTTCCTCTTCTTCTTCCAGGGCGCTTTTTCTACCAGAGGCTGGTGGAGTTCATGTCCAGGTAGGTCCAGAGCTGGTGGTGAGAAGACCTCCTTCCTGTTCCCCCTCAAAGGCCTCTGGTTCCCCCAGCTGCCTTCACACCAAACACTTAATAGTTTTGTTCTAAAGGAGGGCGAGACGAGGAAGGGGAATGCTGAAAAAGTAGGAAAAAAGGACAGGCCTCATTTGGTCCCAGCCACCATCTTGGCTTTTTTCTTTTTGGGGAGACCCTTGTCCGTATTATACCTTGGTCTCCTGACGCAAAAGAGGCGGAGAGGCCGGTTGCCCTAAAAATTTACCATGTCATTAGAACAGGGGCCTCAGTTCTCCACCAGATGGAAAGGGCAGGAGCAGCTAAAATTCATTAAATAAATAAATAAATATTTTTTTTTAATATATAATTTTTATTAATATATTCTATACACTAATACACAAATAAAATATACAATCCTGCCACCATGGTATAATATGATTACATTGTCCATAAGTATAAAATCATTCCTTTATACATACATATTTGCCATCATATATATACATCATCATATGTCTATTCTATCCCACCTTTTCTGGACCCAATCGTACCATACTTTCCAACTGTTATAAAATTCTGAATCTTTTTTACCATTGATCAATCTAGTTAGTCTATCTGATTCCGCACACTCATTAATTTTATATATTATTTTCAAATCTATCGGTAAGTATTGATTTTTCCACTCCTGCGCATACGCTAATCTTGCTGCAGTGATAATGTGAATCAACAAGAACCATATATCTGACTTAACATTCAAAGGTTTTGCCCCCAATAGGAAAATCTCAGGTCTTAATTCCAAATTAATCTGTGTAATTTCCAAAATCCATTGCCGTATTTTTTTCCAATATTTAACCGCCTGCGGGCAGGTCCACCATGGGTGAAAATAGGTTCCATTGCTGTAACCGCACTTCCAACAGCAGGCAGATGTCCCGGGAAACATTTTAGCTAATCTCGCCGGGGGTAGATGCCACCGGTAGATCATTTTATATATGTTTTCTTTATATGAGGAGGCCATGGTTAATTTCATATTTTTCAACCAAATCTGTTCCCATTGCTGGAAGTCAAGGGGATATCCAAAATTTCGCCCCCATGCTATCATACAATCCTTCACTACGTCCTGTCCTATCTGCAGAGACAATAAATATGCATAACATTTAGATAATATCCCTTTCCCTCCTTCTAATAAGATCTTATCCAATTCTTGTCTTTTACTGTAGATTCCTTCACTATGTAAATCTTTTTTATACCTGGAGTGCACTTGAGAATAAGACCACCAGTCTATCTTATATCCTTGAAGAGTTAATAATTCTCGTGACTTTGGATAACCCTGAACATCCAAGAAACCTTCATACGTCAAGGTTTTCTCCCCTTTATACAATGTCGGGTAAACCTGAGCTTCCTGTGCCGAGATCCAACATGGAACTTTTGTGTATACTCTTCTTCTAACCTTTTCCCAAGTGTACCCAAGCGTCCTACCTAAATAGTGATCATCAAAGTATCTAGGAATAAATAAATAAATAAATAAATAAATAAATAAGTAAGTAAGTAAGTAAGTAAGTAAGTAAGTAAGTAAGTAAGTCAATCAATCAATCAATCAATCAATCAATCACCCCATCCACGCGTCTGTCCAGTTGAGAAATAGCAGAAATTCCCAACAGATTTGCAATGGGAAAGATGAGAAATTTTTCTCTCTTTTTTTCATGCATATTTTTTATTTTATATAAAACAAAGTTAAAATACAAAAATACAGAACTAAAAAAAAAATCCAAGAAGACAAAAAGCAGAGGTCTTCAAACTTGGCAGCTTTAAGACTTGTGGACTTCAACTCCCAGAATTGTGTATAAGGTGGATGGACTCTGTTAGCCTGGTTGGGAGACCTGGAAGACCAGGTAGGGGCCCTTCTGTCTGGTCCCTGACTGGATGGATGTGTGGCACCTAATCAAAAAGCACTTGTGTGTTGTGTTGTGTTGTGTTGTGTTGTGTTGACCACCAGGAGGCAGCAGAAGCCCACTTTCATAAATGGCCAGAAATTATTCTATGAGGTTTGAGGAACTTCCAGGGCTACTGTAGATCAAGGAGCTTTCTGTCTTGATATTCCAAATGGGGGAATGCAGGTGTTGTTCTAGATTGTAAGGGTTCTAGGTTTGGAGGAAGGAAGGAAGGAAAGAAGGAAGATGGAAGGCAGGAGGAAGGAGGAAGGAAGGAAAGAGTGATGGGGAGAGAGGAAGGAAAGAAGGAAGAAAAGGAGAAGAGGGAAGGAAGGAAGGATAAGGATTTTGAAATACGCAGAGACCAGGGAGTCTCGTTGATTTATCTCTCCTTGCCTTTTCAGTGGCCCCATGAGGGTTTATATCCTGGCTCACGAGGAAGCCATCACACGCTGGAGATCATTGATGGGTCCCACCAAGGTTTATCGTGCCCGCCACATGGCTCCAGACTCCATCCGTGGGACTTTGGGCCTCACCGATACCCGGAACACCGTCCATGGCTCAGGTGAGCCCCAGAGCTGAATGCGTAGAAAAGGGTGGCACAGGTGGCTCTTGAAGGCCTCTTGAAGTTGTGGGTGCTCCAACACTGGAGGTTTTTAAGAAGTGACTGGACAGCCATTTGTCTGGAATAGTATAGGGTCTCCTTCCTGAGCAGGGGGTTGGACTAGAAGACCTCTAAGGCCCTTCTGACTCTGTTCTTCTCTCCTTCCCCCCAGATTCTGCAGCCTCAGCCAGCAAGGAAATTGCCTTCTTCTTCCCAGATTTCAGTGAAGAGGAGTGGTACCAACACGAGGAGCCACAGCTCCGTAGAGAAACAGTTGGAGCTCATGCAGTCATCGGTTGCCACCTGCAAGATGGCTAAATGGAGCAGGATTAGCCACCTTGAAGTTCCTCTCATGGATGTCAACTGAGGTTCTGCCATGACCAGCAGGTGGTCCTCATGAGCTGAGGCTTCCTTACAGCGTGCGAACTTTGCTGTTGGAAGATGCCCAGTGGAGAGTGGTTTTTGCCCCTCTTCTTATGCCAAAGATCAGACACACGTGTGTGAACCATGTACAGTCTTCACTGATTCTCACCTTCCCTGGGATGTTTCATGGAAGGGCAGGGTTTCCAGGCTGGGCAGATCAGTCTGCATTGGATCTCTTGAAGCACCTGGGACCGAGGATGACGTCCAGAAGGTGGGACCCTAACCGGGATAGACCTGCCTCCAATCTAGAATGTCTTGGGTTACTATCTGGAAGTTGAGTCATGGCAACTGGTGGACTTCTCAGGAGAACTGGAAGATCTTCTCAGGAGAACTGGAAGATCTTCTCAGGAGAACTGGAAGATCTTCTCAGGAGAACTGGAAGATCTTCTCAGGAGAACTGGAAGATCTTCTCAGGAGAACTGGAAGATCTTCTCAGGAGAACTGGAAGATCTTCTCAGGAGAACTGGAAGTCCAGTTGCCAGGACTCAACTTCCAGGCAACTTTAGGTAGATGCCTTAGAATTTTTATTGACTCTTAGGTTCCTGGTTTCTGGGACAGATTTTGCGCACATGCCAAAGCGCCTTTTGCCTTGAGGATTTACACCCTGAACCCCTTTGGAGGGGGAGGGCAGTCTTGCCCCAGGCAGCTGTAAGATGGACGTGCTCCCTCTCCACCTTGTGCTTAAGACCTCTGACCTCTTGCATAACTGGCTGGGGAATTCTGGGAGTTGAAGTCTGGGAGTCTTAAAGTTGCCAAGGATGGACATGCCTGCCTTAGACTCTGAGTTGTCCAGCAAACCCCAGAAAGTCCCTTCCTTGTGATCCTCCAAGCATCATCTCCTCCTTTGGAGAGTTTGGAGTTTGACCTCAACTAACATAAGGATGTAGTGGCTCAGTTGCTAAGGCACTGAGCTTGTTGATCGAAATGTTGGCAGTTCAGTGGTTTGAATCCCTAGTGCTGCGTAACGGGGTGAGCTCCCGTTACTTGTCCCAGCTTCTGCCAACCAAGCAGTTCGAAAGCACGTAAAAAATGCAAGTAGAAAAATAGGGACCACCTTTGGTGGGAAGGTAATAGCATTCCGTGCATGTTTGGAATTTAGTCATGCTGGCCACATGTCCATAGAGACGTCTTCAGACAGCACTGGCTCTTTGGCTTTGAAATGGAGATGAGCACCACCCCCTAGAGTTGGGAACAACTAGCACATATGTGTGAGGGGAGCCTTTACCTTTACCTAGGACTAACCTATGTCTCTCTAACTCATATTTCTCAATGTGTCAGCCACTATTTCTCAGCCAAGAAATGGAAAGAAGAGAGCCATCTAAACTATCCATGCTATGGCATAAATGCAAGAAAAGAATAATCAAGAAACATATTTTTCAGGGTTCTATACTGACTCAGGGTGAGCCTTTTTTTCATGTTTCCCAAAGGAAATTGGCAACTTGAAGATGTGTGGATATCAACTCCCAGAATTGCCCAGTCAGCATGTGGAATTTGGAAAATTGAAGTCCATGTATCTTCAATTGTGCCAAGTTTTTTTTTTTAAAAAAAATATTGGATCAGAGCCTGGTAAACTGACTGGACTGTCCTCTTGAATCAGGGGCTGTGCTTCTGAAAAAAGGAAAAGCGATAGAGGAACAATGGGAAAGAAGGGGAATCTGAAGAATTGAAGTAAATTTTTGTGCTATTACTTGTAAAGTGCTGCGTTTTGAAAATAGACCAGCATATAAGCCAAAATAGTATCCAAAATAAACAGCTTTTCTGAGGGTTTTGTATTTGTTCTGTGCAGTTTTTGCAGAAAATGTGATATTTTATCAAGATGTTTTCAAACATAGAGTTCAATATTATGGATCACAGATTCATGATAAAAATGGTATCACTTCAGTCAAGGAACTTAAAATAAACAACAATGGATATGTTTGTTACTACCATACTTTAACTTTTAATAAGACTTTACTGCTACTTCTATCTTAACAACAAAAACATCCATATTTTTAAGTAGTCAATTCATCTATCAATTCATTTTATATTCAACAAAGAAAGGACGTTTTAATTTTTTTATGTTAATACAAACCATACTTTACAAATTATGAAGCAAGTAGAAAGTTAGTACATGTTTTTTCATCGCCATCATTTCTCTTTTGTTTCTTTCAAGTCACAGCCCATTCCTTAAATAAACAGGAATTTCCTCTGCAGCCTACTTCATTGCTTTGACAAGTGGTGCAGTATGTTTTATTTTGGCTTTCTCTGAAAAAAAAAAATTGCAATAACAACAAAAAAAAGATTATCTTCACGGGAGAAGTATAGTTGATAAAAAAAGAAAAGTAATGAAGCCTTGCAATCAAAATAGGCCTTGCCAGGGAGATATAAAAAGAGACTGTACAAACATTCCTGGAATAATTTATGCTGAGTTCAAGTTGGAAACCATAGACATAATGGCATATTATATGTTCTCTTGGTGTTCCATTTTTGAATCAACAAGGCAAGCTCACCTTTTGCCCTTCACAGCACAACCCTCATTTCCTTTATGTGGTATAGCCTGGCTTGCAACAAACTCTAAACAGGGTTGCTAAGAAAGTTGCTTTTCATACAGAGTGCTTTCGGGTTAAGAAAGCATTAATTATTTCTCTTTTCTCCTCCATCTTTTGCATTTTTCTTTGCAATCAAAGGTTTTCCTTTCCCTATCCATCCACTGTTACGTGGAACACAGTCATCTGCCCTCCCAGAAAACTACTTTCTGTTCTTTTCAATCCAACGTCATGTTGGAAATTGATTTTGTGAAAGGGATGAAGACGTTTTGTCTATCTATACCTGCGGAACTATTTGCAGATTAATTCTCTGAAAACTGAAGTTAATAGAATCATAGGCAAAACAAAAAGATCACGTTTGTGTGCTGGATCCAACTGGGATCTACGGAAAAAACAAAAACAATTCTCCAGTGGATATCCGTGGGAGAGGTAGTTGACCAATGGCTATTCCATTCTAAGACAATGTCAGATTGGAAAAAAAATAGCATATCAATTTGAATGTCACTTCTAATAAGTCCTGTCTGTGGTATAAAATGCCATAATGATTAGGAGAAAAAGATCAAAGCAGGGGTGAAATGCTCCCGGTTCGGACTGGCTCAGGCGAGTAGGTAGCGATGGCGGTGGGCAGTTCGGAGAACCAGTAGCAAAAATCCCTGCCCCCGCCCCCCATGCCCAGCTGAGCCCCGCGATCATCAGAGCCTTTTTTTCCTTTTAAATGGCTCTGACCAGCCAAGCTCTGACCATCCCAGCTGAGTTGCCTGCTAATCAGGCAACTCAGCTTGGATCGCCAGAGCCATGTAAAAGAAAAAAAGCTTCTTTTTTTCTCCCCCCATCTCCCAGCCTCCAGCTTGCTTACCTTAGCTGCTGATCGCACGACGATCACAATCCATGCATCAGCAAGCAACTGAATCTCTCTGCCTGCAATCAAGTTCATCGGTGAGTAGCTCTTTCTGCCTGCTTGCCTTCCTGCCTAGACTTGTGGACTTCAACTCCCAGCAAAGCTGGCTGAGGAATTCTGGGAGTTGAAGTCTACAAGTCTTAAAGTTGCCAAGGTTGGAGACCCCTGTTCTATTGGGTAAGTTTTTTTCCCCTTTGGGAGCTTTAAAAAAAATAGTTAATTGGGTTTTTTTTTAGTTGTTCTTTTTTTAGACCTAGCCATTTAAAGTTTAGGAAGTTTTAAATTTAGCTGCTTTTATATAAAAATAAAAATAAAATAAAATAATATTTGTGCAGCTTTCTGAGATTTAGTGTGTTTCTGTAGTGTTTCACTCCAACTACACAAACACACAAAATCTCACAAAGCTGTATGTGGAATTTTGTGTGTGTAAAGTGTGAAAGTTGTTTTTTGGGGCTTTTTGTGGCTGTGTGAGGTTCCTGCTTGTTGCAGGGGCCATTTTGGGTCTAGAACAGCTGCTTTTACATTATGGGTGAGCCAGTTGTGTTGTGTTGTGTTGCGTGTGTGTAAAGTGTGAAAGTTGTTTTTTTGGGCTTTTTGTGGCTGTGAGATGGTTCCTGCTTGTTGCGGGGCCATTTTGAGTCTAGCACAGCTGCTTTTACATTGTGGGTGAGCCAGTTGTGTTGTGTTGTGTTTTGTAGGTTAAAAAAGGGCAAAGAAGTGACATTGACTTGGCCACGCTCACCCAGTCACCTAACCACCAAGCCCCACCCACTAATTAAACCACGCCCACAGAACCGGTAGCAAAAAAATTTAGATTTCACCCCTGGATCAAAGTATTGATAAAGGTGGGATAAAAAATCTAATACATACTGTAAATAATAAATAAAAGTTGTGATCCTTTGAATCTTATAAAGTGAGCACTACAGAATTCATGAGAAATAATTTAAGTACATTATGTCTCTATCAAGGCTTTATTTCCATGAGTTCTCTCTAAAGATCTGGTTAATTCATTATTTCATTGCCTCTAACCGAGTGTGTTCTAAGATCATACATTGCATTAAAATTGCATACATCATACAAAGTAGAGGAATCTTATAAGCAGTGGGTAAATAGTCACAATTTTGAAATTAAAGGATTTGTGTCTTTGGTAAATGTACCTGGTATATAGGTTCTATTTAACTGTAGGATAGTTAAACATATGGTCTGAAGTAAGAGGGGGAATAATGTGTTATTTGCTCTCAAGGATTATTCTGTGTCAAAGGTCAGGAGACAGTGTGTCTGAACATCAGAATGATATTTGAAGTGTATGTGTAGAAGTAAAAGAATACTTCTGCTATTATATCTTGGAATATGTTTTTATTGTTTGCTTTTTCTGTTCTTTGGAAAAAAATCTGCCTGAAAATAAGTTAGCCCCAGGCAATCAGCAGTGTACATGCTGAAAAAAGATTCAATGAATTCAGTAATGGACTTTGTTTCAGTCACTTATCTATCATTCATTCATTCATTCATTCATTCATTCATTCATTCATTCATTCACTGTTCGTTTTTGGTTTTTTTACCTAAGCATTTATGACTGAGCACTTTACAATTTAAAAAATAAATAAGAACTATACAATTTAATAAATCACAGAAGACAAACATATAAACAAATACTTGTCCATCAGACTGTCAGCCATCCATGGGTCCCAAGAACTGGGGGGATAGCCAGGTCTTCAGTAGTTTTCTCAAGGTCATCATGGTGAAAGCCATTCAGATTTCTGTATATAATCTCCCTTTGTGTCTCATTTTCTGATTTTTAAAAAGTGCTTTCCAATGCAACAACCTAACCTTTGCTAAGACAATATCTGAACTAAAGTTTACTTTGATAAAAAGAGCCCACCACAATCAGATTGTAAAGCCCACTCAGCTCTTTAATTTGTCCCCAGCTCAGGTTATATCTTACTTCCATTCTCTACCCATACCTGCATATTCCTACCCTTTTAATCTGTCATTCTTGGATCCTCCAAAGTCAAAGTGCTTTGTGAAGGGTTTTAGAATGACCTTTTCTGGAAAGAAGAATATTTAAGTGGCCATTTAAACCCATCTCAGAATGCTGATTTTTTTTTTAAAAAAATGTATTTAATTGTATTTTGGAATTGACATCATTTTGAACATACAAATTATATATGGACAAAGAGCCTTTTCTTCTAAAATTACTGAGCTACTTTTCATTTTGATGGATGACAACAGTTTTATTTATTTATAGGGAAGTTTTTTATTGCCTTGGGGGAAAATTCTTTCTGGCACTGATTTATTTATTAAGCAACTGTTTTCTTTAGAGAAGGACACATCTCCACAGGTCTCTTCTGTTGGAAGTGGCATCATATGCTAAGAATTGGAAGAGTCAAAGCAAGTAGTGAATAGGTCCAGGGCTCCAAAGTTGTGATATCACTATTGTGT